CCCCACCGGCATCACCCCCAACCACCCCACCCACCTCGCATACAACGGCATCGCCAACACCTCACTCCCCCCCCCATCCACAACCCTCACAATCTCCTTCGCGACCTCCACCGGCTCCACGACCGGCGCCCAGAACCCGCTCGGCGTCTGCACTCCCGCGAACAAAGGCGTGCTCAGCTGTCCTGGCGTCACTAGCACAGTCTTGATATCAGGGTACTGCCTGAGTTCCGCGGTGAGAGAGGTGTGCAGGGCTGCCACGCCCGCTTTGGAGGCGGAGTAGTCGGTTAGCCGCGCGGCGCCGGTGACGCCCAGTACGCTGGAGATGGTGACGATGGTGCCGTGGCCACAGCGGATCATGCCGGGGAGGAAGGCTTTGAGGGTGTAGAAGTGGGCGAGGAGGTTGACGGAGATGCTGTGCTGGATGCGGTCTATGCTTGTGTCGAGGAGGGTGCCGCCGTTTACGACGCCGGCGTTGTTGATGAGGATTGTTGGGGTGCCGAGCTGGACTTGTTAGCTGGGCTCGTTGTGGGAGAGGGGAAGCTGGGAATTATTCGGAAGGAGTGTTTTGGGGGGGGGGAAAGCTTACCTCTCGCTCAATCTGCGCTGCTACCTTCGCGACCTGCGCTGCATCCCCGACATCACACTTATAAACCGTCACGCCCCTCGCCTCTCCAGACTCCAATTCCGCAACATCAAGCACCGCTACCGTCGCCCCGCGCATGCCATAAACCTCCGCGACCAGCAGCCCGAGCCCACTTGCGCCGCCGGTAATCACAATGACCTCCTCGCCCAGATCGACGACGCGGGGCTTCGAGTACGCGATCTGCCGATTCAGGACGCCGAGGAAGAAGAAGAGGGTCAGCAGCGAGGCGTACAGGATGGCAGATTGCATGACGGGACTGGTCCAGGGATAGACTTGGGCGCGCAGGCAGAGGGGGATCATCCACGCGACGAAGGGGTGGAGGAAGGTTACGTTGGCGACTTTGAGGAGGAGGTCGATGGAGAAGGGGGAGGCCCAGGAGTCGGAGGGGGGGCCGTGGCTCGCCATTGTTGGTGGTGGTTGTGGAAGGTGCGATGTGAATTGAGGGAGATTGAGAAGGAAGGAGCTGGTGGAAAGTTCCTCGGTGAATCGAGAGAGATTGAGAAGGTCGGTGGTGAAAGGGAGAGAAGATTCCTACGTGCCTGCAGATTGGAATATTTCTAGAAGTGGGAAGAGAGCATTATAGAGGGAATTTATTCCGTGGAAAGATGGGATGAGAAGGCTGGCGGCGCTTGGTCGATGTTTCAAGGTGTTGTTTCTGAGACGTCGTTGGAGGGGCTCGTGCTTGGCTTGAGACCCGCGATTTTGCCAGGGGTCACCGCCTTAGCGTGGACGTCACTGGTGGTCCCTCTCCCCTGGTGGAGTTTTGAGGCGCGCGCCGCATCTAGATCCGAGAACAAAGGTTCGTGAGAAAGGAAGGAATTCAACGAACAAAGAAGTCGACAAGTGGTTTGTATGTTTTCGTATTAGAGTTGTCGTATTTGATTTTTTGCTCCTGCATTAAGCGTCGATTGGCTTCCATATACGATGCTTGCAGTTGAGCTCCCAAGACCCGTCGGACGTCATTTCTTTGACCTGGGACCTTTCACAACTGAGTTCATGAAAGGAATTCATTATGGCTTAGAGGTATAGCATGCCTGCAAGCGCCCCCTGTGGCCGCGTTTGGCAATGCTTTGTGGCTCAATGGCGAGCTCAGCATCCATTGTCATTGAATATGGCGCCGACATCTTCTTTTTTAAACCTTTGGATCCCCCACAAGCCTTTTCATTCTGTTTGTTTCTTTTAAATCCTATATTGTGCCTATATTGTTATTTTCAATCCATTGGAGACCTAAGTTACTGTTATTCGAGACGGCTCTCGTCGATTCCAGAAATATTATATCCCGTAACGCTCAAAGAACGATTTCTTTGAAGTCGCAGCCATGCCTCCAAAGGCAACGAAGAAGTTTAGTATCGTGTCTTGGTACGGTGGAAACCAGGTGACGTCGGATAATGTGTCGATCCAGAACGTACTAAACTACAAAGAAGACGAGCTAGAAAGTCGCCACGACTTCATTCAGCTCATTTTCCCTCTACCATGGGCCAGTCAGCATGCCAGGAGAGACGTGATGGCCACTAAAGCACAATTTAATATGATACGTGGAAGTGGAAATGTCGGCAGGAACGTTCGCGGAAATATGTTGACGGCCTTGCAACACATTCTGGCCATGTTTGATCTCGAGCTCACCCCCACGAAGTTGTGTAAAGCTCATGGCACTGCTCTCCCTTGGGCCCGCCATCGTAATAAAGGACGACGCATCCGCAGGATCACGCCCGTTGAAAACGATGGGAAAGACCACGCTGCTCGCGAAGCTAGATTTCAAGCTCTGGCGAACCCTGGTAACCACCACCATCGTCGCATTACACGGATTATTCGATCACTACGGCTCGCTGGCCGGGTCGAGGACGCGGATTCGGTATATCGCTTCTTTCGGAGATTTGCGAGAGAGCACCCTACGATCCCACGGAGAACCTTGCAGATGTGGGGTGTGGCTGCAAATTCGGCGTACCTATATGTGGACCCGGCAGAAGAATATAAAACTGCTCCGGATGATATTAAGGACGGAGAACCAAGCGACAGAGAGGAGGAAGAGGAGGAGGAAGAGGAGGAGGAGGAGGAGGAGGAAGAAACCCCAATTGAAGGCGGAGGGGGTGGTGGTGTCGGAGGCGGAGGGGGTGGCGGGAGTAGCGGGGGTAGCGAGAGTGGTAGCACGTCCAGCAGCGAAAAAGCGCCTTCAGAACATGGCGGTGATGGTGGTGGATTCGGACCCGGAGGCGACACCCCTCCTCCTGTAGGCCCCGACGAAGGGCAACCACCAACGATTGGGGATCCCCGCATGAGCGATGAAGACGTTCAGAAGCTCACTCCCTCGGAAAGGGATCTTCACCACGCACGTATCGAGCACAGGAAACAAAACATGGAAATCGAGATTAAGTTGGAGTATCGCAATGCCAATGGCGAATGGATAGCCGTGGATGAGGATTCCTTGACGATGACCTTGATCGATTTGCGCATATGGCAGATCGTACTTAGGGATAAGGAAGAGGAGCGGCGAGGCGAGGATGCAGTAGAGCGTCGCATTAAAGAAGGAAGAGATCCATATGAATCGTCTTCAGACAGTAGTGAAGAAGACGAAGAAAATGATGGCAAAAACTTTCTCAGAGCCGATATCAAGAGGTTTGGGAAAAACGGCATGAGTGCTGAAGACCGTCAGAAGCTCGAACCCTGGGAACTTAAACTCCACCTCGCGCAAATCGAGCACCAGAGCGACTACCTGGAAATCGAGGTTAAGTTCAAGTTCCGCGATGGCGACGGCTTTTGGAAAGGCCGGGGACCGGAACCCATTACGATGAACTTGCGGGATCTGAAGGCGTGGCAGATCGAGATCGACAAGCTTGAAGCGCAGTGGCTGGATGAGGTCAATCGGGGAGACCGCAGACGGTCGGCATCTTTATCGACCACGTCAAGTCAAGAATCAGACTATGATGTCGGAGACCCCAGAATGAGCGAGAGATGCTATGCGCAGCTCGGAGCTGAGGATCAGGAAAGACACCACGCGCTTAGGGTATACATTGAGACATTCAGAGAGCTCGAGTACGTGCTGGGATTCCGCGACCGCACCACCTTCCAATGGATATCTGTGCATATGGACCCCGACGACTTGAATCTGGATGAGTTGGATCTGTGGAGCGCCGAGATGCAGCAGATGGGAGATGCATATGTGGCTAAGCAAGATGCCGACGAAGCCGCCGAAAAAGCCGCCGAAGAAGCCGCCGCCGCCGCCGCAAATCCACCTGCTGTCCAGTCGCGGCAGAGAAGGAAACGAGTGCGCTCACCCGAGAGCATGGTGGACGAGGAATACATGGCGGATAGAGTTAGGAGGGGCTTGGACCCGTTTGGCGACTCCCCTGAGGCCATAGTTTGGAAGGCTATGTATTTGCAGAGGGAAAAGGAGTGGGAAGAAAAGGAGGATAAGAGGTTGGAGAAGGAGAGGCTGGAGGAGGAGAGGCTGGAGAAGGAGAAGGAGAAGGATAATGGGAAGGAGACAGAGAGTGATGACCCTGGAGGACAGCTGAGGACGGAGGAGGCGGCGAGGGCTATGGGCGCGAAGAGTACGAGGCGCACGGCACCGGGGAAGTCTAATTCGAGCAGGTCCAAGAGGAGAAGGGTGGCGTGATGGAGTGGGTGCTTTTTTGTGAGAATTTTCTATTTTTATTATGAAGCACCTTTTTTTTTTGGAGGGGTTTGGTTTTTGCTACTACTGCTGATGTTGTTACCACTTTTGTGCCGGTTGTATTTTTCCAGGCTTCTGTAGTCGGACCTTTTCATTCCCTTGTCGCTGCCGCGTCTTCCATTCTCTTTATCTGACGCTTTTGGTTGTTGTCAGGAGTTGGGATTTCCTTTGGATGGGATTTGTGGATGTCAATAATCCATTGAGACGCGCGTGTTTGCGTTTGACGCCACCTTCGTTTTGGTCTTGCCAGATAGTCAGTTCACGCGCGGATAAATAGGACGTCTGTTTAGGAAGACAAGTTATAGATCTACCATATGTCTTTATATATCATCATTTTTTAAACCTCGTATATCCATCTCTGTGCATGCTATAATTCACCTCATAACCCTCGTCGTAAAACCTGTTGACAGCCAAAAAGGGGCGTCACGTGTTCCCCTTTGAGTCCGTCATGACATGACGAGGAAATTCCACAAGCAATGGGTTCTTTATAAAGATCTCACTACAATGAAGTAGCTAGAATAGACCTCGGTTTGCCCTCCACTCATCTGTCCTAATTGACACAGTGGTCGCGCTTAATTCAAATCATATCCTCAAGTCGTTGCGTTACTTCAGGTGGCTCAACCACCCAGCGCCCCGATTCTCACCCACAACCCTTTTGAGGTTGTGAATAATTGATTCACTACCCACGATGCTTCAATAACCTACCACAAGAAAGGTAGAAGACCAACGAACCTCTAAAAACAATCAACAGAACCCTTCGAACAACTCAGAAGAAACATATTTCCAAAGAAGGAAAGTACGAAAGACGCTCCTGCCTTTTCTATAAGAAAGTCCTTCGCTCTTTCTCTACTGTATGTGAGTTTCGCTCCTTTTAATCTTGAAACCTCACTGTGACGAGACTAACGCTCCTTCCTCAGACACATCACCACTTCACCATGGCAGCTCCTTCCAAAAACCGCACCTTCCCTCCCTACCCCGCCAAAAACCCCCATCGCTCCTTCCCATCACAAACGCACCCCGAACACACCTCACAATGCCACGCCTCTGCACTAACAATCGCACCCGCTACCTTGCCATTCCCCGCAAGCTATGATGGACTCACAGAGTTAAGTCACCATGGCTTCGGAGCGTACATAAGTCCATCCCCGCATGGCGTGCCACTCTTCAACGCGGAACTGCATGCCCACCAGTCCAGTCTCCAAGAGAGGGATCTAAGCTATCAGTACTCATCTTCGCCATCGTCGTCAGAGGAGGAGATATATGGTGAATTCTCACCTACCTATGCAACCGCCCCTCCAAGCACCACGCGTACGACCCCTTTATCGCAAACTCCTCAGTATCACCTCAGTCATCCATGCCACAACTTTCCCCCTCAGACCTGGGAGTCAGGGAACCCATTCACACCAACTACCTTCGCTCTACTCGACGACGAACAGACGCCAGTGACGTACCTCACCACAACCTCACCCACCACCAGCACCCCAACTCCGGTCCATCAGGGACAAGAAAAAGGGGGATTCTACATCGGCACACCCTCCACGCCCCCCTCACCACTGCACCCCCACGTCTCCTCACCGGACCTAACAACACCCACCACCGAAGCCCTCGCACGCTACAAAAACGCACAAGAAACGCCCCTCACACCGCTCTACTACCACACTTCCTCTGCCGTGACATCCCCTATGTCTGAAGCGGGTAGCGAGTTCGGTGGGGTGCCAGTGGGGGAAGTTGAGAATAACGAGGCGAGCGAGGTGGTTCACAGATTAATGGCTGATCAACAAGGAACATCACGATTCCCCGCCTCTTTAACGGGGTGGACGGGCTTCGAAACCCCAGCGGAGGAGAAATCAGGTCAGGGAGGACAGGAGGGCGAAGAACTTATCTCCCCCCGCAGCACCACCACCACCCACACATTCAAACCCCAAGAAACCCCCCAATACGCCGAAACACCCAGTCCCCTCGCCCCCGCACACAAACACACCTCCCCCCTCACCTCCCCCCCAGTGCGTCGGACCTACCAAAACTCCAACGCCTACCGCCACCTCGTCCCCCCTCCCGGCCAATTATCACCTCTTCCCCCTGCACCGCGGCTGCCTCTCCCGGAGCCAAGATATAGCGAAGACTACAGCATCAACGCCGACGACCTCCACGTCGCGCGCGCGCGCCAGCTGCTGGAGGAGCATATGAAGAATCACTGGGGGAGCGTGTTGAGCGCTAACCAGGCCCTTCAAGCCATCACCGGGACCACCGGGATGGGTAGCAGCGTTAATTCGAGTAAGGCGCACATGGAGACGGCGGGGGCGACGTTGATGCATATCAAAAACCGGGTACCGCAACCGCGACCCCTGTTACCGGGATTTGGGACGCCGATGCAGGTGATGCAGCGGGTGCAGGCTGAGAAGGTGGGGAAGGGGAGGTCGTTGAGAGTGGTTTATGAGGAGTACTTTTCGCGTCCTGGTGCTAGGGCTGTGGAGCTTTGTTCTTTGTCTATTCATGCTGTGAGCGGTTCTTTTGGCAACAGCACCAGCGGCGGCGGCGGTGGCCACAATTCCCAGCCTGCAAAGCTGCAAAATGAACTCCTTGCCCATTTCACCGCCTCTGAAGGCGGAACTGCGATCCAGTTCGTCGAAATCGATATCCCAAACCCGACAGGGAGTTATAACCGCCACCCCTTCGAGCAGTGGGCATTCTTCGCCATCGCAGTCCCCATGGTCTGCGGCCCGGGAGGCGTGGACAAGGGGTTTGTCGGCTCATGGGAGAGGGGGAGTATATTCATCGCTGCCCCACTGCGCGAGGTTGCTGGGGAGGGAAAGGCTGTGCAGGATGTCCTTGGGGATGGGAGAGGGTGTTTGAGGAGGGATTTTGTGTTTGGGCCTGGGGTGGCGCATCGAGTGGAGTTTTGGGAGAAGTATGGGCGGTGGGTGGATATTGGGAGGCAAGCCCTGGGACGGGAGGGGGGAGTGTGGCTTTGTGCGGAGGTGGAGGGGGTGGAGGGAAGGATGGAGGAGTGGGAAGGTGGTGAGGGGCTGCTTGGGGCGGGGGTGAGGAGGGATGTGGAGAGGTGGGGACGGGTGAGGAGGGCGATGGAGGGGGGTGTTTGTAGGATTGTTACAAGGGTTGTTGAGAGGGAGGGGAAAGTGGAGGGGAGAAGGAGGGAGAGGGGGGAGGATGGGGGGGATTGGGAGAGGGAGGGGGTTAGGGTCGTGGAAGGTGGGAGTTCGGTGAAGAAGCCGAGGAGGGGGAGGTGAGGTGGTGGTGGTTGGGGTAAAGGGGAAAGTAAGGAGCGAGATTCTGAGATGTCGTGATGGGTTGGAAAGTTAATGCTAGGAGGGTGAGGTTGTGACGAACTGGATGAGAGATGGATGTGGGATGTAATTATAACCAAGAGCGAGGCGATGAGCCAGGCGAAACTAAAATGGATAGTAAATAATGGAAGTGTGGAACTTACCTGTGACATACCATCCTTTGGGGTGTTCGGACGAGGATGAGTTTTGCTTCTCATCAAACACCGTGATGACCCGTCCCCTGTATTTTCTCCCCCGGGTATTGTGCGTGCTATCCTATATATAATCGAGTTAGATGCGCAGCACCTGCTCTCTCCCCTATCCGATAACCCGCAAAGGCCAGTCGAGCAACTGATATGTCGTTCGTTTGCTCCACCACCAGATTACTGCGCGTAGTAGCTGTGATGTTCACGCCCAGCCTGGGATACCGAAACTCTGATATATCCCCAGCGGTGGTGGGTTTGTATCGACGACAGGGTTAAACCGGTGACAGCAAGATAAACCAACAACAACACCACCACGACTACCAACCGACAACAACCACACACACCCTTCAAGTGACAACACCCATCAAAGCCGGCGTTAACCACTTAAGAATTGACATTCTTAAGTCGTCTAGAAATCCCGTCGCAGCTGATGGTCCAGCGACCACGCGAGAAAGCTGTATTGGGGAGGAAAGACTAGAACTCAAACTAACTGCGTACGCCGCGGTTCAGAGCTGGGATTTTTTTGGGTTTCGTTGACGTCTTGTGCGGTGTTTGGAATGGGGAGAAGGGGGGGGGATATAGCTTGAGATGGAGGAGGGGGTGAGGGAGTAGTAAGGAGGGGTTGAAATGGGGCAGTGGATGGATTGGAAAGTTGATGCTGGGGAGGTTGTAGAGTAATAGATGAGAGATGCTCGTGATTATAATCTGAGTGAGGCGCTGGGAGGGGTGAGAAGCAAATGGATGGTTGATAATGAAAGTGCGAAACTTAGCTGTGATATACCATCCTTATGTGTGCGATGAGACGTGGCCGAGTCTGTAAAAACGTACAGCGAGATTCCCTCAAATCAATGCCGTATTCTCGCCGATTTATGGTGCATGCGCACGCATCCTATATAACCGACCAAGAAGCCAACACCTGCTCTCGCTCACCAAATAAAAGCGATGGAGAGCAAATCTATTGTCGTTCGTTATTTCCACCACTAGACCACTGCGCGTTAACAGCCGCCGTGACGTCCATGCCCAGCCTGCAATATCGAGCTCTGACAACCCCCCCCCCCAAGATGGCGGGAAACCAAACCGACGACGTGAAGGAAGCGGTGACAAGAATGCCACAACGACAGCAGCACCATGAACCGACAACACCACCCTCCCCCCCTCCGGTCCCCACGGAAAGCAACACCAGGACACACTAGCGGGAGCGGGCCTGCATGTTCGTTGCTGCGAATTGGGAACTCCTTGGCGGAGGGAGACTGAAATATGACTTTTGAGGAGGAAGAAGCGAGATGGTGGGGGGGTATATAATTAGGCGGGAGACGGTGGATGGATGGATGGATTGGGGGGGGGGATGCTAATGTTGATTGAATGAATGGTTGATGATTGGATTGGGGATATATATTATTTCGTGTGGTGCATTATTAGTCGCTAAGTTATCTGGGTATATGGGAAAGAAAAGGGTGGTATGTATCCAGAGGCGTCTTTTTTCGTATACAGCTTCATCTGAAGGAAGTCCTCCCAGCTATCTTTAGAAGCGTGCGTCTATAGAGTGAGATGAAATCCTACAGCTATGGAGGAAATGGTAGGATGGTCTGGAGGCGGGATTTATTAGAGACAGCGAGCTGGGTTTCGATAGCATCAAGATACCGTCGAGTATTAGCGGGATCACACCGTATCCAGCATCCCGAACCTGAATTATATACGTATACAATATAGCATCTCATCGCGAAATAAATTAGTAGAGTGACGTCATACCCCTTTCTCACCATGAACGAAACTGCGGCGAGAAGAAGGACCGGTCGGCGACAGCAGCTTCTCCGGTGACAACAACCTCCCCGGCGACAACAACCACCCCTTCCCACCGAACTAACCCACGGTAACGAGAATCCCCCGGCAACAACATCCGCCTCCCCGACAGCAAAAGGCCGATAAACCGCCGTCCTTTGCACGATCAAGCTTCTGATACCGGTGTACCCTCAGCCTCGATCCTCGGAGCGGAGCGTAGCCAGGAACAGGAACACACGCCGTTCGTCGGCTTGTGGCCGTGGCTCGTGGCGCGCGGCCCTCGGAGATGTTATATTTAGGTGGATCGATGGAGGGAATTTGGATGTCTTGGATTATGTAAGCTAGCTGGTTTCGCCACAGTTCGCCGTGGCCGGTGTTCAGCGTGGGAAGCGTGTGAAAGCGGCAGTGTTAGTAGTGTGTGGCTACTGTGTGCTGTGTGGTAGTGGTAAGTGGTAAGTGGTAGGTGGTAGGCGGCAGGTGGTAGGTGTGAGGTGTGAGGTTAGAAAGGTGAAGTCTCTGACAGCTGTCAAGGCCCGTGCCCCCGTCGTTTCCGTCGTATGGCGTATTTTATTGTTAGTAGTTAGTAGTAGTGAGTAGTAGTGAGTAGTAGTGGGTAGTAGTGGGTAGTGAGTGTGTCCACAGCAGCGTGGCTGTGGTGGGTGTGGTGGGTGTGGTTAGTAGGACTATCACATGCTAAACATGTGCGTAACTGGGTGGATGGCGATTGATCTACCAGCCACAATTGATTTGAGAGAGATACAGGATTTTATTTTCCTCGTACTGCTCTGTAGCATTGTACTGTACTGGTCTGGTAGTAGTTACGGGTATGGATGGGTATGGGTATGACTTGGGTATTGGGTATTGGGTATGTCTACTACTACTACTGGGTATTGGGTAGGGTGGCTGGTATGTCCGGGTATATCTATCTGCGGTAGGACTATTACGATCTCTTACTGTGGACTTCCCTAGACCCCCAACCCAGACTCCCGGGTGTCTAGACCTCCTTGGCTGTGATGGATTGTATGGATTGTATGGATTTGGTAGGGCGTTAGGGCGGCAGTATATGTAATGGCGTCTAAGGTGCAGCCAGTGGGAGTCGGTTGAGTGTGGTAGTGGGTTGGTGGTTGTAGTCGTATAGTCGCGGTAGCAGTAGTTGTTCTAGTAGAGCAGGTCGCACCTTCACATGCCAGCGATAAGATCTCTTCGTACTTCGTATGTCTGTATGTATGTATGTATGTAGTCGCACTATCTATTCCTGTCTCATCGATCGATCCTGTCTCATCCTGCCCTTCCCTGCCCAACTTGCCCTGTCTTGCCCGTACCGTTCGTCCCTGCTATCTTATCTATCTCCCACTCCTAGCAGCATCGCCGTTAAAAATCCCACCCCACCGAACGCGTATGGGAGGAAGTACTAAACAGGGTAACAGGGTAACAGGGTAACAACCGCATGGCTTCGCCGCATCGAGAGGCTACTGCAGACTACATCTAGGGTACTATCGATGTCGTCTCCACTTAGCCACTGAGTATAGGGATATCTTTGGATATCTTTGCATCCAGCGTCCATCTAGCATCCATCCATCTAGCCAGGCCTCCAAACATGTGTATAGATATACATTACCGCTGGCTGGTGGGTGAGGACATCGATCGGGGGATGAGATCACCGTTTGAGCCACACACACCAACACCAATACCAGCATCAGGTATCCAGTACACCTGTAGTATCTATCTATCAATCCTACCCCCGTTACCGTCCCGTACATACACACATACGCACGCAATATAACGACAACGACAACGATATCGGAAGGATCGGGATCGGGAGTCCATCACTTACCTCACTCACCCCCTCTACCCACCTTCGCGCACCTTGCCCGCTCTGCCCTACCTGCCGTCCCCCCGCCGTTCCTCCCTATCCTGCCTCCGTCCTTGCAGCCGTTTCACACCCTCACCACTCATACCCCCAATCCCAATCCCTAATCCCTAATCAGCCTCCTCTCCTCTCCTCCTAGACCACCCTCAGACACCCAGATACACTGCCGTTTCTATTCCCCCCTCTCCGATCTTACTATACCAACCCCTCCGATCTCACTCCTCCCCCCCCTTCTCCGGTATGCTAGACACGACATCCCGTGTTCTACTATCGAACATCGATCTAGACACCCTATCAATCAATCGATCAATCCCTCCATCCAGCCACCCTCCTCCACCCACTCCTCCACCCCTCCATCCCATCCCGTCTTCCCAATCCTACACACTGCAGCTATCCTCAAACGCCGTCCGCATCCCCCCCCCACCCTCTCCCCGTCTACAGTATCCCCATCCCATCCCGTCCCATCCACATCCAACACAATATATAACCCCCCTCCCTCCCCCTCCCCCCCACCCCCCACCACCACCACGAACGACATCTACACATCCATCCATCCATCCACACTCCAGCCGCCACCATTGATCCATCAGAATCCACACCCACAGCCTGAATCCACCATCCCTTCTCCAAAAAGAGAGAGGAAAGCTCGGACCCACATACATACCTGCCAAGGTACGTACCCATCCCACCTTGGAGTACACCACAGCTTGTCTGGCGCGCACACCCTTGTCTGCAGAAAGGAAGGCTTTCACATGCAAGCCACGACGGGCCTTATCACATTTCAACTTTTTTTATTCGCCTCCCTCTTATCTTGTTACGATTTTCGTGGCAAAGAAGGGGAGAGTATATATATTCTTCTATCCCTCCAGTTGTGGTTCTGATTGTACTTTACTCACTCTTACTTTTGGTTTTATTAGATCCAGCAGACAAGAAAGACAGTTGAAAGGATAGACGGATAGACAAGAAGCATATCTTATCATCACGAACACAAGCTAGCTATCAGAAGCTATCAGCAAACAACCAAACACAATCATGTCCACCAACGGCATCACCACGGACGAGAAGTCCAACGGCACCACCACCAACAACGAGAGTGTGGTTTCGAAATCCCAATTCCTCTCTGTACGTCTCCTTCCCCCCAATCCCCAAGACTCGACGACCACCCTGCTAACACCCCCCCCAGCACCTCCAAACCTACCCCCTCCTAACCTCCGCCTACACAACCCTCACCACCCACCCCTACGCCGCCACCCCCCTCTCTCTCACCCACCGCACAATCGACACACTCACCCCCTACGCCACCCCCTTCGTCACCCCCGTGGCGCCATACGTCACACCTTACCTGATCAAGCTCGATTCGCTCGCTGATTCCGGATTGAGTGCGTTTGATGCCAGGGTGCCTGCCGCCAAAAAGCCAACTTCTGAGCTGTACGAACAAACCCGCGAGTTGGCTCTTACACCATACACATTGAGCAAGGAGGGGAGCGATTTCGTCTGGAAGACTTATGAGGGAGAAGTCAAGCGCGCGGATGCGAAGGGTGTTATTGGCTACAGCAGGGCAGTGGTCGGAACTGGATTCGTCGTCGGTGGAGAAGTCATTCACTGGGCGAGGGGGGAGGGGAAGAAGGTCGTTAATGGGGAGAAGGCTTAGAGAGGGTATTTTTGGCCTGGGGATGGGAGAGAGGGATAATAGAATTGGAAGGGGAGCGCTTGATGCGCGGATTTGACAAGATCGGATTGGATGGGAGGATGTTTGATAAACCACAGACAGACGGGATTATTGTTTATTGTTAATAGGCGCGTGTTCATAGAATTCGGAAATCCAAAAAGCCTTTTCTTCACTCACCCTCAGTTCACCTCATCCCATCTTCCCATCTCACTTATTGCCGTGCCGTGCATCGTTGCGGGCGAAGGGGACACAGTAGCGAGCGGGAGAACTCGGGCGCGGGACTCGGAGAGTTGTACCCGCCACGGATGCGTGGGACCCGGGGGAGTATGTAAACCCCCCGGCAGAGGGGAACGGGACAGCACCACAGACGGCAGGAAAGAGATAATGCCGATCTCTTGATGTTGTGGGTGGGTGTTGGATTGGGGTAGGGGGTGGATTGTGGGTCTGGTGGAGAGGGGAGGGGGTGGTTGTTGTTGTTGTTGTTGGTGTGATGGTGTCACTATTGGGCGTTCTCACTATTACCTATTCCCACCGTCGAGACTTCTAACTACCGGCCCACACACAAACACCTAGAACTGCATAACCCCCTCACCAACGTCTCGATCACCACCCCCAGCCCCTAGCCCCAGTCCCGGTCCCTCGTCCGCGACCCCCGCCCCTGAAAGTCCAGAGGCGAATCCGGCACTCGTTTCTTTGGGCTGATGCCTCCCTCGGGAAGTGGAGGAGGGGGGTTATATATCATGGTATGGGATGGGATGGGAAGCTGATGTGAGTCTGGCTTTGGTTTGCTCGAGGTTTTCTGAGTGCGAGTGAGTGTGTGGAGATGGTTGGCCGGGGGGGGGGGGATGAGGTGAGGGGTTTTCAATGGCCTGATATTGAGGGATGTGTGGGATGGGGGATAGAGGGGTGAGAGGTGAAGGGGAGATGGTGGGGGGGGGGATATAGTGATGGAGAGGAGTGATGAGGTGGGAATGTCATTATAATACGTAATCATGGAACCGTTCAATGCACACACACACGCGTTACATACCCTGGAAACCAGGACATCTCTCTCGTGCAGGTGCTTTAGTGGCTTTGGTTATGAATCTCGCCACTAAATAAATAATGGCTCAAGGAAGATGGTGAGAAGATGCGGATATGTTGGAAAATGCTGTTGCTTGCTGTTGTCGCTGCTGGCTTCTTGCTGTCGCTGGGCTTCTTGCTGTCGGCAAATCCCCGCCGCCGTTAGCAGCACTTCACCGAAATCGAAACCACCTAGTTAGTCTTCTTTCTATCCATCGGAGTCCCACAGCCAACAATTCTTTCGTCGTAGGATGCCCTTTGACTCTTGTTCAAGGATAATCAGGTCTTCTGCAGTTGCGTTGGTGGTGAACGAACCAGTCGGAACATCTCGATCGAAAGCCTCTTTTAATGTTTTCATGTGCGTAAAAAGCTGTTCCTTTCCTTGTATTTAAAATCCTCAATATCGTTTCCTTCGGTGTTGATCTTAGACTAGCACACGAACTTATTAAAATCCCCAATTCCCCAAATTCATAAACCCCACCAACCAAACCCCCTCACCCCGCACGAACAACCCCACTACCAAGCACTACCAAACTGCGCCACAGCACCTATCACAGCAGTTCCACAGTTAATGAGCCACAGTGCTATCGTGGCGTAACTCGATCACTGAACAATGGGATCGTAGCGTGTTGTGTGCGATATCGATCGATAACTCCGAGGCCCGACCGCGCACATCTCCGATATATAATAATTTTCCCAAACCCAGGGACGACCTCAGCAACTACTTCCACCAACAAGACAACACACGACTCACGATCTAGACGAGCGCGAGGAGAGAGAAAGAAGCGCAGAGGATATATTAACGAACTCAGTGCGCACACAGTAGCTGCACACACGAACTCGCCGACTGGAGGTCGAGAAACTCGGATATACCACCATCGCGCCTGCAATCCCCCCCCCCAACTCGCGCGACACCCAGCCAGAGCCGCGACGATGAAGCTCCCCCCACGCATCCTCTCCACGGCGCCACTGAGACGAATCGCGCGCCCAGCGGGACAACGTGTATTTGCCGCGCGCTCGCGATATGCTTCTTCTACATCACCACTATCCTCGCCATCTCCCACAACTGGACACACCGACGCGGCGGGGCAGTCGCATTCGCACACACACTCACAACAACCGGCGCAACAGCCAAAAACACACTACACCCTCTTCCCCCTCACCCTCCCATCCGGCCCTCCCCCAGCAGGGGAATTTGCGATAGACCTCCCCTCCCTGCGCAGGGAGTACCTCCGTCTCCAAGCCGCTGCGCATCCAGATGTGCACTCTGGTGCTTCAAAGGCGCGCGCTGAGGCTATGAGCGCGGTGATAAATGATGCGTATACGACGCTGAAGGATCCGTTGCGGAGGGCTGAATACATCCTCTCCCTCCACGGCATCGACACCAAGAAAGAAGGAGAAAAAATGGGCGGAGGTCTCGGCCTGGGAGTTGAAGGTGGGATAGGGGGAGGAGGAGGGATGGAGGATATGGAGTTCTTAGACGAAGTTATGGAGGTCCGTGAAGCGGTTGAGGGGGCGGAGGAGGGGGAGTTGGGGGAGTTGGTTAGGGAGAATGGGGAGAGGGTTGCGAGGTGTGAGGAGAGGCTTGGGGAGATGTTGGGGAGGGGGGAGTGGGAGGGGGCGAGGGGGGAGGTGGTTAGGTTGAGGTATTGGAGGGGGGTGGGGGAGAGATTGGTTGAGAGGACGTAGGGAGGAGGAAGGGGTGGGGTGTATAGTAAGTAGGCAGTTGTTTTGTGGGGTTTGGGGTGGGAAGTGTATATAGTTAGGAGATGAAGACGTGGGCTGTATATTTGTTATGGAGATGGGATGTGTAGGTGGTATAAGCTATATAGGCTGCATATTGATCACGAAGATGAATGTGTAGGTGTAGGCTGTATATTGGTCATGGAGATGAAGACGTGGGCTGTATAGACTGTATACTGGTCACGGAAATGTAGATGTGTAGGCTGTATAATGATAAACGAACGACGAATCGTTCATAGATAAATCGCGTACTGTATGAAAGGTATATATACAACAAAACATCCTGTCACTCCCATCTCTCACCTCCCTACTTCTCGTCTACTTGCGGACCAGCCGCCACCTCCCTACAACCCAAAAGCCGCCGTCGCCCTCTCCCAATACGCATCCCTCTCCGCCGACTCCGCAACACCCACACAGCCCAAATAACTCACCCACCCCGCCTTCCCCCCCGCCTTCACAGCAGCATGCACATCCGGTCCACACTCCGTATTATAGAACCACGCCACACTCCCCCACCCAAACTCATCCCCCTCCACCAGCGCCAGTATCTGATCTTTCTCCGCATCACTCAGCGCATCCGCCTGTCTCCCCGCCGCTATCGCCGCAGCAGCGTCTTTCGTCTTGTCGAGACTCAGCGCGTAAGCCAAGTTAAAGTTGGGCATCTGCATGTTCCGCGTCCCTTGACCGGGACGGCCGGGGAAGTGGTTATGGCTGAATTTGAATTCGCCGGATTCGAAGGCGATGAGAGCCAGGAGGGCGGCGAGCTCGGGGGGGGAGTAGACGGCGTTGGAGGCCATGGAGGAGATTAGGAAGGGGCCGGCTTGTTCGGCGGTGCGGCATTCATCTGGGAATGGGGCCGAGGCGCAGGTGGATGATGTTGGGGCGATGGAGAGGAGTTGCGCCAAGGCGGTGGGGAGGGGGGCGGCGAGGGTGGGGAGGGCGAGGAGGAGGGGGGTTAGGGTAAGGAGGGTGGTGAGTTGCATGGTGTTGGTTGGTGTTGGTGAGGTTTGTTTGTGTAACTGGAAGGTGTTGTTGGTTTGGATTTTGTTGTTCGAGTCTCGAGTAGTTATGTAAAGAGTGATTTGAGTGTCTTTGTTTTCCGAGTATGTTACTACGAAAGAACTGGTCTGGTTCGGACAAGGGAGTGAATAGCACAAGTGTATGAATGAATGAATGTAGATCGAGACCCCAGGGCTTCTTTCAAAGCTGCCGCTCGTCTATCGTGTTTTGGAGTAAAGGAGTGAGAAAAGTAACTTGTGCGAAAACTGTAATAGTCGTACAGAAGAAAGAGAAAGAGAGAGGACAAGAGGGAAACAACTCGAAATATACAAGCCTTCCAATAAGCCTTCCCTAGCCCGTCGCCCACCCGTCCCCCGCCCCTGACTTACCGTAAACGCGGATCCTGCGCCTCCTCGTCCGTTCCTACAGCGGTCTTCCCATCGGCGAAAGCGCGAATGAGGCAGTTAACACGCATAACAGGAAGGCTGGGTGTCCGCGCCGCCGTTTCAGCTTCAGCTCATGGTCGATCCGGCGCGTTCGTGTTCGGCGCGGAGAAATGATGTTACGGCCGCCTTGGCCAACCACGGCGGTGCAATGGGTGTTTCTTGAAACAATGTGAGAACTACTGCAGGGGAAGGGGAAAGCGCGCATAATGAAGTAAAGTTAGGTACATGGGATGGGATGGGAAAAAGGTACGGGAAGTCCGGTTGGGAGGGATTTTTCGATACTATTTCACTATTGGCACTTGAGGTGGATGAAGGCGCTTAGGTGGGATATATTTCGTTCTTCGCCATATGGGGAATAAATAATAGCGACGCTCACGAGTCGCTCAATAACTAACCAACGCCTGTAAACCGGGCACACCGCCATTTATGCGGCGCCTTTTTTTGGGGGACCACTGCGACCACTGCGCCTCAAAACACACTGCCACGCACGGATTTTTCCTCCCTGTCATTTTCCTCCTCGGAGGACTCGACGTCACGTTTACAGCGGCCGTCTTCGCATCCACCGACATCGCCGCCAGCTCCTTCGAGTGCATATTGAGGACTAGCGTACTCGACTCGTAATGGCTGTTTACCTTCATCAAAACCCCTCATAGTCTCCAATGCGCTCTTGGCTTCTGCAATAGATGAGAATGTGATATATCCATAACCCATGAGGTTGCCAGTGTCACTAGTTAAAGCGTCAGTAAGAATTACGTTGTACAGGCGGGACAACTCACGAATCAGTTGGGATTCTGACGCTCACGATAGTACCGTGAGCACCAAAGGCCGCGCCTAGCGTCTCCTCAGTATGTCCAGTCTCGATGTTGCCGATGAAGAGCGTATCGGTCTCTGCGTCGCCATCACTAGAAGCCTGAGCACGCGCGCTGGCGCGATCATTTCGCCGTTGCTGACTTCCATTCCCCTTCAGGCTCCCACAATTCGCGCATGCATCCAATTCTTCCTCACTCTGGTCCCCAAGGGTATTTGCCCTCGCCCCTCTCCCCATCCCACTATCTTTATAGCCCCTCTCCTTCTTCTCCCTCTTCGATTTCGTCCGCCGCCGGCCGCCGTCCCCTTCCCGCCCTAGACCCTCTGTATCGGCCTCTGCCTCGGCGTCGCTCGTTGCGCGGCTCGTACTGCCGCTCGCTGAGCCTCCGAAGTCACGACCTGCGTGCAGAACCGCGGCGACGGCTTTGTCTCTTGGTTTAGCGCGGTGGGCGGTCAGCTTGTCTGTAACAAACGCCTCAGTCGGTTCGGAGAGTAATATGCCGTCCAAGCTGCGCTGGATCCCCGCTACCTTGCCAGTCCCGTTTTCTTCGCCGCTGCTCTTGCTGTCGGACTTGGACGGATTGGATAATCTCCCACGTGGGTCATCCTCGTCTTCCTCGCTGCTGCTCTGGAAGCGCTTATGGAATGCGCGGCGCACCGGCGGCGCCTCCAGCAGATTGGTTGACGAATTGTGACTTGCCACGCCATTTTCCCTTCGGTAATAGTACCTCCCGTGATCGCATCCGTTCGGGCAGCCACCCCATTGTTTCCTCTTCGGCACACTTGGGGTGGGTGGCAGATCCCCTGGCTTCATTCCAGCAACCCCTCCGTTCGTCACGGACATCGGAGATGGGATGGCATCCATTGACACTTTATCCTCCGCGAGCTCCTTTTCAGACTTCTCTTTCAAGAGACGCTCACGAGCGAGCTCTGACCATGTCCGTAGTTTGTTTTCGAGGATGAACTTGCCGCTGTCCTCGTCCTTGCGCATGATCAAGAACTCGCAGTGGTTGACGTTGCGTAGGTCCTCGAAGTACTCGACGGAGAAGTGGTACCACTTCATCAAGAAGACTCGGGACATGAGACCATGCGTGACTATCCCCGTGTCAGCCATCTCTACATGTAACAGGCTGGGACAAACTCACCCAAGACACAAACACTGGCAAAGTCATCCTCCCCAAACTGCCGCCACAGCGACTCGTTGAAGCCACTAACCCGATCGTATGCGTCCGCCGCACTCTCCCCATTCGGGATACGGTAGAAGAAATGCCCATAATCAGCACGCTCCTGCCACATCCTCTCCATCTCAGCCGAGCAGGGCTGGAAGTTGCCAAAGTCCTGCTCGCGCAGTCGCGGCTCCTCGTACACCTTTATCTTGTCCCTCGGGAAAGACGACGGCGACGGGTCGTCCGAGGTCAGCGTGCTGAGAATCCCCTCAGTTGTCTCCCGGGTGCGGCGGTAGGGGGAGGTGAAGAAGTGGAGGGTGTCGTCTGGTTTGAGGAGGGCGCGGAGCTGGCGCCCTGCTTCGTGGGCTTGGTCCCAGCCATCGTTGGTGAGCTTGACGCGGTGGTCGGGGATGTTTTGGTGGATATCACGGTTTTCTATAGGAAGGAATTAGTATTATCCTAGTAAACGACATGGGAGGGCTGTTGAGGGCTAGATGTGCGTACTGTTTCCCTCTGACTGGGCATGTCTAATGAGGATGATCATGCGTGGCTTCCCCATCTTTGCTATCCAATTTAATAACCTCGAAAACAAAATATAGAATCGGCAGACGGCAAAGCACAATTTAAAGAGTGGCTATAAGAGCTATTTGGTGATCGTCGTCGTTTGAGGTATTCCGAAAATAGGTTGTACAGTAAGTTTATATATAGAGGGGAACACCAATTGCATTATCGGCGTTTCAAACTGTTATCGATAAGCCCTGTTTGCCAGCGGCGACACCCGCCAAACCTTAATCCTTACCTTGTGGAAACTCAGAATGACCAAAATAGTTGCCCATCTGCCATCCTCCACCAGAACCTGACACAACTTCTATTTCAGCATCACCCAACCCGCACAGCTGATCACGACACTAACCTCCCACCCCGCCCACGCACATCCCCTCACCACGAATCTCCACCTTCCCAACACAAACCAAACATCCCCAAACAATGTCCGAACGAATCCCCGAATCAGTCCCCACCTCCCAGCACCCCTCGCACTCCACCTCGCGCCCCAAAAAACGCGCACTCTCCCCCTCCTCCGCCACCGCCGCCAACATCTCCCACCTCTTCGCCAAGCCCGACGCGGCCCTCGCGCTCGCCAACAGCGCCAGCAGCAGCAGCTCGTCCGCCTTCTCTGCCGCGCCCCCGGAAATCGTCGCGAATGTGCAGGGATCTAGCGCGGGCGCGGGAAGCGGGGAGTTCCATGTGTATAAGGCAAGTCGGAGGCGGGAGTTTGCGAGGCTGAAGGCGATGGATGAGGAGGTGTTGGGGGAGAAGATGGAGGAGGAGTATGAGAGGGAGAAGAGGGAAAGGGAGGAGAGGGATAGGGAGGCGACGGAGAGGAGGAGGAAGAAGAGGGAGGGGAGGAGGAAGAAGGGGAAGGGTGGGAAGGAGGTAGTGGCCAAAGAGGGGGCTAAGGTTGGGGGAATGAAGCCGAGGGCTGATGTGGTGATGGGGGATGCGGCGGGTGTGAGCGTTGCGCCGGCGTTGGAGGCGGCGCAGGAACAAGGGCTTATTATTCATGACGACGATTGAGCATGCCCACTTGAGGTTCCTTACCATGCAAATTTTCCGACGCACCTCCGAGGCCAGATATCCCGGTCTGTGGAGACTATAGAAGGCATATGGCCTTTGGAAAAGGTGCTGAGTGGATATAGGACATGACCGAAGCACAGCTACGATACTGGGGAAATGGACGTCACTCCCACCCAGTGTTGCTGAACATATGGAGGAGTGTGATCGACTTCAACCACCGAGAAGCGGGCATCCATACGACAGCCTAGAGCTTAAATGTATCAACAGACAGACATGTAGAATTAAGAGTATCACTTCATCACATTGCAATCCAGTCCATCCACTTCTTTGAGACCTTCCATTATGTTTACATGGGCGCGCTCTATAAGATCATCGGCTTTTCGTACATAACCATTTTCTCTATTTCGCTTTCTCCCATTCCATTTATTTACTCCTCTCCACCACCTCCTCCACCAGGTCCACCCATCCTCGCTGCCTTGGCGCTGCAGATGTCGTCCACACGCAGTAACAGGCAAGCCGACTGTATTCACATTAGCTTCAACCCCCTCAACAGAAACGGACGAACAACATACCTCAATAGCCGTCTTAATACTCTGCAGCTTCACCGCCTCCGGCTCCCAAACACCATACTCCTTCATATCAACCAGCTTACCCGTCTCACCATCAATACCCCAGCTGCTTCCACCCTCCGCCTGCTTCGCCCTCAACTCCGTCAGCACCCTCACGGGGCTCTGACCAGCGTTCTGCACGAGCGTGCGGGGGATAACCTCCATCGCATCCGCAACCGCGCGATACGGCCACTGCTGCACGCCCTCGACGCCCTTCGCCAGCTGGCTCAGACGGACACTAACCGCCATCTCAGTAGCGCCACCACCGGGCGCCAGGCGCGGGTGGAACATGACGTTACGCGCGACAGCCATGGCGTCCGCGAGGTTACGGTCGATCTCGTTGAGGATATCCTTCGAGGGTCCACGGAGGAGGATAGTGCAGGCCTTTGGCTCGCGGCACTTGGTGAGGAAGGTGAAGTACTCGTCGCCGATCTTCTCGATCTCGAAGAGGCCACACAGAAGACCAACGTCGTCCTCAGTCAGGTCGTCGACGCGGTTCACGATCGTGGCGCCGGTGGCGCGGGCGATACGGTTGTTGTCGCTCTTGCGCACGCGGCGGAGGGCGGTCACGTTGCCCTTGAGAAGGTAGTGCTGCGCGAGATCCGAGACTCCCTTCTCGGTGATGACGAGGTCGGGCTTGAGGGCCAGCACGGCATCGCACATGGCCTTGACCTGCTCCTCCTCGATCTGGAGGATGCGGTTCCAGTCCTCCTCCTTGCTGATCTCGATGTTGGTCTGCGACTCGCCCTTCTTGTACTCGAGCGAGCAGTCCAGCAGCACGATGCGCGGGTTCTCTATCCGGCGACGCATCTTGGGGTGTGTGATGTCCTTGTTCAGCATGACGCCGTCCAGCACCCGCGAGTCCTCGATCTCGCCGCCGGGAACCTTCTCAACGCGCGCGTAACGCTTGATGTCTACCTCCTTCTTGCCGTTGCCGATCTCGTGGGTGACGGTGCGCACGGCCTTGAGGGCGAGGTTGCACATGAGTTCGGACCAGCGCGAGACGAACTTGGTGCCGATGGAGGAGGATATTAACTTGTACATGGCCTCGTCGTCATCGATGTCGACGGGGAGAGAGATCTCCTCGATGATCTGGATGGCGTCTGCGAGAGCACGCTTGAAGGCGGAGATGATGACGACGGGGTGGATGTTGCGTTCGAGCTGCGGGACAGCTTGTGCGAGGATCTCACCAGCTGTACAATATATTAGCCCACGTCCCCCATCCAAATAGCTCGTAAAGCTCACCAAGAATAATAACTGTGGTCGTTCCATCTCCAACTTCCTCGTCCTGTGTTCTGCTGAGCTCAATCATGCTCTTCGCCGCCGGATGTGAAACCTCGATCTCTCTGAGAATGGCGTGGCCGTCGTTCGTCAACACGATTCCGCCCATGGGATCGAGCAACATCTTCAGCATAGCCTTGGGTCCGAGACATGATCTGATGATATCCGCAACTCTGTTCACACCGTCAGTCTTCCTGCATCTTCCACTATTCCTCCACACCTATCCCTGGTATGATATACGCACGTCTTCGCGGCTGTGATATTCGAGAGCTGAGCTTTGCGACCGGTCTGCCTATCATTGTTCCCGCCAGTGTCTGGAAACGCACATTCGTTAGCATTGCATCTTGAAAGATAGCTTCCCACTCCGTAGAGCTGTTCTTGAAGAGGGGTTCCACATACTCATAACCACCACTGGAGCCTGCATCTTGACGTTTTGCAAGGGTCTTCCTTACGGTTCGGATGTGGAGAGGCTGGGCTATGCGTTCTTCTCAGAAAACTGACGTCTCCTGGGGTTCGTATTTGGGGGTAGAAGGTGGTGGGAGCGGAAAGACGCGTGGGTTACTTTCTACTGCTGCTACCGCGCTCGAAATGGAAATTATTCTGAACGAGCTCTCGGTGATTTGTGGCCCTATATATGAGGCTGCTGTTACCAAATCCCACCACAAAATCACTACAATTACAGAGATGCGGATTTAAGCTACCTGGACACCTTATTTGTATATTTCGACGGCTTTATGATGGTTAGATTTAGATATATTATGGATTTGGCCTTCTCTTAAAGTCATGTTAGGAATTTCACGAGTTAGAGTCTGCACACGTGACCTCTTTGATAGGGGCGTGGATATCATTGCTCGCCGAAATCTCAACCTCAACGGAGAAAGCATGCATATGCTAAATATTCCATAATAATTCTAATCAGATGCTCAATGAACTAGATAAGCATGAATAGTCTCTAACATAACAAATGCCGCTTTACAAAGAAAGAAAGGCCAAATCCGTACATTCCGCACCCTCCATTGCTCTGCTCTAATATTGATATCTGAACCTGTCAAGGTCACCATTCTAACATAAAGCTCCCTCATTTCGACCTACCTCCCCTGATGTCGAGACTCCCACAATATAACTCGATACGTCAGTAATTCAGCCAAAGCTAAATTCTGCGACCCCAATAATATTAGCATAACCTCACAAATAGCCACCCATATTTCCAGGGGCTTCGGACAGAGAGAAACTCACCAGAATAAATCGGCGCCTTCCACGGCCTCGCCTTCGGCCTCCCCCCCTGCCCCCGTCCCATAGGCCCAGATCCACTACTCTTGCTCCCACTCTGACTCGCACTACCCGACCTACTCCCTCCCCTCCCCGTCAGCCAACTCTGGCCCCTCCCTCCACCAGGCGTATCACCCCCCACCCCCGGCACCCCTCTCGCAACCTCCACCAACCCATCCACCACCCTCCACATCCTCGCACTCCCACAATGCGTCCCCCCCACTCCCGCATTATTAGTCAGGATCTCATAAACCCTCTCCTCGCAAAACCTCGCACTCGGCCGATCCATCGGATGCGGGCTAAGCATGCGTAGCGTCAGATTCAATAAGTGCGTTATGCCGCGAAAAAGACGGTCTTCCTTCTTTCTCGCGTCCTTGGCGAGGCTGGAGACCCAGGTCTCCACTTCCGCGGCGTTGTGGTGGAAGGAGCAGTCGGCGCGGGGGGCGGAGCGGGTGGGTGGTGTGGAGGGCTTGGAGGCGCGGTGGCGGGAGAAGGTGCGGGAGGAGCGTTTCATGAGGAGGGTGAGGAGCTCGAGGTAGATGCAGCCGAGGGAGTAGATGTCGCCTTTGATTGGGTCGCCTGCTGGGGAAGGGGGGGCGGTGGGAGTGGGGAGGTAGAGTGTTGTTGTGATTATGTTGGTGCGTGAGGGGGATGCTGGTGGTGAGGGTGGGAAGAGGCGTCTTGGAGATGGTTCGGGGGATGTGGCAGAGGACCTGCGTCGCATTCGGTTGATGAGGCGTTGGGGTTCGTCGGGTTCGGTGTGGATATGGGTTGAAAGCTCAGGAGCGCCGTAGTCGTAGTTCTCCTGGTCAAATTGGTTCACGGGGTCCAGTCCGAAAACATCGACATCGCCGAGAAAGATCTTGTTGTCCATGTCGAGGAAGATATTTGATGGTTTAATCTGGCCATGAGCTAAGCCTAGATTATGGAGAGACGCAACTGCATCCGCAAGGCAATGCATCCAGTCCAGCACAAGAACCCGTCGGTCCCTCTTGGCTAAAATCTTCATAGACGGCGGCAGAGTCGTTAGAACAGATGTGAGGGTCCATTCGTGTATTGGAGTTAGGAGAAGATACCCGGCCGACTGCTGTATGTAAGATGCCCACAAAGACACGACGTGCTGGTTACTCCGTGCCCTCATCCTCTCAATTCCAGACAAGAAGTCCGCTTCTGTGACTTGACCAGGACCGTCACCAAGTGAAATCCGTCGCCGAATAAAAATATCATCAGGCCGTCCTGGGATGCACACTTTGTCCACATTAGAATGTATAGGGCTGGCTTGAGTCCCGACGTTGCGTCTATCCAATGGCTCTAGAGGAACAATCTCAACGTCTTCATAGACCAGATTCTCTTCCGGCTTTAGATGCCTCATCAAGTAAGTGAACTGTCGCTCGAAAAACTTCCTGTCCAGCCTCTCATCTTTCTTCCGCCTCAACTGTAGTCTCACCACTTGATCGAGCTGAAGTGGGAGATCATCATCATCCCACGAATCGTCGACGGCGCCAAAAATCTGATCTGGCACGCCGATATCAACAAGGATCAGAAAGATCCGTTTCGCCTTCGTTACTATCCACTCGAAATACGTGTCATCCGTCAGGCCATCCCCAAATCCGAGTTGTTGGTCCAACCTCAGAATCTCCTCTGGGCGCAAGTGGGATTCAACATATGCGCGGTCAACTGTTGTCTCAACACGCTCATCATCCCACCACATCATATCATTTGGAAATGCGACTGGCTTTGCATTTCGAACAGCACCATGGGCTGCATATATCTCAGATAAAGCTTTGGCTCCTCCGAGACGAAACGCCTCGAAGAGGATGCTTGTGCGCCGGGGGTTTCTGCTGGCCATCTTCCAATATCACAGGGAAATGGAAGACGGAAGGTTGGAATTGCTGCTTCGGCTGCGAGTTAGACAGCCCTGATATAGGTACTATCAAGGGAACGTCGAACCAGAGATAATAATTATATGCAAGCAAGCATCGCTGAGCAATATTATCATGCGAAAAAAATAGGCGCGGTGAGGTGGCTTGGGAAATATTGTGATTTCGTCAACTATGACCTATGAAAACGCGCTTCAAAGGGGTTCATATAGGGTCGTAAAATTAGCTAAATGAGGGATATTTGATTTGACCCGAATACGTTGGGGTATCAAAGATACGCATCCGAGTTGGAATGATGGACACCATGTCGGCTAACTTAATGTTGGTGGCACAGTGTCACCCTTTTAAAATAGTGTCGGCTTTATTGCTCCTTTGAGATGTTGCTCATCGTGTTCGTCCAGATGTAGGATTATGGGGACACGCTGCGCCTTGGTATGTTCATACTGTGGTGTTGGGGTCTATATTTATATATCGCCGCTGTACTGGGAGAAACACTAGTTTCTCCCTGTAGAACTTCCTGCTTTTGGCTCATTGCCGATTGCCTCATGGCACCTGTAGTCTCGGGCGTTGGCGCCATCTCAAAAACAAGTGGCTATAGCACACCCAACGACTGCGCTCGAGCCGGAAGCCATCCCTCTACCTGGATACCATTCCAGAAAGAAGGGTTTCCTGTGTTCCCCTTGACATTCCGCTGGCAGGGGTTAGTTGCCAACATCATAAGCGCCGCGAAGAGATAACATGCATATCAGAAGACACATGGCTAGGGTCTCATCCCAACGTAATCCTGTCTTGTCTCGCACTTGCGTGGGCCCCAGGACAAAAAACGCCATGCACATGGCGTGTAGCTAGGGAACGATTGAACAGCATGTTCGGATATGGGATGGACCGAAATGAAGATGCCAACAGTGTGGGGTCCGTAAGGCTGAGGCTCCCAATTTCTGATCCTGGGGGAGGACAACGTGGAACCGCACATGCATGCGCCGCGAATCATCTTGATCTTCATGCCCGGGACATCGCTTAGCGTCGTCGCACACATGCACTGCCAGGCCGTGGAAGCCGAAGCGGCAGTTCTCTCGGCGCGGGCGGACGGCATGGCTGGCGTGGCTGAGACTCGCACAGCGAGATGCAGGTGGCAGCTTCGGGGAGGAGATGTAAAATGCCGGATGCAGGCGGACAACAAGAGTATGTGAGATGATGAGGACAAGAAATGGCCGTACGGATGGGAGAACGATGACAGTTTTGAGAACCGATGCAGAAAAAGAAGTGTGAGGCAGACTCCATCGCTCACCTTGGTAGCTCACCTTTGGTCGCTCACGGCGGTGGTCGCTCACCCTGGCCGCTTACCTTCGTCGTTCACGGTGGTCGTCCACATGTGGTGGATATGATCCAACTGAGATGTTGTGCACAGGACAGGGCTTCGGTGTCTTGGACAACACAGCCTTCCAAAATCCAATACTCGTGGGCGCCACAAACATTTGGATCGAGCCATGTGTAGTCAGCCATCCGGAAAGTCGGATAGCTGGATAACTAGACAACCGAGAGTTCTCACGAATATGACTTGACGCAAGGTCAACGGCAATCAGTGCCCACAGCAATTTGCCCTCAAGACATGTTGCCAAGGGGTTTTCTCCAGAGACTCGGTGATCTCATCGCGCAGCCCGGGCGTCAAAGTCTCAGATCACGTCGCTCCCCGGTCTCACCAGTCGACTAATGCGGGAGTACCTGGACGGTACGTCACACCTCGTGACGTGGATCTGTTTACACAGACAGCTCGGCGCGGTTACTCGACAAGGAGCTCGTCCAGGGATTGATCCTCTCGTAGCCAGAATGGAAGTTTTCTGGTGCACCTCTGTCGAGTACGAGTGCGTAGAGTACTGCTTTCTCGGTCGATGTGACGGTCAATGCGGCGGCTGAAGTGACGGTGATGGTGATGCTTTTGCTGACCGCGTCGACACGAGAGTTGGAAGGTGATGTGAGGAGAGAGGCAGAGAGAGATTGGATTGAGGCAACCCCTCCTTGGCTGCTTCGTATCGCAATCGTATCGCGACTTGTAGCACCGTAAAGTATGGCATTCGACGCTTCCGGTGTTCCTGGCTTCCTGGCAACGGGTAAAATGGGTCTGTGGCTTCCCTGCTGTGGCTTGGTTGTGGGTTCTGTGGTTCCTTGTGGTTGAGGCATGGAAGATCACTGGGCGTCGGCTGGGATATTGTGGGCACATTATGCCAACATTATCCCGGCCAGAGGATCTTCCATAGTAAAGTGGATAAATTGTCGCTCAATCACCGCCGAGTGCCTGCCAAGTTGGCTTTGACTGAAGTGACGGGAGTGAACTCCCTGTCAAACATTTGCTTAGTAGGGTCTTTTGGTGCTCCTTGGTGCTTTTCGTTGCTTGGCCATCGTATTATTCTAGCCAACCACACCAATATTCGCCCTTACCCATCATCTCGATAATACGAAACGTACTACGACCATGCTACCGCTATACCCATCCACTCACTACTCTCCACTACAATTACCACGGTACAATGCTGTACATAATATCCTATCGAGGGGCACAATGTTTCCCCAGATCATCCTCCTTGTTTTCTCTTAACTACGTAGTGCTCCGTTCGACAGTTTCACTGGCCGTTCATTAATCGGACTTTGTCTTGGGAGTCGCCTTCTTTCTTCCTTCTGTCTCCTTGATTCTACATATCCTTCTCGGTCGTCACTCGCTCCGACCTCACTTCTCTTCCATCTGTCATCCTTCATAAGGAAGTCGTGATAGAGAAAGAAGCTCCTGCCCTTGTCAATCCACAATCGCTGTCCATCGTTCCTGCCAACTTTGATCGATCTGATCCACACGCCCCGCTCTCACCCGCGAACTTCCTTGGACCAGAGGGCCTTTTTTGCGACCTTCTTCCGCAGCGACTATATTTTTTAGAGCTACGATAATCCATCTGTTGTACAACACTCGTTTTTAGAGACACTCGTTTTTAGGACTCGCTCGTTGCGTTTGTGATTCAATATGATCTCCAGCACGCTCGTTAAGGCTGGCGTCGCTGCCATTGCCGCTGCTACAACGGCCGTGGCCGCCTCGCTCCCTGCGATTTCCGCGGTGGGAAACAAGTTCTTTGACCCTTCGGGGAAGCAGTTCTTCATTAAGGGTATGCGAAGCTCGGTCCTGGGTGTCCTGCGCCAGCTGCTAACTCACGTTTCCAGGCATTGCGTATCAATTGATTCCCCATGACCCTCTCATGGACACCGAACAGTGCACGCTCGATGCGAAGGCGATGAAGACATTGGGTGCCAATACTATCCGTGTCTACCACGTCGACCCTACGGCCGACCACGATGGATGCATGGCCGCATTTGCCGATAACGGCATCTATATCCTGGTGGATCTCGACGACTTTGCAACTGATATCGACCCGGTATGTGGTTACTCTCTATACACGAGGAATTTATACATTGGGAATGTAAACTAATTGCGCTACAGTTGGCGCCAACTTGGAACGATTCCCAGTACAAGGCGTACTCTGCCATCTTCGACGTTTTCGCCAAATACACAAACACCCTCGGTGTCTTTATTGGAAACGAGGTCATTGCCCGCGCCAACCAGTCTGAGTCTGCGCCTTATATCAAGGCTGCCACCCGCGACATGAAGGCCTACCGTGACAAGAAGGGATTCCGCAATATTCCAGTTGGATACTCCGCAGCAGATATCGCAGAATTGCGCCCCATGCTCCAGGACTACCTTGTTTGCGGCGATACCGCAGACACGGCTGACTTTTTCGGCCTGAACGCCTACGAGTGGTGCGAGGCGGGCAACGATTTCCAGACTTCTGGCTACAAGACCCTGGACGATATGGCGCAAGGATACCCAGTCCCCATCTTCTTCTCAGAGACTGGCTGCAACACCGCTCGCCCCCGACTCTTCCTCGATCAGAATGCCATCCTTGGCCCAGATATGAACGACCTCTGGTCCGGCGCCATCGTCTACGAGTGGATCGAGGAGAAAAACAACTACGGACTGATCAGCTACGGGCCACCCCAGGGAGAGAAGACCGGCACGAACATCGAGGACGGCTTCCTCCGCAAGGGAACCCCCACGCCAGTCCAGCCAGATTTCTCCAACCTCCAGGCCGTCTGGAAGACCAACAACCCTACGGGAACCGCCAAGTCCGCGTACACGCCAAAGCTCACCGCCCCAGCCTGCCCGAAGTCGACCGCCGGCGGCTGGCTCTTGGACGGCGACGTCGCCCTCCCCACGCTCAACCAGATATTCACTGCATCCCCGACCAACAAGCCAACCGACGTCGGCAAGAACCAAAACCCAACGGCCACCAGTACCGATTCATCGGCTCCAACCGGGACAAACGGTGCCGTGGCCGTCGGGCGTGAGCTTTCCGGCATGACTGGCGCGCTTGCCGCTGTTGTGGTTGGTTTCGCCGCCTTGCTGTAGACTGCTGCATTTCCGATAGTATGGCGTTTTAGATAATTTGTACTTTTCCCACGAACCTTCTATGTAACTTTGTTTTTTGGAGCTTGTGAATAATTGGCTGCGTTTTTATTTTGGGGGGGTCGGAAGAGGGAAGGAGCGATGGGTGCATCTATGTGTACATTGTTGATGTTTTTAAGCACAGCATAGCGTTGCTCCGCGCTTTATGTTGGCATGTAGCATACGGATATGTATAGATGTGAGAGGAGAAGACGATATTTCGTGGCTTTTTGGTCATTATTGGAGGGGAGATGACTATAGGCTGAAAAACGGCTGAGGTCTTGAGTCAGATATTTTGCTTAGACATGCAATACAGATTGCTTGCCATGGTCAGAGAAACCAACCATATGATTCGCATGTCTTAAGAGCCTTTACCTGACCCTTCAGGAAACTATATAAAAAGGCATGTTGGTCCTTGATCGCAATTGCAAGCTTTTATAAATTAGCCATAGTCTATTTTAGGGGTTACCCTTCCCGCACCGCACCGCCAAGTGGGTGGGGTGTGCGACCCTAGAATAGCCACGGGCCGTTTCCTGTTCCTGTCCCTGACAGCTGACAACAATGGCAAATGAAAATGGGGATTTACCTTTTAGCTGTATCTATCAACGCCGTCATACAGTGCTATATCTCTACTCACACGTACAATACTTTATGCAAGACATAATTCCCGAAAAAAGCCCTATCTAAAGGATTTGCATGACGATTAAGCCTCGATTTGGAAGGAATCACCAACCCTGATCCGATGAAGCGAGATGAGAAGCTGAAGACCCCTGCGCGACATGACAGCCCTGTTAGTCGATATGCATGAAGCGCGAAGCTGAACAACTCCACAGCGAGCGGCCGGGGGAATATCTGCAGCTATAAGCGGTAATTATCCAACACGTGGGTGAGATCTACTCAGAATCCTTTGGCGGCTGAACCCCCCAAGCTCTCACCACCATCCATCCATTTTGCCTCCTCGCCATACCTTCCTACCACAGTCCAACGGTATCATAACCAATCCACTCCTCCAAAGCCTCACCATCCATTCCTCCAAAGCCTCGCCCCGACGCGACGAGCCCTCCGCCACAATGACGACCACCCCCAACAACCTCAGTTCCTTCTTCTTCGTCCCCGGCCTCCCAAAGCACCTATGCCCCGGCATGCCCTGGGAATGCGTGCCCCCAGCAGCATGCGCCCGTGACCCCACGACCGGACGAGCATTCTGCTGCGACCCTAAAAGCGTGTGTTTTGCCGGCGTCGCGACGTGCGCCAGCGATGGCAGCACGTTTCAATGCGGCACAGGGACGAATACGTGGTGCTGTACTAGTGATACGTGTGTCTCCCCCTTCTTCGCCGTGATGTGGTTTGGTTTGCTAATGTAGGGGATTAGGGAGTCTTGTACGGGGTCGACTGGGCAGACTAATATCTGCTGGAGTAAATCATACGATGTGCTTATGGATATCGGGTCAATCCCTCTCAATGAAACTTATTCCTCCCTCAGCTCCGCAGACCCAGAGGCGACATCTTGGGCCTTTGATCCTAAGTCTTTGATTGCTGCCACGCAGACAACCTCCCACACAACCTCCAGCACGCCTTCATCTACGCCCTCAACTACGCCCTCAACTACGCCTTCGTCCACCGACACGACCACCGCGCCAACCACCAGCGCCTCCGACGCCTCGAAGGCGGGCGCATCCAACACGCCCTCCCCCACACCATCCGACCTCTCCTCCACCTCATCATCTAAATCCCTCTCCGGCGGTGCCATCGGCGGCATCGTAGTCGGCGCCGTCGCCGCCGTAGTCCTCGTTGCTCTCGCGGTGTTCTTTCTCAGGAGGAGGCGGCAACGGGCGGAGAGCGAGAATAAAGAGGGGATTCCGTGGGCGGCGCTGCCGCCGCAGGGCCCGGCGCATGAGTTGCCGACGGGGAAGCAGGAGCCAGTGCATGAGTTGGCGGGGGCGAGGGCGGTGGTGGAGTTGCCGGGGAATGAGAGGTATCGCTAGGGGTAGATGGGAGGTCTGTTTATGGGACTACAAGGATAATGTTGAAGTAGGCGAGGAGGATGGGGATAGTGAGGCATGAGGATGTGAATGCGCGACCTGCACGACGATCTGTGTCGAGTGAAGGAAATGGCCATCGATTAGTTTTTGAGATCATAGATGCCCTGAAGGTAGGTGGACCGACAAACATGCCCAGAGAGTTCAAGTACTGTGGCATTAACCACGCGCCGCGCACCCTCAGACACCAGGCACTTCTCTTGGATCTCCAGGGATGAAAGGAAGTGTGCGGAATTGGATCTCCTGTGTGACTGCCGATTGTAATGTTGAACTGATTGAATATGGAGGGAGGGAGGAGGGTATGCGATATATAAATATCTAGATCTAGAGCAGACAAATTTATGTATGATAGCTAATTATTCCTACAGAGATTTGGGAATACGGTATTGGTTGCGATACAACAAGCTATATAAATTATATCTATAGACCATCGGCCTACTTAAGTGGATAGCCTAGTAGTACAAACACGACGCTTTCACATCACCGTGACATGTCGATCTATTCATGATTTATAAGCGCGCTTACAACCTGCATATCAAAACCAGCCAACCCCTCCATAACCTCATTCAAGACTCATTACGTGCTATCAAGCCATCTTGCGCCAAGGCCACCTATAAATACCAATATATCCTATCAAAGTTCCACACAAGGCTTATAAACTCAAAGCCCAAACCTCAAAACACACAACAACCCCACAATGTCCTCCTCAACCCCTCCCTCACCCCCCACCCTCGTCAACATCGGCACCCACTCCCTCGCCCTCTACACCCACGGCCCCTCCCCTGCCAGCCCCAGCGACCCCGTCCTCCTCTTCATCCCAGGCCTATCAAGCAGCCGCCTCGTCTGGGCCGCCGTCATCCGCCTCCTACCCTCCTCACTGCGCAGCTACACCTACGACCGCTCCGGCTTCGGCAGCTCCGAGCTCTCACCACTCGCTCCCACAGCCGAGAATATCGCCCTGGAGCTCTCGTATTTTATTGAAAGGGCGCCTATTACGAATCCACTTATTATTGTCGGGCATTCATGGGCTGGGGTGCTAATTCGTGAGTTCATCGCTCTTACGGGGAATGGACAGCATATCGCGGGTCTGGTGCTCGTAGATGCAAATCACGAGACTACACTGCCGCCGCTGAAGAAGTGGTTAGCAGCTCTCAAACCTCTAGGTGAAGGCCTGGAACCGTACGCCGCAAGGGGCATAGAGGCAGAGAAGCAGTTGACGCAAGAAGAATGGGAAGCTTTCGTAGGCGACGAGAGGAGCGAGAAATTCCAGCTCCAAGCGGAAAAAGAGTTTGCGGCATACGAGCCCAGTTTCCCCACGCTGCAAAATAAGGAGCTGGAGAAGAAGCAGCCGCTGCTGGGGGGGAAACCGGTGTTTGTGATTGGGGGGAAGAGGAGCTGGGATGGAGTTAGGGTGTATGAGGCTGGGGTGGAGAGGGGGAATGGGACGGAGGAGGAGAGGAGGCATCTTAGGGAGATGATTGGGGTTGTGGATGAGGAGAATGATGGGTTGATTAGGGAGCATTTGAGGCTGAGTACGAGGGGGGAGATTGTTTTTGCGAGGGAGAGTGGCCATTTTGTGCAGGTTACTCAGCCGGATGTTGTGGTTGGAGGGGTGAAGTGGGTGGTGGTTGAGGTGCAGGCTTCTTCTTAGGTGTGAAAAATAAATAGCGAATGGATAATATTAATACATGTCCGAATGTTCTCTAATAATGTGAATTCTTTGGAATCGTAGTCGATTGTTGTAGTTGTAATTATTATCACTATATGGTGTTGTTTGTAAACGGCCGAGTCGTCTCTTGTGAGCTGAGAGCATGGAGCAGGCTTCAGGACCCGATAAGATAACGATTTTCACCACCGACAACAGCTCCAACCTCACGACCACCAAAACCTCCAACCTCCCAATCCTCAACCCAAACACCACAACCCACAACCACACCACCTCTAACTCCCGGGCACATACACACAAACCGCCCAACATGTCCGTCCACGCCTCCCGCGCCGACCTAATCGACCTCGACTCCATCCCCACCACCCACGCCTCCACCCAAGCCACCGCCTTCCTCAGCCAACTCGACCGCAAAAAACGCGCCGCCGCCACCATCGTCCCCACCTCCGACACCGCCGTGCGCGCCGCCCTGCGCGCCATCTCCGAGCCCATAACACTCTATGGCGAAGGCCCCGGCGACCGCCGCGATCGCCTGCGCGAACTCTTGGCTGAGCGCGAAGAGGTGGAGGCCGAGGATGAGGATACGGCTATGGGCGAGGCGGAGGCGGATGCGGATGTGGAGGAGGAGTTTTATACAGCTGGGAGTGATGGGTTGCTTGAGGCGAGGAGGGAGATAGCGAGGTTTAGTCTGCCGAGGGCGAAGGCGAGGGTGGATGCTCAGAAGTTGGAGGCGAAAATCCCACTACGCACACATGTTACGTTTCGCAAGGCTTTGCGCGCGAAGCTGGCGCCGTTTGAGTTGCAGGGGAGTCAGATTGCGGGGGAGCGACCGGTAGGGATTGTGAGGTTTGCGCCGGATGGGGGGTCGGTCGCGGCGGGGGGGTGGGGTGGGAGTATTAAGGTCCTTGAGGTGCCGACGTTGGAGGCGAAGAGGACGTTGAGGGGACATACTGATCGGGTGGGGGGGATTGCGTGGGCGCCTCAGGGAGGGGAGGTGGAGTTGGCGTCGGGGGGTGGGGAGGGGAATGTGCATCTTTGGGGACGGGAGGGGGAGACTCCGTTGGCGACGTTGGGGGGGCATAATCAGCGCGTGTGTCGCGTGGAGTTCCACCCCTCGGGGAGATATCTGGCATCTGCGTCGGAGGATACGACGTGGCGCCTTTGGGATATTGAGACGAGGGATGAACTGCTGCTGCAGGAGGGACACTCGAGGGGTGTGTTTGCGGTGGCGTTTAATACGGATGGCTCGCTACTTGCTAGTGGGGGGACGGATAGTATGGGCCGCATTTGGGATTTGAGGACGGGGCGCACGGTGATGATTTTGGATGGACATATTAAGCCTGTCTACGCGCTGGATTGGGGGGTGGATGGACATCGTGTGCTCAGTGGTTCGGGGGATGGATGGGTGAAGTGCTGGGATATTAGGAAGGTCGCCTGTGTTGGGGGTGTAGGCGCGCATAAATCTGTGGTATCCGATTTGAGGTGGTATAAGGGAGATGGAATGGCGAGGAGTGGGGAGTCAGGGGAGGAGCCGAAGAAGGGGGGGACCTTCTTTGCGAGCGCGGGGTTCGATAAGAGGATTAATGTGTTCTCGGCGGATGACTGGGGGATGGTGTGTAGTCTGAGCGGACATACGGGGAATGTGCATAGTGTGGATGTTAGCAAGGATGCGAGGTGGATTGTTAGTGGAGGGTATGATCGGACGGTCAAGATCTGGGGGAGGAATGATGGAGAGGGATTATAGGGAGGACGAGATGCTGATGGCGTTTGGTACGGTGCTTTCTAGCGGTTTGCATGTTCGATGGGAGTGTAGGATAGTAGAACTCGGAAATGCTGAGATTAACAAGAATGTATTGAAAGGTCAAACTATATCAATTTATAGACACTCAGCTTGGTTCTGTCGATGATAAATACAGTCCAATATGGGCCAAAAATACAATCCCATCTCATAACCCTGCTTTTCGCCTTCGACTTTGACAATATTATAACTCGATTCCACCCCCCTAACAAAATCTACGCCGCCTTCTCCCTCGCCTTAGCCGTCGCAACCAAATCTGGCATCGAATCCATCGTAAACGACAGCGGGAGTAACTATCACCGCATCAGCACTTCACTCTACTCAACATACTGCGCCAGTGGAATCAACTGCCCACAAGTCAGCACCACCGACCCTGCATCGGCGGGCAGGGTGCCCGTGTGGTAAGAGACTGCAACAGGGTTTTAATCGCCAGGAAAAGAAACGTAAACTCACCTGCTCCACAGTCAAGACATGGAAATTCCCCACCTTGTCAAACATATACACCGGCATCGATGCGTCGCAGAACTCCTTAATACTACCCCTCAGTCAGCACACCCCCCTCCTCTCCAACAAACAGAAAAACGAAAACTCACAACTGCCTACACATCCCACACGGACTAATCACCCCCACTGCATCACTCGTAACCGCCAACGCCCTAAACGTCCCCTTCTTCCACCCCCCCTTAAACTCCGCCACCCCCGCCCTCTCCTCCCTCTCCACCTCCCCCACCTCCACCTTCGCCCTCTTATTTTGCCCATGATCCAACAAACTCATGATCGCAGACCCCAGCGCAACGCGCTCAGCGCAGGTCCCAACGGGGTACGACGCATTCTCGATGTTCGCACCGGAGACCTCAGTGCCGTCTGAGAGCAGCACGGCGGCGCCGACGCGGAAGCGCGAGTAGGGCGCGTAGGCGGCGGAGCGAGCGGAGGAGGCGAGGAAGGAGAGGGAGGAGAGGGCGGAGGGGGCGAGCGAGTGGGCGGCGGCGGAGGCGGGGAGGGCGGTGGGTGGGTGGAGGGGGATAGCGGTTGTGGACATTGTGGTGGGTTTTGTGGTTGGGTTGTTTGGGGGAGTATGTTTTGGGAATAGTTGCTGGAGAAATTTACGTTGGAGGAGAAAGGAGGAGGAAGATATAGGGTTCTTGTGCGGGGTTTATTGTTTGGAGAAGCTCTTGGTGGGGTGACGGCGGCCGATAAGGTGGGCTGATAAGGAAGGTGCTTGTGGAGTTTCTGCCGCCGATGGCATGTTGACTGGTGCGGGTTTAAACTCGATTCGGCAACGGCGAGAGAGAGTAGCGCCGCTAGGGCTTAAAAATCACTGTTTTCGATAAGTATGCCTACTATCAATAAGTGTGTACGTAGTCTTTTAAATGCTATTTTTAACGCTAAATATTCATGTTAGCGCTAGTGTAGCTACCCTAGGGGTTGGCCTATTTTTCGACATAATTAATGCCCGAGGTATTTCACTCAGCCACAATCGGAGCGCCTTAGGTGTAGCCGGGAACATCGTACTTCCAAGCTCCGCGACGAAAAGCCATTCTTGAATCTCGCATAGCGTCACTCGTCAGTCGTAAATATCATCAGTAAGGCAAATCGTGCGACTTCGTCTGCCTAAAATCATGGGCAGATGGAAGGTAGAAGTTGTTGCTTAATCGTGTAGCTGCAAGGCCGGGCCTTGGGATGCAGGTGAGCTCGCCTCGCACCTCGAGTTGGCTCTCTCGCCTTCTCACAGAAGGCATTAATTGGCATCTGTCTGCCTGCCACAGCTGAGGCAGACGTTTTGTAACCTATTCATTTCAAGTTAGTCACTCAAAGTACCACATGAGAATGAAAGGCCTAGACCAACTTTATCTTTATCCTTGTTGTCATAGCCTGATTGGTTGGTATGGGTGTGATGTGAGCAAGCGATTCTCTGCCTCAACCATGCCTAACTGCTAGATTTTGAGAGGTAGGCTTAGTTTTGAGAATCTTGAGGCTTTTGTTAAGCCAGCCGCATTTCCTCTTCTGATATCATCTAAATGGCTTTGTCAGCTGACAATGTCTTAATATCCATTCCGTGCCAAATTTGAATAGTCGTTCCAAATTTATCACTAGGCAGGGTTTAGAGGAGATCTAGGATGAATTTGTTGTCCTCTGTCTCTTGAACATAAGTATTTTTGATAGCTATTTAGGCACGTTGCCACGCGGCTCTGTATTGGTGTGCCGCCCCTATTCCAGTGTCTGAATATTACAGGGCTCTTTGCTCTCTTTACAGGTTGATGTATTGTCGTTTGCCCGTCGTTGTTAGGGCCTTTTTCAAATCCTGCTAGAGGCTTACCCTGTCCTTGAATTGGCCTAGAGCCAATAGCTCTTTAACCTCGGCTGAGAGTACAGGATATATCAAATCTCCTATATCTCTCTTTTGCCTTTTTGTGATTTGGTGTATTGTTTCAGTTTCGTCGTCGTCGTCTTCGTTGCCCAGGAACTGCCAAAGATTGCGTGCACGGAACAGAATACCCATACGAATACACCATTCGGCATAATTCTTTTTCGTGAGCTTTGGTACTGTATTTGGTGTATTCGCCATCAAAACTCCTTTCGTATCTGTCATATTAATGATGGCAATTGATATTTGAGCGGATGGTGCTCAAATACTACTCAAATCTGGCCAGTGATGCGGCTAATATTCAAATGTGAGAACGGCTGTTGATTTAGCCAGTACTCTAAAATATGAGAGTAGGTCGATGATTTAGCCAATACTCCGATGGGAGCTGGTCGATGATTTGGCCAATACTCAATATGATTCAACAAATTTGTGGCAGATGTTAAAGCATCCGGCCTCATAACTGTAGAAATAGATATATAAGACTGTCGAATAGACAGAATGAACCAAACTAAACGAATGAATTAATTGAATATCTAGACTATAGAGCAGGTCCCTAATATATATGAGACCTGAAACGAGTGTAGTTTAGGATGTGTCTGTAACGAGTGATCAAACGAGTTAGACAGTGCTCAAACGAGTGTGTCGCAGAATAGCAACTCAACCCAATATATCCAACTGTTCGTACATGTCTCTATCGTGTGTTTCTAGGTCACCTGACACACCCAGCCATCTTCCGAGAAGCTCTTCTCTTCCGTCCCTAAAGGCAGTGAGTGTCAATCGCAATAAATCCGTTCATTTTACGGAGTACGGAGTACTCGCTATTTCCTCTCTGGTATTTATCCAGAGTTACGGAGTACAGAGTACAGAGTACAGAATAGCCAGAATAGCGAATGTGCTCACCCTGCCCCCAAAAGCCTGCCTAAGCCACACCCAACCACCCCATTCACGCTGCTCCAGCCAGCCTCGCGCATTCCGCGTCAGCATGACAACAATGGAAGGAGATGGCGGGGGACATATATGGTAGGGCTGCAGGTTTAGGGTTAATTTAGAGGAGAGCATAACCTCCTAGCTGCATCACGAACCCTATGTGACATCCTGCGATCTCATATTTTCTAGGAGCCTGCCCTACCCTATCACATTTACTAACCCTGACACTTAGAGATGTAGAAAAAGCTGAGTGACCTTGAAGTATAGAAGATTTAAAGCTGCTTAGAGTCAAAGTGGTTGAATGAAGCTTTAAGAATCTTGTCTTGAGACGTCGGCTTAGCCCTGCACTGCCACCACATAGTTCTACAGTAACTAAAGATTAATGAAAGCCAGATCTAGAAACCTCGTAACACTTCTCGTTGAGCGCCGAGTGGCTAGAAGCTCTTCTTGCATATTCTAACTACAGTTCTACCATCCAGGCCTCACATTTTCAAACCCACACGCACCGACTTAATGCCATCGCGACGCCTCACAATAACCTCAGGATCACGTCGCATCGCAGGGAGTCCCAACATAGTCTCCTTCCGCTTCGGCACAACCCCCTTTCCAAGCGCATCTCCATCCCCAGGCACCATCTCGAAACTCAGCAGAGCCTTTACCACCAGCGAAAGCGTGATGTTCAGACCGAGATACCGACCAGGACACTGGTGCATACCTGGAAAACCGAAAACATTAAGGTGCTTAACGAGATCTGCGTCAACGTCACCGTTGTCTTTCAGGAACCGGCTAGGACGGAATGCGTCGACGTCCGCACCCCATGTATCGAGGGCGAAGTTGTGCAGGTGGATGGGAGTCATGATGATGGATCCCTTCTTGATCTGGTATTTGGCCTCGAAGATGCTGTCTTCATACACGTATCGTGCCACTGGAGAATCTCCGTAGACGCGGAGAAGCTCGTACCAGGTTCCTAGGAGCAGTGGGCATGAGCTTCGGACTCTATCCATGTCGATGACAAGACTTTTCGTATCTTGGGTATGATGGGGATGGTCGACCGCAGCGTTGAGTTCGGAAACAAGGCTCGCCATCAGCTCCGAATCAGCCACGATGTGGCAGATTGCCCAGGTGATGATGTTGATGACGTTTGACATCAGTCCCACGATAGCCACGAGATGGCAATCAGTGAAGCCCTCTTGCGGGAGCTCGAGCGTCTCATAGAGAACAGAAAGTCGTTTGAAAAGGGTAGGCTCCTGAATCTCGTCACCGTAGGCCTCATCTTCCGCTGCCTTGTCGAGCTTCTTGCGCACATATTCCCGTGCTGAGAAGAGCTCCCTTGGAACGAGGAATGAAATGGGATTTCGCAAAGTCTCCAAGTTCTGAATGAAGACTCTCAGATGCTCCCGAAAAAGTGCATCTTCGAAAGGTCCTTCTTCGCCCCAGAACACCGCGCCCATAGAGTACGAAAGCAGGTCAAAGAGCCAGCTTCCCAGTCCAACTCTGACCGGATCTCGGCCTTTGATAGTTTTATCCCAATGCCCCCCAGCTTTCAGCTCTAACTGCGCAGCATTTCTCCGAAGATTCTGCAGGCTCCTGAGCTCCTCGTTGAACAGCTTGGATAAAGCTCGCTTGAAAGCACCTGAATCGGGATCCAAGAGGAACTGCTCGCTAGCAGGTACAAGACCCATGCATGGCCCAACAGCAACGCGAAATACGGTCATCAGGCTCAGGTGACGCATGCCTGTGAACTGCTTGATGCTTGGTGCATCAAGGGGGTGAATAAAATGCATGTCCTGTCCAGGAAGCTTAAGGGTTGATATTGGTGTGCGCTGAGCCGCACTAGGCAACGTTGCGTGTAAGTCATGTGCACGTTTACTGGAGAGACCAGTTAAGAGAGGGAGAATACACACCATAGTGAAGATATATACAAGCTAGAGCCCCTGGATGCAATGCCTATAAGATGCCCGATAAAGGGGATGCGAGAACGGAAAACAGGCGGCTCGGAAATCTTATCACTTGCTGTTGACGTTGGCGAATGCCAGAATACAAATACCCTATAGAGAAACCATGTGACCAGCAAATAGCATGCAAGAGTGGGTATTTGAATCGCCATGAGCACGCAAGTGAAAGTAGTGTGATGATGATTCTCCTGCACCTAGTAAATGTCCAAGACGGTCGCAGGTAGAGATGCTAAGGGGAGTTAGGCACAAAATGTAAACCGAAAACAAGGTGCGAGTGCGACCAGAGATTAATTTTTAGTATAACGATGAAGTCACAAATACTGTTAAATTTTCAGACCATAGATGCGGACTATAGAAGCTCGATAACGTCCGTGTGTTAATTGTTAAGCACCTCGTAGCGAGTATTATCCCCCGCTATATAACCAAAGAGAGAGAGGCCTAGGCTAGTGTTAATCTTGGCCAATGCAACAAAGTGTGCTAGGGAAACAAACGTGGACGATGAGCCGCCGCGAGTTGGAGTGGCGAAGAACATGGCTTCTGCTGCTTCCATGCCGTAATGGCTAGAATCTCGTCCCACAAGGGAATAATAGGAACAACACTCGCTAGCAGGCTAAATCGCCCCGCATCGCCTCCCCTATGGCTGTGTCCACATGGAATACAGTATAGCGACAAAAGGATTTGTACAGGTCTGTGCTTAACACACAAAAATGGCTACTACTTTATTAAACGCAAATACGTACATAATTGCAATTATGTATATAGGTATAATAGAATACTAGAATAGCTTTAATAATATTATATATTTATAATAGCTTAAGGCTCTTATTTAAGTATATAAGTATATGTTCCGGCCCAACCACGAATAAGTGGTATTCGCGAATACGCTGGCCCATTCGCGAATGGGCCGGCCCAACCACGAATATGTTCCTTCGCGAATAGGCCAACTACAAATAGTAGAAGAGTATAGCAAATTGAATAAATTAATAATCTAACCACTATTGCCAATAGTGTCTGCTCTTGCCCGCTTCCGCTTTGGCTTTTCTACTAAAGCTAATTCCGTACGAGTAGCTAGGCCTGATAAGTTGCCACAGTTATAATCATCATTATAACAGTGAACACTACACTACTTAACCTCCTTATAACAGCAGCACCTCTTTGTACTACACTGCCCTTTGCATTGACATGATATTCCTACCCGTACACTTGTAGAAGCCTCTCTAGCTGCAAGCCCTAATCCTACCTGCTTTGTAGAATCAGGAATTTGAATATCAGACCATAGAGCCTGCTCTACAACACTAAGTGATTTTGTAGGTATAAGGCGTTGTATAATACCAGAGGCTGTTATAACCTGATACCAGTGTAGGTAAGGCTCTTTTAAAATGCGTGCAAAGAGCCTCTTATTATCAGTTAAGGTTCTATCCTCCCGTAGAACCTTTATAGAGACTATATCCCCTACTTTAAAGTGCTGTATGTCATGCTTCTTAGTGTACTTGCGTACCATAGAAACCCGTGCTCTTTGAGTAGCTGCTATAGCCTGCTCAATTATAGGGTCAGGTGTAGCTCGAAGCTCAGTCCTAGGCTGAGCTGGCACCCGAGCCCGGGTCCCACGACGGAGCTCAGAATGAAGCTGCTCTTGCGCTTGCTCAGAATTGAGCGAGGGCACCAGCTCAGAATTGATCGAGGGCGCTACCTCAGAATTGATCGAGGGTGCCAGCTCAGAATTGAGCGAGAGCAGTAGCTCAGAATTGATCGAGAGCAGTAGCTCAGAATTGATCGAGGGCGCCAGCTCAGAATTGATTGAGAGCTCTCGCTCTTGCTGAAGCTGTAGGTCAATTTGAGCTTCAGGCTCAAGCTGGCTCTCAAAAATTGGTCCCATATTAGGGTCCTCCTGCTCAACTCCAATTGAGAGATCCTTCCGGGCCTGGCTATTAAGCCAGTCAATATGAGAGTTCCTGTCTCGGAACAGTAGCTCGGCTGGTGCGCACCCAATTGTAGAGTGGATTTGGGTGTTCATTGCAAGCGTGACCTCAAGTAGCCCATCATTCCACTCTGTAGACCCATGGTCCATTTTCTATGCTCGGAGCTTTGCTTCTACAATTCCATTTGCCTGCTTAACTAGGCCTTGCGTTTGAGGTGACCGTAGTGCTCCATTTACTACTTAAATTCCATACTTTCGTAGTAGGATAAGTAGAGCCCCCTTAAATTCCTTCCCATTATCAGCTTACATAATCTTAGGAGGTAAGAAAGCTGCAATAAAGATAGCAAAGCAGTCTGCAATCAGCTTTGCATGCTTGCTCTTTAATGGATATAGCTGTATATATTTTGAGAAGTGATCCTTTATATGTAGAATCTACTTATATTGTCCTAACGGCTTATGGCGCATATCAATTAAGTCAATTTGAACCCTTTCCTATGCTCGGCCTATAGTAATAGGAACTAGAGGAGCTTTTGTAGTAGTAGGTCGATTTAGTGTGCAATTTTTACATCGCTTTACTATAAACTCTGCTTCTTCTCGCTTTAGCCTATAGTATTTCTGTTGTAGAATAGTCTATGTTTTTGTCTAGCCTGTATGTAAGAGCTATAGATGTTCATTAACAATAGTGTCAAATGCATCACTCTCTAGAACAACAGATTGTAGGCTCTGGAACTTAGAGTCAGGCTTCCGGTAGAGCTTATTATGTATAAGCATAAACTCTGTTTGAGCTCTATGCTTTAGTCGTGACTCTACTTGAGTTGTAGGCTTTAGTAGGATCCACTTTAATAGTTAAAGGTTAATGTTATGATTCTATCTACAATATCCTATAATACTACCCCGCGTATTAGGCAGCTATTCGTGGTTGGGCCAGCCTATTCGCGAATGGGCCGGCCCATTCGCGAAGGAACATATTCGTGGTTGGGCCGGAACATATATAAATCCTTTTGCTACTATACTATATCCCCTTAAGTGTAGTAGGTGTAGTATATAGTATATGTAGTATAGTATATAGTATACGTAAATAGTACTCTAACATAGTATACTATACTACCTATACACTAGTATACTGCACTTACAAACATCACCTACTCTACATCTGCTAACCGGGATAATTTGAGGGATAGGGGGCGGGCGGACGCAGTGTCTTTCCCTGCTCCGACCCTGCTCCGACACTAGACAAGACACTAGGCAAGCAGTGTTTTCCGTCATGTCCGTCCACTTAGCAGGATCCTCATCCTCATCCTCATCCTCATCCGCATCCCCGGCCCGCCTCTCTCGGCCTAGTGGGCCGGCTCACAAACGAGATGTGCAGGGTCTAAGGATGTGATTGATCGATCAACTTGATGCATCCACTGCACGCGACAGAAGGTACCTCGATGAGGAATGGCGGCGTACTTTGGATGTTGAGGGCTGTTGGTGTAGTCCCCGCCCGGATGGTGTATGGCTACTGGCCACCATCTACCACTCTACTGAATCCCCTCCCGCTATCCCACATGTGGTAAGACCACGAGAATGAAACCGTCTGAGGACATGGACATGGCATCGACTGGCATGATGGAGATGGACATCCATCCTAAGTCCGGAATCACTGGATCCGCTGCCCGCCGGGCCGAACCGTTCTGCGCCAACTCTCTTCCGGGAAGGTCCACTCGCCAGCCTAATAGCTCGATGTTTATCCACTAATCGCTTGATTAACCAATTTATCAGAGACCAATCACGCCCTGCCCCTATGCGGTGGATGCATTAGTATGTGTGTGTGCTGCAGTGTGTACTACAGTACGGCGCTAGAAGTATGCGTACAGGTCTGTACTTAAATTGCAGTAAACGGGTGTCTTTTTGTATGGGAGAAGCACAGACCTGCACGCATACTTCTGGCGCCCTACTGTATGCAGTGGACTGTAGCCATCCACTCACCGCCAAGATCCATCTCTAAGCTCACGGCCATCTCCGCCACGAAACAGACAATGTGGCGACCCTGACGCCGCCATCGACGTTCAGACGAAAGCAGCGCCGCCACATACACTAATCGCGTCGGGCGGCCCGATCCGACGGTGAAACCTGCGGTGCGGGGGAGGTGTAAAAATAGACATGGACAGGAACGAGATGATGTATGCGACTTACGTGATCGTTGCGGGGGACAGACCCTACTCCGTACGACTCAAACACACGCCACTCAACACCCGACCCATATAAGCATGACGGGCTCTAGCACCATGCAAGAAGCCTAACACTACGACCAGCCAGTCTTTTGAGTGCTTCTTCGGCGGCTGTAGCCCACAGCGGTGCCACGCCCCATTCGATTCCCGTCGGCGCTTTCTTGGCGGCGAGGTTTGCATACAATGGAGCTAGACGCTAAGACTTACGAGAGATCTTGGCTGCAGAGCATCCCAAAGGGATACGGTGACATTTTGGCTCTCCTCGATTAGTGCTTGGCGTGGGTCGGTTGCCTCACTCCAACGCACTGGTTTTTGGGCCTAAACCCTTCTGCTACTGAGGGTGTTTGCATGCCCCCTCCAAATAACCTAAATAATACATAGGCTCTGTAGGCATTAATTCAATTGGCCTATATATTCTATATACTGTAGTTACGGCGAGGCCTCCTGACTCCGTCTGCCGAATAGATACAAGATTCCTATCTCTGCCAGGCTTAAATCTCACGTCTAATCTGGTAACCGAGCGCTAAAGTGTCGCTGCTTTTCCCAGATTTCAGAAAGGAGAAATCGGGAAATTGTAATCTGGCATTAGGGGGCCCAAGTCGAGCGGCATCGATGGATTAATACCACTAAACCACTGATGCCGGATTTCTGTCAAGCACTTACAGTATTTCGTTTTATGTTAGCGGGCCCGGGCGCTTTAATCACCACATCTTTCGGTTTTCCCAACTTCGCAAAAACAGCCGCCCGTTTCTCGTTTCCTGGTTCCCTATTTCTGCACTATCCCACAGCATTCTGTTTCTGGTTTCTACATCCTGTACTGTGGGTTTCTGATCCTAGGATTCAGATTTCTATGCGCACAACACTGTAGACATCATGTTGGCGCATTGCCCCCCAGTTTGGTGTCCACACACACCTGCTCCTACTGTTCCCTCTTCACTTATCTTCCCTTTCGTCTTTCCTGTTAAGTTCCCTTGCATCTCACCTCTTAGCTTCCTTTATTTCTAAGAATTCCCTTGATTATTTTGCATTTTTTACACTTTGCTTCTTTACTTGTGTCTTATTCCCTTAATATCTGAAGTAGAACGCTAGACATAAAGTTCTCAAAAAGATGAACTACTAGCAGATGTTAAGCTAGGTGCCGGTATTTTCACCGAACTTCGCCAAATTACCGCGTAAGAATCAACCTTATAGTCTGGGTCGACGCCGTCTGTGGTGACTAACAGCTTAACCACCGCCCCATGCTTGTATGCTACAGCCCACGACAGCGGCGTCATGCCGTCATTGTCCTTGGAGTTGAGATCAATGCCGTTCATTGCAACTAGCAGTTTGACCACCGCCTCGTGCCCCTTAGCTGCAGCCGCTAACAGAGGCGTCTCACCGTCGTCGTCCTTGGAGTTTGGGTTGACACCGCCTATCAGGAGCAGCAATTTGACCACTCTCTCGTGTCCGTTTGCTGCTGCCCGCAAAAGCGGCGTCTTACCCTCGTTATCCTTGGAGTTGAGATCAATGCCATCCATTGCAGCTAGCAGTTCGACCACCTCCCCGTGCCCGTTCGCTGCAGCCAGCAACAGTGGTGTCTGACCGTAGGTGTCTTTCAAATCTAGATGACATCCATTTCGCAGTAAGCCCATCATCGCTTCCCCTAGTCCGAAGTATGCCGCAACGTGAACCCCTGTGGAGTGCGCTGGCACTCCCTCTCTGTACCAGGAGTTACCTCTTAAAGCTGTCATCGCCTGACTAGAGGCAGCCACCCGGGTGTCACGCTTGAGAAGTTGAAGAACTAGATACTTCTTCGTTGAAGCTACCCGAGCGTGATGTCCCCAATTTTGCGCGGCATAGTCATAAAGGACATTCTTCTGTAGTCTTGCCTTAAACTGCTCATCTGTAGAGCAAGAACCAGTAGCGAAAACATCAAATGATAGGTAAGTAACACAGGCAACCATGATATCTGTCTGTGCATAAGGAAACCAAAAAATCTGGGTCCGTTCAAAATATTCCTGAGTTGTATAATGGACCAAACGGACAGTAGCACTTTCTTTGTCTACAGTGACTAAACCAGCACACACCGAAATCATATCTTCAATGTCTGGAAGATTTTCTTCATCAAGCTCTAGCTTGCCAATTTCCACAGCAAGAGCGTGCCGAAGCTCTATTGTAGTGAGATTTCTCTTAGCGCAGGTGATCCATGACAGAACTTGTTTAGCAAGCTCTCGAGAGTCTGTAATTTGACCTTCGATTCTCTCCATAGCTTCTTTATACGCATGATCATATGCTTCAGATCCTGTTGAGAGCCTTTCCAACGCAGTTCTAATTGCCTTTGGTGATTTTTTTCCAATTAGTGAAGTCAAGTGCAGCTGTGCAAGAAGGAACCTAAATGAATATGAGTTAGTTGCTCTACTATAATAGCGTGAGAAGGCACGTACATCCCGTCAACAGCCTTTATAATTTTATTCTTAATTTCCTCTTGTAGATCAGGACGGCGCATAACAAATGATGGTAGGTATGGCATATGTCCGTCTAGATATCTCTGGACATCTTCATTACTAGCGCGGATTTCTAATGATGCACTTCCATTAAACTCTTCAATGATACTAGGGATGAACCGTGAAGTAGCGAAGAGACTTAGTCCAGTATTAGCTTGAAGGTTAAATATCTCTGAAATGAATTTCCGGCGACTGCCACTAGAAAGTTGGCACTCGTCTAGCCCGTCAATAATAATGAAGGTTGTAGAATAACTAGCAATAGTGGATTGCAATACTTTCAAGACTTCGTCAAATGATGGCCGAGTCCGCTTGTTCTTATGGAGCTCATAAAGACTCTTTAGACTGTCCGGCACTGAAGGTTGTTCCTGAACTAACTGTTTCAGTAGACTCGCCACTAAGTCTTCGAGCCTTTGGTCTTGCTGCTGTCGGAAGTTGAAATATAGATATGCAATACCAATAGTAGCATCATTCTGAAACCTACTACTAAGGTGTTCAATAACAACGGATGAGATAATTGTCTTGCCTGCTCCTGGAATGCCTGGACAGAACAAAGTCTGCTCGCGTTTGTTAACCCACACCTGGAATTCGTTCGAATTTAATAGCCATTGCCCAGATCCTTCCTGCCGCCGACTAATGAAGTCGCTTTGCTGAGTGGCATAATTGACAGATGAAAGCCAATCGATGATAACTCGACACTCTTGATCCTGTTGGTGCTGTAACAAGTTGACCAGATTGTCTCTCGTAAGTCGGCCGTTAAAGGCATTTAGTAACGTAATGTTTGAGCTAATACGGCTTCGAAGTTCCTTTATGTCCTCTGGCTCCCAATTGAATCTTTTCCAAACTCTTTTCATCCTCTTACCAACCCTCGCAGGATCTGAATTTAGTTCACCATACTTGTCTAGCAACTTTTCCAGATCGCTAAGAACATTGCGGCTACCCTTAGCAATATTATGCAACTCTATCTTCTGTTGGCTGCTAAGCTTCTGTTCTGGTAGGACGACCTCCACATCTTGGAGAACAATCGACAAGCTTCTAACTCTATTAAACCAAAATATTAGCATCTGTTAATTTATCGTCCTGGACAACTCACTCATTAGAAATGCCCTTTAATTGGCTTGGAGCAGTAGCAAATTCCTTGCGAATTTTGTTGGCAAGCTCAATCGCCGTGATAAAATCGCCTACACTGAAACCAAAGCTCATTGTGACCTTAAAACCAGTGCCCTTACCATGGTGTAAAAAGGAAGGCTTGACAGCGAAGAGAAACCTGTCAATATATTTGTCACTTAAAGCCTTAGTGGGGCAATTGTGGCGGCAGCTGACTATCGTGCATAAGTGCCTAACATGGGTATAGAAGACTTGCAAGGCTCTCATGCCTCCAGTAGGGTAGATAGTAGAAAGCGGCTCAAAAAGAGTCTAACAGAGATCGTCACGGTTGCACACGTAAAAAGACCTGTTTGAGAACACTATTGTTTAGCTCACATAGATGGATCGGGCTATCGGTGAGGCAGATTCAGAGATTAGCAAACCATTTCCTGTTTTTAAACGCATACAAACAAGTTCCGATGTACAGAATATATATTTTCATGCAGGTTGCCAAGGCAGATTTCAGGAATCAGCCAACCATTTTGCGTTTGACGCGCTCACATACACTACACCCCCGTATGCTAAGCCGGAGTTGGCATTAGTCGTAAGCACAGACGACGAGGGATGATAAAAGCACTCGAGAAGTCAGAAAACAGTTAGGACACAGCAAGCCTTCATCAACTCGGAAACTCAGAAACTCAAAACTGTCAACACTGAAACCCAAAGCCTTGAAACTAGAACACTCAAAGCCTAAAGACTAAAAACCTAAATTGTTAAAAAAAAAATCTTGCTCTAATTTTGAGGTAGCGTGCTGATAAAGATATTACCATCACGAACCTAGGGTGATGGTTGCGAGTTGCTATTATGCTGCATCCATAATATACAAGGATAGATGCCTTTGGGCGGGTAGTAAAGCGCGGACATTGGCTATGCACCTGCAACTTATAGCAGGGGCCGGACGCTCCGAACCAATTATTTGGCTTGAATCACGCATTCCCATGCCACATCCAACTCATTTCCAGGCAACCAAGTGCCAACATGTCGCTGCTTTTCCCAGGCTTCCGAAAGGAGAAATCAGGAAATGGTAAACCGGCATTAGGGGGCCCAAAGTCCAGCGGCATCGATGGATTAATACCACTAAACCACTGATGCCGGATTCCTGATAAAAAATTATCATATTCCGTTCCATGTTAGCGGGCCCGGCTGCTTTTACCACTACCCTTTTCGGTTTTCGCGACTACGCAAAAGCAGCCGCCCGTTTCTCGTTTTCTCGTTCCCTATTTCTGCACCATCTAACACAACATTCCGTTTCTGGTTTCTAGACCCTAGAATGTTGGGCGTCCCTAGTAGGTTTCCGATTCTAGGATTTAGCTTTCTGTGCGCACAATACTATAGACATTATGTTAGCGCGTAGCCTACTCCCGATTTAGTGTCTAGTACCACCTTGCCAACTAGTATACTAAGTGTAACCTCCAAGCTGTCTAGTACATTACAACCAGTGAAAATGGTTGGACTACTAATGTAGTAGGCCTAGATTGGATGAAGCACTTCAAATACCACATAGCGTCCTAGACAAAGGGCAAATACTAGTTGTTGATCCTCGACGGCCACGAAAGCCACCACTCGACCGAATTCGAGCTCTAGTGCTAGCAGAACAACATCATCACGCTCTGCATGCCTCTGCATTCTTTGCACTACCTCCAGCCATTTGATGTCGGCTGCTTTAGGCCGCTAAAGCAGGCATACGGTCGCTAGATTAAGGACTTGATGCGCATGCATATCAACCACGTGAGTAAGCTTGAGTTCCTTTGTGCCTTTCGTGAGGCCTTCTTCGCCTCTATAACGGAGAAAAACATACAGGGTAGCTTTGCAGGTGCTGGCCTTGTGCCGTACGATCCAGAGAGGGTGCTTTCTAAGCTAGATGTGAAGCTTCGTACGCTAACACCCCTAAACTCGTGGGCTGGCACTCCACAGCCCTAGGTCTTCCAGACACCACACAACCCCCGAGAAGCTAATTCGCAGTCAACGCTCATTAAGACTCGCATTGCCAATCATCAAAATAGCTCCCCAACTTCAATGTTAGCCGCTATAGACCAGCTTGCTAAGGGTACAACAGCTATGATGCACCAGGTGGCTCTCCTTCGTGCAGAGAACGCTTCACTCCGCAAGGCTAACGAGGCCCTAAGCAAGCGCCAGAGAGCCAAGAAAACACGTGTGCAGCTCGGAGGGTCACTTAGTGTACAAGATGCGCAAGATCTAGTAGACCAGAATGTAGTAGGTAGGGAGGGAGCGCAAGAAATGCAGCCGGATGGTAGTGGTGCAGGGGGGCTTCGTGCGAAGGTTCGGTGCTGTGGTGTGTGCGGCAAGCCTGGTCATAATGCACGTACTTGTCAAAAGGCTATAGATTCATCTGATTTAGCTGTTTCTAATGTAATTATAGTTGGTTCCTAGTGTTGATGTATTGCAATTAAGGACAGCTTGTCATAGTGTGGTGGGAAGTGCGGCGCTCGCTGATATGCGGCGCTCGCTGATAAGATACGTTATATTATTCTATTTACTGTATCCTACTGTTAAAGCTTCTGTTTCACTGCCAAAGTCCTCCCACCAACACTAATATAGCAAATGTAAGATTTAAATTTCGACATTGAAAGAGTAGTTCGATTGTGAAGACGCATATATCTATCGAAATAAGAGCCTCTCTTTGAAGTTATGTGTCACCATTGATGGCCGATTTGGCGACCTTGATCGACGCGTCCTGCGGCCCGTGCACCAAAACAACAGGCATCCGGGGGATTCTTCAGTTATCCTTCAGAAACCCCGACTTCTCCAACTCGAATATCTCTCCTCCCATCTCCATTAAATTCTGGAACCACTTGAAAATTCTTCAAAATGCCGCCTAAAAGAAAAGCTCCCCTCGCAACAGCAGACGCCAACACGCTCGACACTCCAGCTCTAAAGAAAGCAACCAAAGGCAAAAGGACGACTAATGGTGCCCCATCTGCACCGGCTGCCCAGAATAAATACAAATATTCGGGCCCTGGTAGTGTATATAAACCGTATTCCATCAAAGGATTCATACTGACGTTTCTCGTAGATGGTTAATCAAGGACCTGTCGATATTACGTTCGTCATGTGGCCAGGGATTAAAGGCACCGAGGAAGAAGAAGTCGAGGATGACAAGGATGACGAGGAAGACGACAAACCCGAATCTGGATCTCTGCAGGAAACTCTAGATGGGATCGAGAACGAGAGGAGAAAGGCAGTCAATGAAGCCATCAATGCTCGAATGAACAATAATACCGTGTCAAGCTCGGAGATACGCAACATACGAGACGAGAAGTCGAAACCCTTCGAAAAGAAGGCGGAGCAGGCTAGAAAGAAGTTTCTGAAGGCGAAAACCATGACAGCAGAGGAGGCAAGGGCAACAGTGGGGGTGGATGATGCAACCCGCAATGAGAAAACAAAGGCTAAGAAGAATTGTCAGGAGAGGCTGAATGAGATCTGCAGGGAGAGGAACATGGCCGTTCATAACGCTCTTAATTCCGATAAGAAGAGCTACATATCAGTTAGGGAGGGACAAGCCAGAATTGCGAAGGCGGAGAAGCGATTTTTGAAGAAAATGGACGAATGCAGGGGTGCTGTTGCGAAGTATACCCCTTTGACAATGGAGGAGGCAAAGGAGATTGTGCCTAATGTCGAGGTGGATGATGAGGGTAACGAAATCACCAAGAAAAGTGCGGCACAGGCCAAAAAGGATGCCAGGACAAAGACCTTTGTACCTCCCAGAGTCGTCACTGATGAGGGCCTCCCAGTTAGCAGGGCTGGAATGGAGAAGTTCATTGAGATCAATCAGGAGATAGATAAGCGCAACCAGGATGTCCACGGCTTGTATATATACAATGATTTCTCTGGATACGGTGTTACGGAAGTGATGGAGAATTTGGTATGCCAAAGTGCCTTTATCTGGCTGATAATCTCCCGGGGCGCACATTGTTGTAAGAAAGTTGACATTTTGCTAATATACATTAATAGCTGGCGGAGTTCAACAAGTCGATCTTCAAGAAAGACATTTCCCCACTTAAGAAATGGGCAATTGTCGAGGGCCTCACCCTCTACCTTACAATGGGCGACCTCAGGGTATGGATGAGTACGTTTAGTACCCTTCTAACAATGTTCCCCTTCCCTAGCCCCATTACTCTTTCCCCAACCACCTAACACGCAGCTAGTGAACGATGATTCCGAAGGCATAGAGGAAGTTTTCAATATGATGGGCGTCATGTTTGTTACAGCTCTAGAAATGCTTCACGAATCCGCACTCATCGGCCCCACATCACCGTTGCCAGACAACGTCGGCGTCCTGAGCTTATTATTTCTCAACTTCGTGATGATTGGGTGCACTGATTATGATCTCGAGTGGGCGCATGAAGTTGTGAGAGCGGCTGATGAGTACGGTGTGGTTCTTACTCCGATGAAGCAGGTTGAGGATGTGACCCAGGATAGGCTGGACGAGTTGAGAGATATATGCGAGAAAACCAAGAAGGGGAAGGGGCTTTTTTGGAAGACTGAGGTAAGGTAAGATACCGCGTGAGAGAAATGTATGCTAATCTTATTGTGCGATAGTACCCTAAGTTTAAGAGGGATCATCCAGGTGGTCGTAAATATGATATTACCAAGATGTCCACGGCCCAGAAGGCTCAGTATGAGTTTGGCAACGTGAGTGAAGATTCGGAAGTCGAAGACTTGGACTAATAAACGGGGGTTCCCACTCTTCCCGCCCTACAGGCGGTAATCGGCGAAAGCGGATTGTAGCGCGCAAGCGGTTCGTAGCTCTAGTAACATCAAAATACATATTTTAAAGAGAAGGATGTCATTAGGGAATGCTTTCTAAAGAGCGTTCCCTGCCCGTACTACTGCCATAAGTTAAGTTAAGTTCAGTTTATTTGTAAACTTCTCGCTATATGCTACAAGCTATCCTAATTGTTCAGAGTGTTGGCCGTAGATTCCGAGCTTAAAAACTCCTGAGTCGCAACTGATCGAGCCTGAGATTTCCAGCATTGCTGCCTTCTCCTCCGACGCCTTCTCGTCCACCCCATCCCGAGCTGCCCCTCTATCTTCCTTCGCCTTCCATCCCTATTCTTTGCTGTGGTTGAGGTCGTCGCACAGCTCGGGTACGATGTTATCTTTATCGACCAGGAGCACTCGCCCATGGACATCGGCGAGATGACGCGCATGGCGCTTGATATCCAGTTGATCAGTGAGGGAAGGACTATTGCTAAGATGGCTAAGAACATCCCCCCCCCTCCCAATTCCCTGCCCCACGGCGCGGTGCTAATGACGACAGAATTTGCGACCATGACCACGCCACTATCGGGTACGCCCTCGACACCGATGCTAGCATCATGGTTTCGCAGGTTGAGACAGCCGAGGATGCAAAGCACGTCGTTTCAGCCGCCAAATTCGGGATGAAGATCAAAGGCACCCGCTCCGCGCCGCCTGACCAACCCTGGATGGTTCTATGTCTATTGGCCTCGTCATCCGTTACAGCTGCGATCCACGCCTTTTCTACGACAAGACGAGCTTCGTGTGGCTATGGCGATAGCCCCTTTCCGCCGCCTAGAACAGCAAGGGGACAAGTCGATGGTTGCCCCTTTTCTCTCCTTTTCTTTTCGGCCACCTGTCTTGCCACCGAAGCTCGACGCTTCTGCATGGAGTGCCGGAGCTAGGATTTTCCGTTCGAAGTTGGTGAAGAGGGCCAGAACTTTGTCGTAGTCGATGATGTTCGAGAAACCTGCCCTTACGCCACGCGCATGACATTTCACGGTACACACGTGACAAGGCTTGAGAATAGTGGCTGAGTATTAGCAGGCACTAAATCCTGAAGCTAAAACATGTGGCGTTTTGTGCCCCCCTCTCCTCCCATGGCGTAACTCCCCGACGGCTTTATTCTCCTCTCTGAGTGACTTCAAAACTTGGAGCCATATTATTTCTTCATGGAACCTTTCCCTACGTGCTCTGAAATTTAAAGAGACTGTAATTATCGCAATTGAGCAGGGGGAACAGCCGAAGCAGCAATCAGTGGCGTAATTGAAACAATCGACAGTATGATCAGCTACAGTCTATTTCTTGCTGCTAACTGGTCTCCTTATGGAGCAATGGTTAAGAATAATGATATATTAATAATAACTTCGTAGACATGCCAAGAATTTTTTCGAGACTCCTAAAGCATAGATTCGTCCCGTGACAGGGTGCGTCCCTGGACCAAGAGATAGACGTTACCTATCATTTTTTTCGGCACGGTGGTTTTTTCGTTACTTAGGGGCAGACGTTACAGATTTTGAGATGCTTGAAGTCAAAGTACCCATCGTTTTTCTCGGCACAGTTGGTTTCTCGCTACGTATGGACGGACGTTAACACATGATTGTAGCGGTATAATCAGGCCTTCCACCATTTCGAGCTACTCGCCTCAACAAAAATTGTATTCCATTACTGGGATTTTTCGCTATGCAGGAAAAAGAAACTTACCGCCTAGATATACTACTATATATACGCTTGAAACGGCATCAACTATGAGGCTCTAATCGGGTCTAGAACCGGATTCCAATCTCGTATACGCATCCGTAAGCAACTCTAGCGACATAAGTCGATTAGGATCGCCTTCTCCAAATACGTTCTCCTCCACAGCCACTACATGTTCAAGTAGCTGGATTGCTTCTTTCACAATTTCACCGTCTAGGTATGCGCTTGCGAGTTCGTGCTCTGACGCCAATCGAGAGTGGTCCTCGTCCGCTAGCGTCCTCTTTCGTACCGCCACGACGTGCTCGAAGATCTCAATCGCCTCCTTAATCCGTCTGTCATCTAGGTATGCCTTTGCAAGTTCGTGCTCTGACGCTAATCGAGAGTGGTTATCTTCAGTAAAATGGTCCCTCCTCTAGTCTCTCGCTGCTTCGAAACATCTTATTGCTTCTTTAAATCGTCTATCCAGACCCAAGCACAACCCCACTGTCATAAACAGATCGTACCTCTCCGCTATTTGACACCAGCTACTTCTATTTAGTGCCTGGAGTCCGTGTGGTACGTACCCTCTCCATTTTTCGTGCCTCGTCCGACCACTGGGGGGAAATGCATTCTCAATATGGCGTATCGCATCTATTGTCGTCTGTTCTATAAGGCCTTCGCTTTCCAGCCATACCCGCGTCGCCACATGCACGAGACTGTGCATATCAAACATCTCCTCATCTCCTCATCTCCTCGTTCCGACAGGAAAGCATATCCCCGGAGAGTCCCAATCGCATACTCCATAACTTCCTCTGGCCCCACTTCCGGCAGAATCGACCGCGGGATCGCCTTCGGTTCGATACAGGACACAAGGCCTAATATGGACGCTGCAGCCTTGTCAGATCTTTGGATCTGAGCAAATGACACAAGCCATGTCGTCGCTACCGCGTTTTGGGAACCTTCGTACCGCGTCCTGTCGTGGAACTCTCGGCTCACCTTGCTCTGTTCCGTTCCCCGTAACAGTCCCAGGTATTTTCGAAGGGAGATTTGGTTCTGGTTAAGATATGCCACCGCCTGAGCAATAGCTAGTGGAAGATACGTAAGTTCCCGAAGGAGCTCTACAGTTGTTGCTTTATCCTGAAGCAGTTCCTTCCGAGCCAACGATATCTCCATGAAGACCGTTGCCTCTTCTTGGCTCATCTCTCGCAGATCAATAAGATGGCTCCCGGCCACTGCCACAGCCACTTCTCTCGATCGTGTCGTAAATACCACTCGGCCACTCTCGCTCTCGGGAAGATACCGATATATGCCGCGCTTCTCATTCGATCCCATCACCACCTCCATATCATCCGCGTTGTCTACGATGAGAAGCCACTTTCCAGCTTTCTCCGAATGGAGGTGACGGCGAACCAGATCCTTGACGTCTTCGTCCTCTTTGCTTTTATTTACGCCAAGCTCCTGAGCCAATTCTGCGTACGCCTTCTCAAAACTCGCTTCACTAAGTGATGCTACCCAGAAGATCGAATATCCTTGTTTGTTCGCCTTAACCAAATACGCAAACTGCAATGCCACCTGAGTCTTTCCAATACTGCCCAGACCAACGAGTGCCACCGCTTCGCACTTTTGACTGAATAGCTTCTTCTCGAGTGTCTCGAGTATAGTGGCTCGTCCGACAAACCGCCTATTCTTTACGAATGGCAAACAGTAACTTGGTTTGTAGATTGGATCTAACGTATTAGATAGTAAGAGTGGATAAGGAATCATATCCTAGTTGGACCCACTACTATCGGCTCCGTTTATTCCTACCGCGAGAGCTTCTCTGCTCGCTGGCATAACCCGACCTTCCCCACTCGTTAAATCTAGAGTGTACTCTGATCTCATCAGGTTCTACGCACCTGTCGTTGATCTGGTCTCGCCATCCCACCTCATCAGGTCTCCAACTAGCCGCTTAAAGCCATTGTCGTTCTCCGTCCTGAACTTAACCATATCGCTGTGGTTGGCGTGCACACTGACCGACGTGTAGCCTTCGAGTGTAGCCGACTCCTTGGAAACGATTTGCCCAACCACCGGTAATGGCAGCTCTTCGAAGAAACATAGATCTCCAGCCGTCTGCCGCTCTCCCGTTGCCCTCTAACCATCGACCAGAATCTGACATTGATCGACTCAAGTAGCTGGTTGTTCGTCGACTTCAAGACTCCAAGTGACCTCAAAAATCATCAGAGCCGCTTCTGGGTGTTCTTTTACGTGTTTGATAATAGTGGCGATCGCATTAGCGTACGTATATTCTCCCCGTCTAACTTCCTCAGCGTAGGCAGAACGGAAAAATTCGCAACTTCCTATGTTGCGGACGCCTTGGAAAGCCTCCATTCGGCAAACAGTCAAAAGGGTTCTTCGGTCTGTAATTTTGGATATAACTCGGAAAAGTATTTCGGGAGGTGATTGGGGCAAATCAACAGCGCCACCAAGGTGTGAGGGAAGGCGTTGCTTCTTTCCCGGCAATTCGGTTGCCTCGTCATCCCCAATCTGTATAGGTTTCCTATGCACTCTTAGCACGGCTCAGTACGCAAATGTTGATATTCTTAACTCGAGACAAGGCCGATCGTCGCCTTCAGTATCTGATACCAGGATATATTGCATGTTGCTGTCACACTTAGTCCTTCCTTTAAGATAGTCCAACGGGTTTTGCCGGGAGTGTATAATCTCAGCTGCCTGTTCTGGAAGGGCAACGTAGATTGTTGTAGAATCGCGGTAAAAAATTGATGAAGTTGTTCAAAGAACTTGGGGTGAGACCATGCTTAGTCGATGGATGGCACGACAGTATTCAGGGAACCAGTCAACCGTTTTCGCGCTTCTTAGGTTGCTGTTGGTTGCGAGGTTCCAGTGTCAGGCCAGGGGTTACGTGAGCTCTGGGCCTCGGGGCAGGTTTCCGAACGAGAAGAGGCAGTACAGGTAAAAGCACCGAAGCCACCCAACCATCTCCCGTTTCCATGAAGCCGCCGCCGTGATCGAAGATACAGGATGCGGCCGTTCGAGAGGCCCGAGGCAGATATCACAATCGACCAACCATTCCCCGTTTTCATGAAGCCGCCGCCGTGATGCGGCCTTTGGAAAGGCCCGAGGCAGGTTGGGAAATCGACCAACCATTCCCCGTTTCCGCTGTCGTCATCGCAGACATTGGATGTGGCCTTTCGAGAGGTTACAGAATTGGCCAAGATCACGAGTTGCCATATTAATTCTAAGTGTCGGTCAAGCCAAGAATCCAAGCTTGGGACACGACAAGGGTCTATCAACTCGGAAACTAAAAACCGTTAACGCTGAAACCCAAAACCTTGAAATCAAAAAATAACTTGCTCCAATTTTGAGGTAGCGGGCTGACAGAGATGTTACCATCACGAACCTGGGGGTGACAGTTGCGAGTTGCAATTATACTGCATCCACAATATACAAGGATGGATGCCTTTGGCCACAATATACGAGGATGGATGCCTTTGGGCGGGTAGTAAAGCGCGCACATTGGCTATGCACCTTCAAGCTGCGGTTACGGAGCTGAATGCTCTGAACCAGTTACTAGTCTTGAATCACGCGTACCCATGTCGACTACAACTTTTTTCTAGGCAACCGAGCGTCAAAATGTCGCCGCTTTTCCCAGACTTCAGAGAGGAGAAATCAGGAAATGGTAAATCGGCATTAGGGGGCCCAAAGTCGAGCGGCATCGATGGATTTTACCACTAAACCACTGATGCTAGATTCCTGTTGACCAATTACTGTATTTCGTTCTATGTTAGCGGGCCCGGCTGCTTTTACCACCACAACATCTTTCAGTTCTCGCGACCACACAAAAGCAGCCGCCCGTTTCTCGTTTTCCCATTCCCTACTTCTGATCATCCAACACAACATTCCGTTTCTAGCTTCTACATCCTGGACTGTTATGCGTCCCCAGTGTACTACGGCAGTGATTTTAAAGGGGCATCTGCGCTACGCACACACATGAAGAGAGTAAAGTATGCTCGAAGAAAGCTAAGCGTACACCACGAGACACAGGGAAAATACAGCTCTACTACTCCTGCCTGGACCTTTATCCCAATTCACGATTGGTTTCTGAAATAATCCGCCTAGTAGCAAATTTGGTAGGACATCTGAATCTACGGATCAACGTCCAGAAGTCAAGGGACGTCGTCCTTGCTAGCCTAGGCCAGGAGTCTACATTCATAGATGTACGCTACATATCTGCACCAAATTGGATCCCGGATTGCATACCCCTAAGATGTCTGCTGCTTACCAGCTACTATAGCTATAAATAGCTGCACCCCCATACATAGATGCTTTGAATATTATCACGGTTGCATTCTCTGTTCAGAGCTTTAACTCACTGGGACAGCCTTTGAATGAATCTAGTCCAGTCCATATTCTGTTTCTTGTTTTTCAGCAGTACAATCGTACTGTCCAATCTTTAGTACAAATGACAAGAAACTGTAGACGGAAGCTGCAGCAGTAATAGTACAAATGACAAGAAACTATAGACGGAAGCTATAGCAGTAGTAGTACAAATGAACAAGAACCTGTGGACGGAAGCTACAGCAGTAAGTAGTAGTACAAATGAACAAGAAACTGGAAATGGAGCCCGAGCTAGAAACGTACTACTACGAGCTGTGCTAGTACAAATGACAAGAAACTGAAAACCAAATGGTACGATCTAGAAACGTACTACCCGCCTAAAGAGTGGAACTGCAATTGCACCACTGCGATTGCAGTGCCGGAAAACAAGAAACAGGATATGGCAGCACATCCGCCTAATCACAGTGAATAATTATAGACAATAGTAAATAGTGAACAGAACTAAACACACCGTTCGCCATCATAACTCCTAGCTGCGCTGCCCACCTGACATTGCTTGTTGCATTCTCCGTTGTAGAATCCAATTAACTCCGATACTACCTGTCCGAGTCTTCTGAATTCGCATGCCGTGTCCTGAATATTTTGATTTGTCCTGCCGTACTCATTCATATCATTATCGAGGCATTCACACGTGAACAGAGGGGTCTTTCAGCTGTTTTATAAAATACTAATGATCACAATCAAACAGTATAGTCCACTACTCGATTCAACTAAGATAATCTACGCAGCCTTGTTCGATCAATTGACAGATCAGGCGTAGAAGAGCATGTTTGCTATCTCTCCTGATCCTCTGAAATCATTTTCAAACTCCTTACCAACCTTGAGGACGGTCTCTAAATGAGAATAGCATAGATGTGTTCCATAGCTGCTTGCTATAGCATGTGCTGAACGCACTCCATTCTTAATCTGTGCGGCAGTGTTAGCAAAAGAACTCTATCCGATGGTACCTAGGAACACTTGCCTGTCTACCGTTGAGGCTATGCTTGGCTAGGACGTTTAACTGCTTGTCGGCTTTCGGAGTAATTTCGACTTGATGTCAATATAGACCACTGGTATTTTGGTTTTCTTGACTGTATTCTTCCGTTAGCAGGTACTATTTGTGCGGAGGAGATACTAACTAATACGCCTGCGCTCTATGAAAACGTAATGGAAAGCACTCTACATGAGCTGGCATCGATGGATTAATACCACTAAACCACTGATGCCGGATTGCTGTAGCCCAATTTTTGTATTCCGTTCTATGTTAGCGGGCCTAGCTGCTTTTACTACTGCGTTTTCGATTTTCGCGACTTCGCAAAAGCAGCTGGCCGTTTCTCGTTCCCCCATTCCCAATTCCTGCAGCATTCCGCTTCTGGTTCAGAATTACGTGCTAGTTTAAGCTAACATGGCCGGGATGCCCAAGTGTTGTCATATAAAAGCAGCATTGGCCCTTGAACCACTCGGGCGATTTAGAATTTGGATATCAAGTTTCCATCAATAAAAACCTCGAAGTCGTCTGATTCAGCGACCATCTCCGGAAGATATGCCCAATTCTCTCGGGTTTGTTTATATTCGTATGTAATAGGTAAATCTTGTATTATAGTATTACTGGTACTAGTACTACGCATAACAGTGATAAATAAAAAAGAATCCACAGCAGCAATATCACATAACCAAGCCACATGATGGTACCCTGACATATAGAGCCTACGCTATTCAGTACCGGGGACAAAACCTGCTGCTATGCAGAAAGAGGCAGAAGCTTTCACCTCATTCTTGTTAATGGGCGAGCGTGCCTCGAATCTCAGGGACCGTCCTTCGATTATAAGCCACAGGTCATACTGGACTTCGTAAAACGAATGCAATTTTCCTTCTGCATTTCGCACTGTGGTTGGCTTGATTCGACCTGTTGTCTTAAGGAAAGTAAGATTGACGAGAATTCTGCCGGCCTCTTCGGCACCTTGTGGCAGGATCGGGTTAGTGTTTGTCCATTAATGGGAGTTTCACCAAAATGCTACTTACCTTTGTTCTCTTTATGACCGTACTTATATCCGGACTTATGGGCTCCTGAAGAAACATAAAGAATTTCTTCACATAAGAAATCCTCGTGCATTTGAAATATGTGCCTAGATTTAAATGATTTTTCATATTTGGTTCCCACAGGAGTGTCCTGATCACTGGATGTTAGACCAAGAGAAACACTTCCCACCATTAGAATATGGCTACTTACCTTACTGAGAACCCACTGAATGGTGTTCATGATGTATAATTCCCCGTCAGCCCGATCGCGAGAAACCCAGAGTTTCCTATGCTGCGGGTTATTTTCATCGTATAGTAACGTCCGGAGGACTCCGTAGCTCGATCTAGTAATCCTAGCAGGTCCGAATTCCTTCCTCAACGCGCGTAGAACGGCTCCGCGGGCGACGGCTGACTGGACGTAGCGCGATGGCTCGAAATCAATCTCCTGATTCAGTAGGTTTCGCTGTTTTCTCAAGATTTTCTTGAGATGATTCCTCAGCGATGGCGATTCCCCGAAGCCCCCGGTTAAGATGACCGTTTGGACGTTGACTCCGTTCGTTTTAGCTTGGTTAAGTTGTTCTAGCATCAAATCTTTTGTGCCATCGAGGCAGTCTTTGAAGACCTTATACATCTCCTTCCAGCTGAGATCTAGTTTATTCCTCCTAATCCTGAGTTCCCTATCTTGTTCTGCTTGAAGGCCCGGAATATGGATAGCGTCAATATGGGCTTTCTTGTCTAGTATATTAATGCTTCTCTTCTCATTTTCGAACCTCTGGACCTCGGCGGCGATAATTCTCTCTAGAGACATGTCATTTCCAATGATATTAGCATGTTCAAGCCGTTCCTCTAATAGCTTCTTGTAGTTTTTATTCAGAAAGCTTGATCCACATGAGACCCCCTTTGGGTTAACTACTTCTTGCATCCGGGTTGGAGTCGAGCGAATTAGTGTGTAGGTGATTGCATCAACTGTGCCGCCCCCACAGTCCAAGAGCAAGAATGACTCGTTGGTTATTATATTGGATAGGGACTCGCAATCTTCCAGAGCAAATGTTGCCGCGGCCTCTGATTCGGCAACGATGAATAAGTCCCTTATCATACCCTGCTCGAGTTTTGCAAGCTGGGATGTCTTGATGGCTGTAGTCAAAGCACTTTGCATAATACGGCAAGCCTTGTCCGTCCAGGAGGTTGGCACGCATAAGACGAATTCCACCTGGCTATCCTGTTGAAGGCCATGAAATGTGCCTAGTCTTTTTTTGGTATGTTTGAACAGCTGTCCAAGATATTCAGCAATGATGTCTTCTGCCTTCGCGTTCTTCAATCTTCTTAGTTCCTGGGCGCTTTTCTTGCGGAGGTCTTTTGTACTTGTCGCATCGTCTAATTGCAGCTTGAAGTTTGTCAAGTGTCTTAGCTCCAGGGGTATGTTTTCAGGTTTGACTAGTCGAGAATGAACACCCCATCCCCAGATCGAGTTTTTGGCTTCGTATTTAGCGGCTCTAGCAGATACCACGTCTCTTTCACCATCCTGATTAGAATCTCCATCTACTGAAGACGCCCAGTCATCATCATAAGAGCATTGCGATTCGTTATCCGATGAGTCTAAATTGGATGGGTCTTCAGGCCAGACTTGGTCTTTCTGTGCATAGCACATAAGCTCCGTGGGAACAGACTGATGGCTTGTAAGAACATCCGCAGATATACCCGATGGCATGTCGGGAAAGTTATCGATACACCGAACAGATTCGGCTTCAATCGTCTTAATGTCCCTGTGAAGATCTAGGCGTACAAACGCCACGGACGAGAATGTAGTCCCAAAATCGACAGCGATAATAAATTTTGAAGGCCACGTCTCTTTGAAACCCTTCTCGATGCTTTGATGGGGTTCAAGTTGGCAGCCCTGGGCCATCACATCATCCCCGTAAGGCCGGTCTACCCCGACGAGGGGTGGTGCGATATCAGGCATTTCAACGTCCTCAGATTGTTCTTCTGAAGGCACCCTCTCGAATTCAGCTTCAGCGTACTCGTCGGCCATGATAAAGATTCTACACCTTAGAGTGCCTGATTTACAGAGAGGAGATTTTACGCAAACGGCGTATACTACTCGGATGCTTCGTCTACATAGTGCTGCCTGATCGACGCCTTGCTCCGCTCGCTGTTATTCTGTGACTATCTGCGTCAAGGCTGAGTGCATGCTTTTAAGCAGGCTGAGACAAATCCGGGAACTGAGCCGGACTTCCGCAACGGCTGCCTACAGTTCAAGCCAATCAAATTATGAGATCGACAAGGGGTCTACAACATAAGGCACTGATTGATTTCAAATAGACCCATGTCAACTTTGATATGGCTGTGGTTTACTGTTTTGTGTAGCAGGGGTGGTTTGGGGGCTGTTGGTTCAGGGTAGCTGGCTCGTGCCTTACAAAGCTGCGCCACACCATTTCTCGCAGCTGGCATGTCCGTCCAACACCACAGTCAATTCAGGCTACTCCTGGGACAGCTCGCTGCTCCGCCAGTCTGAGTAAAGGAGATTGCGACAAGAGGTTGGTGGTGTCGCCATATCATTGAGTAAATTGCTAAATCTTGTCAGTTGACATGACACTATCTTTATGGCATTCAAAGCAATGAACCAACAACGAAGCCGCAAGCAACGAGTAGACCTTCAGGGGCCTCGAGTTGATAGCTTTCTCTATGATGAATCCGGTTTCCAGATTCTAGCCTACTTAGAGCGCTCTATCATGTACAGCATGCCGCTGGCATTTTTTGCACCAGACGTTATTTTCTACTACAGCGAGCATCTTCAACGAGCTATTTCCGTGGCTGAGATCGACAGCAAGCTACATCTTTTCTGGTCCCATTGGCACTCCGTGGATGACACGCCGTCGGAATGGAGAAAAATCTACCAATTAGGACTTAAAGGCCTGCCAAAACTCGACGAAGAATGGAAGGAATGGGTAAGGGCAAGAGCAATTGTGTTAAAAGATGCTGCTGAAGGGGCTCCACGGCGGTTGAGAAGTGCCTCAGCGCTTCCGCGGAGCCTCCTTAATCAAGGCAAACACCCATCAAAGAGCCCGGCCGGGGATCGTAGTGACAGTCCAGTCCAAAATACTGGGAATTATATTGGATCTCCAACACAACGAAAAAGAATGAGGATTTATACTACATCGGTGAGTCACGGAATATATTTTTGATGACCGACTTCCTGACACGTCAACTTCATACAGAATTCTCGAAAAACCCCGAATTCTCCGACCTCTGAACGATCATTGTCAAAACGAAAGCTCCAAGCGTACGCCCAGCAGCATAACGATGATGTCACCGAGATAAAAAGCGAACTGGTATCAAGTAACCGCTCGTCCCCATCAGTACAACTCCGCAGCAACATTAAACAGAGCCGCCTCTCTCAGATGATGTCAGAACTAGACGACTTGAGAGACGAAAGAGCTCGAGCTGTGTTGATATTAGATACGACGAGGGACGAGAACGCCCAGTTGATGGTAGAGCTAAACAACTTGAGAGACCAAACAGCCCAGTTGAAGAAAGAGTTGGATGACTTGAAAGATGAAAAAGCAGAGGATACTCGATATTGGGAAAGGAAGTATCAGAAGACCAAACAGCGACGAAATACTCTCAAACGGCGAAATAAGAACATGCAAGCAGAACATAGCATAGGTCAGAACGAGGCAAGCGAGACGAACTTAAAGCTTCGCGCCGAGAACGACAGCCTCCAGGAATCGCTAGACAGCTACAAGGCCACATCCCGGTTTGCTGGGGAGGGATTTGTCCACGATTTTCGGGAAAAGAATTTGCGAAAAGTTATTGAGCATATAGATTTGCTCTTACTGAAGCTCAATAAAGTCTTACAAGGACAAGACGGTTTATTTTTTGCTGAGAAACTGTCCGACGTTAACGGTATTGACATTATAGCACTGTTCAAAAGGGGGTTTGGCTTAGACCTTAGTGCCAACAACTCTAGCGGAGGCACTATTACTCTTATTGAGATTTGCGCGACTAAGTTACGGTCAGTTGTTCTATGCTTAGTTTCCGCAGCGCTCTGTACTTGGGTGTTTGAGGCTGAAGTTGGAGCACTTTTCCAAGAGAGTGGCCTTGTTTACTCAAAACTCAAAAGTCTTCTTGCTGCACAAGGTTAGTTAACACTGCTGCACGTTTAAGAAACCTAGCTAACGTAGTAATCCTGTAGACAGGAAACTCACAAACTGCTTTGAATTTGCTGCTCATGAAAGGTGCATTAGCGACCCATATTTTCACGACATAATAATCCCGAGAAGAGCGAGGCAGCTTGCTCGGAGGATTATAGGGTGCGCAATGCCTCTGATAGAATTGCATAGAGACCTAAACGAAGACTGTGCAGCCATTGCAGATGAATGGATTGAAGCCGACCAGCAGCTAACTGAAATATTTAAACAGGCACTGTACGCAAAAGTTAGGCTCTTACTAAGCACTGATATATATGAGTGTGCCCTTCATGTGCCTGGGACACCCTTTGATAGGAACCGTATGATGAGCAAAATTGAGGGGGCTGTTCGTGACACCAAAATCGAGAAGGACAGAGTGGTGGATATCACGATATTTCCGGGCCTTATCCGGTATACTTCTAAAGACGAAGGATTCAATTATAACCGTTTTCTGGTTAACAAGTCAGCTCCTGAAGGAGCTAGAGCTAAGGTTCTGATAAGGGCGGAAGTTTTGACAAAATAGAATGAATTTTGAAGAAAGACGCAGAAACTTAATTACACTTGTAAATCATAACAGCCTTGTAGCCTTGTCTCATGCACCAACTAGGTTTACCGGACCGAATAGGCTAAACAACGGGTTAAACAGGAGGCTATGCGAGAGGCTAGGGAAATAGCTGCGGTGTACTTTGAGAAAGAACCTTTAGTCATGGTGGCTATGCTCTCGCATGCGCATCCATGGTTTGCGAGGGCCTTATAAACCCCAGAGAATTTCACACGTCTATTCTAATAATTTGTTCAACATCCTCTGAGCCGTGCTATCGCCCGCTGTTTTTAGCATCCCAGTCAGCCATCATGAATCCACCTGAGGATAGTTCCAAGGTAACAACGGAGGATTACATAGGTTTCATGAAAGAATATGGCATCGAGTTTGAGGGACGAATCCTTCCAGAAAAATGGGGAGAGTATACTGCAATGTTTGAGGATATACGTCGCATCGGCGAGCTTGGGCCGAAGGAGTTCATTGAAATGTTCCACCCGGACGATAAATACCTAGATGAAAAAAGGATAAAGGCTTCTGAGCTGGTGAATGAGGCATGGAATTGCCTTAAAAATATGGACAGCGAGTATGGGTGGAGGAAAGAAGTCGAATTCACGGCCTTTGAACGTTTTGACTCTGAAGTCGTTTGGTAAGAGTTAGATTTGGCAGTATGAATACCCATGGCTAATTCCAATAGTCATGTCTGTTTATACCGCCGTTGGAAGCCAAAGTTTGAGGCGAAGCCGATTGACAGAGTTGAAGCTGAGCGGCTTCAGAAAAGGCGTGGAAGAAGACATCTGTGTACTTGCACCCTGCTTCAGCGAGCGGGACCTAATGTGTAAGTTTCAAGAATGATCTGGAAGTGGGAAAATTGTAGCTGCTAATATTTAGATTCTAGGGATAGCCAATACTCTCGAATGTTTGCCAGAGAGATAGATAAACATATGGATCATGAGGATTTACCAGAACACTTGAAGAAACGGCTAAGACGCCGACCAGATAGGGTAATTGGCCTCGGAGCAACTCACACCCTACGTCACTACCTCCCAAATTTACGAACTAAGTATTGCCCATTCAGAAGTGCTAATGTTATCTATCCATTTATCGTGATCGAGGCGAAGACGGCGGAGAGCAAGGACGCAAGTTTTGGAAGCATTTTACGCCAGACAGCTTTCGTCACTCGCACATGTCTACGATTGCAGCAAAACCTTCAAGAAGATACCGGTATCCCACATCAGTGCATAGTCTGGTCGTTTGCTATCATAGGAGAAGAGTGGCGTTTATATGCTGCTGTGCCTGATGGATCAAAAGTAGTCAGTTTATGAAAGACTTGCCTCTGTTCATCTACTTAATACTTACTGTGGAGTAGCAAATATTTGATATTTGGCATGGATCAGTCTTGTTTCCGGAGGGGTCTCTTCAACTACTGCTAATTATCGACTACCTCTGTGACTGGGCAAGCGACATATATCGCATGAGCATTATTAAATGTATAACTGGCGGTGGACCAAACACTCTCAATTCTAGACTGAGTCCAAGTGGTACCGACATATCCTCGCTAGCTGGAGACTCAGAACTTATAGCACTTCGAGCAATGTCGCTTCCTTCGAGATCATCCTTGGCGCCAGAGCTCTCAAATGGCGACATGGATGGGTTGGCTAGTAGTAGCTCTTCCGAGTTTCCAGAAGTCGAGCTTCTAGTTCAAGTTAACTCTTCAGCGTTGCTAAATAGACCGGATACCTATTCATGGCAGCGCTGGGCTACTGCCGAACAAAATCAATGGCCCTGGGTTCAAAAAGCAACTATTAGGCATTCAAGTCGAGTGGAGCTTCGGTCCTTACAAGTAACAATGCCAGAAGAGATCCATCTGCTTCGTGCTTGCTTAGAATCGTGGTTTCCTGGACTTTCAGTGAAGGATGCGGCGAAAAAGGTTCTGATTTCCTTACAGGATGATAACTTAGCGGTTACGACATCAGTAAACGCTACTTACTGGCAAAACGATCAATCAAAAGAGTCAATTCTAGAAGTCCGCGCTTTGGTGTACTTCAGGTCGAGGCTAAGCTCTGAAGAGTGGCACATTAAACGGCAGGTACTATCTATACTGTGCAGCGAGAAAGCAATAGAGGCCATAAGTCATATTGCGAACCTAAGTTTCTCTATTCGCAGGAGCTTCAACGGCAGAGATAGGTCCCAGTGCGAGCAATTTCTTCGGGCAATCAATTCTTTGAATCTCGTCGGTGGAACCCGGTCCGCAAGTCTAGCTCTAGGGAAGAGTCAATTATCCCTACAGGTTGTTACCGACAGTGCTGGATCTCCCATTTTTGAATGGAGTAAATTCACTCCCCAGAGGGACGATGGAGTCACAGGAGACGAATTCTGTGGAATACTGTCGCGTACTCTGAACGAGCCACAAAAATATGTACCGGACCTGTTAACACCATACGTCAAAAACAAATCGTTCATGTATACTATTCCAATAGACAGTGATTGCCGAGGATCACCTGTCACAGCTTTCGAACTACTACCCTTTCGAACCAAAGGGATCTTAGTCAAGAACTCGAAAACTACTTCTGTTAAAAGTATTCGGAATTTTTGCTTCTTAATTACTGACGAGAACGTCCAGTTTGACGATGAGGCTAGGCTTGGACAGCTACTAGAAGAAACTTACAAAGCGGGAGAACTGTTTGCGATGGTTAAAGCAAATGAAACATATGACCAGGCTGACCGTACGTTTATCCGGAAGTGGATTCGGATTTTAAAGGGCCAGTTGCCACAAGATACACTCGTGGAGTAAGTTGACTGTCTGTAAAGATTTGCTGTACTAGATTAGCTAGGGAAGAATAATTCAGCAGCTTAGATGCCTTATTGTTTACCTTTTGTTATTGAATTAGTGGCACGATGCTACCACCTTTTTACGACTCCTTCTTAGTGGCTCTTCCGCAAATAACAATTTTCTTTTGAGGAGAGATTGCCTAGAAAGGAAAGGCTTCTATTATCTAGAGCATTATAATTAAGCGTGCTTGCATGCTCGTTCGCCCACCCGCCGGCACCCACGAAGTAGTATATAACCTATCGTTGAATGTTTTGTGCCGCCACCTCTTTCAATAGATTCTTGCGCCCACAGTGCTTATTATACCCTAGCACATCAGAGACAGTCACATATCACTATAGACTCAAGATAATGGGCATTCTATCCGCTCTGGCCATCTTTCCCGGAGGCCGAAGCTGAAGAGTTAAAGGTGGAAGTGATGGAAAGGGTGCCCGGCACGGGGCACCCAGACAGAGGCACCCAGACAGGCTGAGTAGTAATGCAGATCTGGTGCCGCTGCTCGGGAAATACTGCCGGTGGAAGAGACCGAAGAGTACTCTATTCGTAATACCGTAGGTCTACGTATATTTAGCGACTATTGACTAGAGCTCTAATTGTCGGGGGGGGTGTTCAGTCCCCTTTATCCAGGGCCAAGAGTGCCCGCCATTTGGTGAGCCCTACTCCGGTGGTCCCTCAGTGTGGGTGGTTCATGTGCCTGCACGTAAAGACCTTCCTTGTAAGCTACTGTTGGAGATTTGCACGTATCGTACAGTAGACTACGCCAATCTGTATGGTGTAGTACAGTACCCGAAATGATAATCCCCAAGTAACGCGGAAGCTGGGCACAGTACAGCACAGTATACAGTAATACAGTAATACAGTAAACGATTCAATTGCTTTTCCTATTTTAATGATTCTATGCAGTATTTATAGGCCTGTAAGAGCCTGCCGTACGCCCTAGAACTCCTAGGTAATCCACTGTTTCCAGTGCAGAGTTTACACCTGCCCCGGTAACGACCATAGGAGAGATGCTTCCTACGGTGAGTACCATGGGAACACCGAAACCACAGCGGGGATAACCAGGCTTTCAGGGCCAAAAACTCGGAGTTTCCCGATCTCCGACCGGTTTTCCCAACAGATACTGCTGGGGGATACAGCGGTTAAGTAGAAGGAGGTACTTAGCTACTCGTACTTTTGCAAATTTACTTGTTGATGGACAAGAAGCAATCCGCCGCTCTCCTGCTTCTAAGTGAATAGAATTAACAGTCGGACACTCACCTGCGATAATGAGGGGTGGGGGAGGGGGCCAGAAGCAATGGAATCCTAGGCGAAAGGGGACTTCTTGCTCCACGATAGACCCTTATCAACGAGCACACAGCCTCGGTGTGAGCCATTGCAGATATCCGTAATCCGTAATCCAGAATGTCAGCTTCAGCCCTAGTACTTTATAGGTGCCCTCGTCCCATCCATTACTATCGACCAACAGCCGCTTTATATTTCCGGAACTTTGTCTGACACGAACTTGTCTTGTCCGGTCCTCCCGCTCTTTGCAAGATCAGCCTCTTTCATCATGATAAGACTCTGGCTATGGGTCTTCGTACCCGTGCTCCTGGCCGTATGCCATGTGCTATACAATCTTCTCCTCCATCCGTTGCGGAAGTTCCCAGGGCCCGTGTTGGCTGGTGCAACTTCATATTGGAAAGCATGGAAGGAGGTAGTGTTGCAACAAACCATGGCGCAGGAGCTCTTCAAGCTTCACGACAAATATGGTAAGATGTCTTGTCCAGCGAGGTATATGGTTGATCAATCTTTATCTGACACGTCACGCAGGTGAAATCGTCCGCATAGGCCCTAACGAGGTAAGTTTTTCTCTGGCAGCCAGCCACCATTCTGAACCTCCCGAGTTCGGTTGCTAATAACACATATAGCTCCATTTTGGAAAGCCATCGGCATTCCACGACATTTACCATGGGAACAAGAGATGGGACAAGGACCCCGGCCTCTACAGCACACCTGGTTTCAAGTCGGGATCGTTCGTCTTCTTGAAGTATGCCCAGGCAAAGGAACGAAGAGACGTGCTCATGCCCATGTTTTCCAAGAAGGCCATGCTGAACATCGAGACTCTCGTCTGGCGAAATGTCAGTTGTCAACTCTAACTTGCAGGTATCGTACTCATGGAATCGAAACAGGCAACTCACCTCGCATCTTCCATCGCCAAGATGGATGCAGCAAAAAGCTCTATTGACTTGCTTTACGCATTCCGCTCCTTCACCCTCGACACCATCATGTGCTTCACCTTTGGCAATTGTATCGACGCTCTCGACGCACCAGCATTTGCGGATCCTCTGATTCTCGCCATGGACGCCAGTCTACGCACCCTCCCTATTCTGAACAACTTCCCCTGGGTCCGGAACATGATCTACGCCATCCCTCCCTGGCTGGTGATGAAGATTATACCCAACTCTGCCAAGCTAGCCCCACGGCTCTACCAGGTCCGCGACATCATCCAAAAGCAACTTCACACCGTCCTCCAAAGCCTCGAGAAGCTGGACGAAGCCCCTCACCAGACCATCTTCCACCGCATGCTGGACGCCCAAGCCCACAAGAGCAAAAGCGTCCCCAACCTCACCGAGCTCCACGACGAAGGCTTCACTTTGATTTTTGCCGGCGCAAACACAGTCGCCGATACCATGGTCATGGGCCACTACCATCTGCTGCAGAATGCTCAGCTCCTCGTGCAGCTGAGACTCGAATTACTCACCGTCTGGCCAAACCTGCACAACCCGCCTACCCTGAGAGACCTCGAGGCTCTGCCACTCCTCACTGCGACAATCAAAGAGTCCCTCCGCTTCATCCCATCCGGCGTGTCACTAACACGCGTCGTTCCGCCCGCGGGGGCAGTCATATCCAGCCAATCGATTCCCGGGGGCACTGTGGTCGGCATGGCGATCTTACACGTCCATCAGTCCGAGGAGGTCTTTGAAGATGCTCTTGTGTATAAACCAGAACGCTGGCTTGATGAGCGCATAAAGGATCTCGACCAGTGGCTCGTGCCCTTTAGCAGAGGGCCGCGCATGTGCTTCGGTGTCAACCTGGCTTGGTGTGAACTGTATGTTGCTTTCTCCACCATGATTCGGAACTTTGATATGTCGCTGGATGGAACTACGCCGGGAGATATGGAGTGGACAGAGTGCATTGCGGCATACTATCCGAAGAGGCACTTACATGCGTGGTGCCGGCCAGTCCAGTCTTGAGAGGAAGATTGTTGTGTTGATGGAGTTTTCTATACTTGGTCTTCTCGCATTCTTCCAACGTTTCATCCCCTCTAATTTCCTTGACACCTTGATAGATAGACGTCCTTGATGCACCCTAGCGTAAAGATAGATACCCAGCCTCTATTTTTGTTCTCAAATACATGGGCAGTCCTTCCGTTTGCAACCACGGGTCACATCGTGTGTAAAAGGAAAGACCTCTCTGCAACATCAAATGGGTTACTGAGCTCCCAGAGCTGAGCACGGCATATATTTCGCATTGGTTGCACAATGAACGATGCCTTGCTGGCGATGACAGCGCATATGACACCAGAAAGTGTCTCGCCTCGAGTAACAGAGACGAGAAACATTAAGGGCCCAGTGCTAATGGCCCAGTGCTAATGGCCCAGTGCTAATGGCCCAGTGCTAATGGCCGATATTCTCTAGATAACATACTGCCAATCTGTTAGCTTCTCACATGTTCTAGACCTTGAGGAAATCGGCATCTTAGACTTACTGGGATGAACAGATATGGCACCTCCCTCTCATACTGCTTCCAAGCCTCACCGTACTTCCTTCGACATCTTGCAATGTCCCTGGTGGTCCGATGAATAATCATGACCACGAAGAAGACGGGATAGAACCAAGGGAAAGGGCTCCTAGTACCAGAGAATTAGCAGCTACCATCTCTGTCTTCAGCTGACGAGACTTACTTGAATCCCGTGATCAGACCCCAGGATATAGCGAAGAACATATCAGGAACATAATTGGGCTTCCGTACAATGGCAAACCAGCCGTCCACCAAGATGCGATCGCCAGCTTGCGTCTCAATGGCCTTGGGGTTCTCAATGTACTGCCAGGGCATTTGTGGGAATGTCTTGCGCCTGATGAGTTGGCCTCTCTCCATCTGGCGGAAGCCGTTCTTCTGACCGTTGGAAGAATCCCACATCCAGTAAAAGAAGAGGTATACAACGAAGAGGACGGTCAAGGCATAACGATTCCAGCGATACTCAGCCGGGTCGTGGTTTGCAAGGTAGAGGGCACAGTGGCAGTAGGTGAAGGGCACACCTGCCATGTTCCAGAAGGTAAGGATGAAGCCTAGTTTTTCAAAGTACATATCCCTGAGAAGAAAAGCATTGGGTCAGTTGGATCCATGGAAAGAAAGGGAAAACTTCGATTTCCACGTACCAACTCGTAATTATCATCTGCTCCGCCTTGGCACAAGCATTGGTGTATAGAAAATGGGCCATGAGAAGGAAGGACACCTCTGCCGAGACGTACCCATACGTCTCGTACTGGCGAGCGGCCACGGCAGCAGTGATGAGGAATAGGATAAACCATGGGATCCTGACCTCATAGAACATTTTGAAGTCCAAGATGCCGATGCGCGGGTTGAGCTCGGCGCCCATAAAGAAGTCGTAGACGATGTGACCCGTGAGCCGGTGTGTTCGTCCCCGTACAATAGCTTGAACATAGACGATCACACTGTTCAGGAAGCCGGAGAGGATGGCCACGCTCATGATAGGCCCGAACTCGTCGATCAGCGTGTATAGCGGGAAGAGACCTGTGACATGGAGGATAGCGGCGGTGGCAAGTGTCGCGTACCAGCTGGTGTAGGCGGAGCAGTAGTATGGAAGCTTCTTGCCCCCTTCGTGGCGCAGAGGCCGGCCATAGCTCAACACGCCGGGCATATAACAATACATGATGGCCTCCAAGACAAAGAATATCCAGTAGATGGCCCACGCCTTAGCTGTTGGAAAAGCTCCCTCATAGACGAACTGGACCAGGTGACGACCAAACTCACCCCAGGTCTGGTTGGCGTCGGGCAAGGGGAACTGGCCGTCGTAGTAAGTTGCACCAATCCACATGTACCACATCAACAAGGGAAACCCAACCATCAACGAGGCCGCACCAAGAGATCCGCCAAACTCGAAGTCGTCCGGCGCGCCCTCCCCATCGATATACTTGGTTGTCTGCGAAGATGAAGATTGCAAATCCTCCCCCTTCACCTTCACCTTCCCCTTCGCCATCTTTGGGTCCTCTGGAATTCGACTTCTGTTAGTTGCACCCATGGAATCGCTTGAGCAGTTAGAGGTCTCAGTAGTAAATAGTGATTCTATGAGTGGAAGTAGAAATACGTGAAGGGGTGGTAAAAGATTACAAACAGTATTGAATCAAGGAAGGAAGTAGGGAATTATTGATGTTGACGAAAGTAAGGGGGAGAGGGAGGAAGGGGAAGCGAGCATTACGGTAATCGGTAATTTCCGAGTACGCTTCACGGTTAGGTGATATACCCCAGCCATCTTGTTGGATTTTAGAAAGTGGAAAAATACGATGGTACGAATATATGCCCGATATTTCGTTACCCTGTCGTAGCAGGGAGGGGGCCTTGTCGAAAGGACTTGGCAGACCCGCCGCATGTATCTTTAAACAATTAGCATAAAGTAGAATAGAATTGTATATAAAATAGATAACGTATTTCACAAGCGAGTCGGACACACAAGCGAGTTAGACACGAAAACACTAAAACGTGTCAACTTTACTATAAGGCTCTGGCGGATGAGTGGGATACAGAGCCTTCCGACCTAGTCGCTACGGATAAGAGCAATATTAAGCAAGAGCTTAGGTCAGGATCCTCCATTCTAGTACTAGAGAGCACACCGAGCAGGCGGAGTCATTGCCGGGCCCTGCTATGACTTCGACATAAGCTGACTAGCGTTATGAATATTAAGTCCAACTATCGTTTCAACCTTAAGGATTTGACAGGGAGACAGGCTAGCGATTTATCTCACCACCTTCGTAAGTCGCACTAAAGTCACTTATTAGGAAGCAGATCTAAACCAGACATAAGAGCCTAATCGATTCTGTCATGTAACTTGTCTCAAACACATCCTCAGTCCCTAGAGTCTCCTTAAACCGTAGAATATTGTGATAGAGGGAGGAACAGTTATGTACGACACGTAGGTCTTAAGGACGATTTGCTTTCTGGCACCCGATGGTTGAGGACTGGTTCACCTACAGTGGCTGCATCTTTAACATCAAAAGGTATAGTCATTAGAGCAAAGTGTATGCAGGCTGGGAGTGAGAGGACTACGATCGAGAAGTGAAACACCAGCTGAGGTGCAGCGATCTAGAATGCATCTGTGATGCTAGGCCCAAAAGACCACAGGAAGCTGATTACTTCTCACTAGACCGTACGCCACGATTGTTGAGCGAGGCGCTTGCGTCAGTAGCCGCGGTGTACCAAATCGACCTCTTACCAGAATCCTTCTTGTCAACGGCTAGGGAGCAAACATTGGGGAGCTCATAATATGGATATTGCCGCCTAAACCGCTTATGTGACAACGTCGGACCTTTAAATAAAGTGCCGGCTCTTTCGAACCATTAAAGGTGGTTAAATAATCGCGAGTAAGTGCTTGAAAGATTAAGCAATCATAGCGACCATAACACTAACCACGATGATTGTCGTTCAAGACACAGATTCCTTAACATCGGCGGTGAAAGGCCTCCAGAAGTCGCGGTCGCAGCTACAGCCAAAAGAATAGATGTTGGCATTATGGGCAATGGAAGATTCCCGCTTCTTCTTTGTCACTTTTCGTGAAGGAGAGCTTTCTTTCCATATTCTCTCCTCGACTGGCTGTGCATATACTTGTGCGACGCAAGTAGTGGTTGCCTCGGGCTGCAGCGATGCAGTTGACGTTAATGTGTAAGTTGAGAGATTAAAAGCAGAGTCTGCTCATGGGTTCTTAAAGACGAATACGCAAGTAATTATCACATACGACCATAGACTCAAGAGAACTGGGCATCTTGTCCGCTCTGCCATACATAACCTTGATATCTACTTGCTTTTTACTCTTAATCGTGTCAATAGGTATAGCGTGAAATCAGAGCGTCGCCGGCTCAAGTTTTTGATGCTCTTACGATAACCCGGTTATCACCCTCAGCTAGGTGATGGCGACCACGTCAACAGCGTAAAATATAGGTCTGTATTCAGACGCAATGGTTGTAATGCATCGCGACTTTAAATGGTCATGAGTAGGTGATCGAGGGTGAGCGTGGGTGAGTACGGGCGAGTGTGGGGGCTGGCTATGAAGTTTATTAGGTTACATATTCTCGAGAAGCAGACTCTCCTGCCCTAGGTGACGCAACGACGGCTTCTCCAGCATGCAATGAGGTGGTGTTATATGGTTTCTAACATTTTTTGAGAATCTCCGGCTTCTAGCTTATTCTTGTTGATAAGAGTCTAATCCTAAATACATAAAGGTCCTTAAGTAACTCAAAATTCCTCATCGCCAATATCGTAAATCAAATGCTTGTGTGTCGAAACCTTCTTGCTTAATCCAAGAATGCGAGTGGTCTTAAAGTACGCCCAGATCCCGAGCTCTTTGAACCACAAGCCCCAAAGTCCAGTTCTCTTTCTGATTTGCATATTACGTGCAGCAAGCCAATAAATCTCGTCTACTCGAGGTCTTCTGATCTGATCAAACCTCTCGTACACGTCATTCAGAGAACGTGACGTATCCTTTAGCAGACGAGCGAGTAGAAAGCCATCCTCTAGGGCCATAGAGATACCTTGACCTGCATGAGGCTGCATAGCATGAGCGGCATCGCCAATGAGAAGACACCGTCCTTTAAACCAAGTACCTCCAGGGGAAAGTTTGTAGATGGGAATGAGGCTCATGACCGAACTCTTGTCGACAAGTTCACTCATGGACGGGGCAATATTTACAGGAACATTCCGCGACAACGAGATAATGTACGATGGGATGATCAAGGCGTTCAACAGTGCAATTAGGTCTCTAGGAGAGGAGGAACAGGCAAATACATAGGAGAAGGCGAGAATATGGGCATTGGCATTTTGAGGCGTATTGTTTCCTGCGCCGCCTCGTCCGTGACCCGCTTCTCTGGGGCTGCCTGTTCAACATGATTTCCCCTTCGTTTTGCAATAAGCCGTAAAGAATTTAAAGGCCTGTGGCTTATCATCTCTGTCCCAATTTGCGAGCTTTTCATCCAAAATAGGACAGTATGCCATGGCAGTAGCACCATATTTCAACATCAGGCTTCCAGCCATTCCCTTGACACAGTCTCCTGCCTTTTGTCGAACTGCTTTATCACAGTAATTGCTTCCATTTTTATGGCATTTTTTCAAGATCTTATCCCATTCCCTCTCCCATCCGTTTGGCGGGCTTTTGGTAAGCCATTTCTTATTGAGGTAATACGGGAGAACTTTCTCCCGGAGAAATTTAACATCCTCGGCCGAACCAGGTTTGATGCCTTGACTGCAGATTTCCCTAAATTTATCCCAAAGGGGCTTTGACATCTTCTCCACGTCTTCCTCATCAGGAGGGCATCGTTTAAACAGTTCATGTTTAGGGGCTTCAACTAAAAGAAAAAGAAGTATAAGAATCAAATATTTGTCCTCATTCTCAGGACTGAGGGACTTGTTGCATCACTAACCTGAATCCTTGCACCAGAGCCTCTTCAACCCTAATAGGGATCGAGCACCATCTTCCTCACAGCAGTCGTCAGGACTGACCAGAGTTGGACAATCATTCTCATGTTCCCCTTCAATAGCCCATGCTTTGAGCTGCCAGCCATTGACTAAATCGCCTGTCTTAGCCTCTTCGGAGTTGGTGAAGTAGCAAGAGGGTACAGCTTCACGCCAGTTGCAGGAATCTCTGTTGCTGGAATACTGGGAGATTGCTCCTGTCGCAAAAAGAGCAGCGGTGAACAAAAGGATGGAATGCATATTGTGTAACAAGATCAAGATATAGTTCGCTTGACACAACTCTGTGGATTGGATTGTAATAAGAGGGGGGTGATTCGGGCTATTTATGAGTACTAAGTAATAACACAATGTGCAAAAGATAGGGGGGACACATGATAGATTATCCATTCGTGTAAACTTCCAGCTGAAGATCTGCAGTGTGAACCAACTGCATCGCAGAGATGGATTTTTTTCTCTCAATAGCAGGACAACTAGTGAGACATTGAGTTCAATACTCTGTAATAGCTATCCGATCTGCAGTGTGAACTAGTTAATTGCATTGGAGCAATGGCTGTTTTTACTTTAATAGCGGAACAACTAGTTAAATATTGAGTTCAATAATAGCAATCCTTGCTGTACATCCCTAGTTAAGTGGAAAAGCCCTTGTAGGTTTACGTCCTCGCGTGATGGGTCATGAGGGTGTTCCCCCCTACATTTATCAAATGTGGGAATTTCTAGTTTGAAGTCGGCATCTATTGGATTCGTCCATCAGCTAATTAATGTCTTAAACAACAGCTCACAATATTCAGCCGAGATAGGGTAGGAAACTTACCACAGAATTCGATGAGGTTGCATTGACTCTTAGAAACTTAGTAACCGGCAATGATCTGAGAGACATGGCGTACTCATCTCCGCTGAAAACTCATGACAACCCGATAGGCTCATTAGAGAAGTAGCGTGGTAGAAGAAAGAGAAATGCTTACGTGCTTGTATAGATAGGGCCGCTAAGGGACAAGTCTACACAGCACAACAAATGATATCAGGTGGGTTTTTTCAAGTGGCTGGATCATAAGCCACTTGCACTTTGCCAGATATTATCTCTGCTCAGCGAGACAACTAGCCCTCACCTACTTTTTCCCTCGCAGAATATGGCCTATACTACGTCTAGTGGTAGTGGGATGTTGCTGACTATCACATGACAGCGGGAAGAAATGAAAGGCGGTGTATTAGGGGGCTTGTCTAAGACAACGTAGGAGCTGATGTAGATCCTGTCTCACTAATGAATCACAGTGTCTTATCTCATGAGACAGACTTACGACATCCAATCGTACATAGAAGGTCGATAGTGCTGCACTTGAGAAAGCTATATGTAGTGTGAAATGTAGAGAGTTCTGATTTCAACCTCTCTATTTTCTGTCCTAAAACCCATGCCTATCCGATGTGCTTCTGCATCTACACCTAATCTACGGGCCTACGTACGCTATTTGTAGCCCTGGGGAAACCCCCAAAATCCTGGCAAGCTGGGCTTTGGATCAGTGGCTTCCAATAGTATGGCGCCACTGTCTCACTCGCAAGCCAGGGAAACGCCGTACAGCGACTGGTTCGATGGCACTTTTTATACAGACACGCATTCGCACCCTACGCCACGGGATCCTACGTCCTCTATACCACAGACGGAGGCGAAGAAAAACTGGACGGAAGAGAAAAGTCGAGGTTCTCGACATATACTTGACACTGCGCCTTTCTCCCTATGGGACGATGATGCCCATGACTATACTAGGCTAACTAGAGAGAACAGTCGCTGGATTTTTGACAAGTACAACGCGACGTGCGTGGACTTTCTCCCCCCCGTTCCTCGTTGTTACAACAACCACACCATCACTCCCTGAGCATAACGGGCAGATTTCGCTGACTCTCGGGTGTGCGCCGGTGGTGTTCACCTCGCCCACAGCCACTGGATAAGAGTTCTGCCCGTTTGTGCCACTGCCGAACTCAAACTACCTTATCGATAGGGCTTCAAGTGACCCTCTGATTGAAACATACCAGGCGATTCCATGGACACCCCCATCTCCGCAGAACGGGGCAGAAATCTGGGATGTCTTCAAAGGCGTCGGTAGCGTGCACTCCCTAAATTTTATATGGCCAACCCTTACTGTCGAACTAGCCACAGACAGTCGCATCTACATCAATGAGTCCCTGCTGAATAAGATAGGCGGATGGGCACTTCATTATCATCAGGGGGAGCCTTTCTGGAAATCCACAGTCCCGCTAGCACAGCAACGCCAGATGGCAGCAACGAGCCTACGTGGCGACGAAACTAATTACTTGAGAACAGGGGATGGAGTCATTGGGCCGGGAATTCGGGTAGAAGGCCGCACTATGGCATCGTCTGCAGGAGTACGAATTAGAAATGGAGCACGGGTCAGAATCACGTTGGCAGACCACGGATTTGAAGACGACACAAGGGTTTACCATCCTGATGGCGACGGCGGCGACCCGATTGCTAATATAGAAGAGAGATTTCCTGACCACGACTAAGCGCTTGCGCAGCTTCATCCATGCATTACCTTCAACAACTCGCAGGTTTTGGAGTGCCCAGAACCACTGCTGTCACCGGGTGGAACTGCTGTCCTGCTGTCGATGAATCTTGCTGTCACCGGTTGAAATGCTGTCGTTCCATCCCGTCGTCGACACAGAACCCCACCATCTCTCTGGAGATGTCTCTCAGACCTCAACATCCCGTGCTGGCCGTGGACACAACACTAGTTCCACACGCTGATCTAGCCATAGAGCAACGAACGGCACCTTTGGCCTATGCGCAACTCTTCTGGTAATGTTATCTGGGCGAGAGTGATTACTTGCGTATACTGCGATTATATAGGCATCACCAACTAACCGATCGGCTGGAGAGAAGAGCTACAGTGGATGATGGAGAGGTGCGGGGTTTCGAGGATAGTGAAATTCACAGGTGTTTGAATACTGGGACGTTTGATGGACTGGAAAGATAATTGCTTTACGATAAGCTGTGAAAATACCAAAATCGCCCCATTCAAACAATCCCTAATTATATCCATCATAACCACCCTTCATTAACCCCTTCCCCCAATCCACAAAAAAACGGCACCACACACCACACACCACACACCCCTCCCCCCTCACTCCTTCTTCCCAACCCTCGGCGTCAATCCCCCACTCCCACTCCCACCCTCCCCCCTCCCCCCACCCACAGCATCCACAGCCGGATCATCAACATCCATCTTCACCCCGCCCCCGCCCCCCTTCCCCCCCTCCTCCCCCCCCTCCCCTCTAACAACCTTAATCCCCGCATCCGTATCCCTACAATAAACCCTCACCCCCACCACCACCGCAGCCCCCCACGCCCTGGGGTTAACCGCAGTATCATAATACAAACTCGCCCCATCAAACTCCATCTCCCTCCTCTCCTCAAACGAGCCCGCCACACTGCGATGCGGGCTGGGGAGGTCATTATCAAACGAGCCCCTCCTGAATGGCTGTGGATGTCCACCACCTCCTCCTCCACCACCACCACCACCAAGGGGAAGCGGTCCCGGCGGCGGTGGAGGCGGGCCGGGAAACCCCCTCGGTGGTCCAGGAGGTGGATAATTCCTCAATGGCAACGGCCCCGGGTACCCCCTCGGCGGCAGCGGGAACCCTCGCGGTGGACCAGGCGGATATCTGCGTGGCCCAGGCGAGATGGCGCGGCGGGGGCCGGGTGAGTAAGTTCCCCTCCTCCTCGGTGGACCGGGGGAGAACGTACGTTGGCGCCGTGAAGGGGGATAGTCGCGGGGACGGGGGCGGAAGTCTCGTGGTCTGCTGGAGTCGCGACGGTCGTCGAGGTCGGTTGGGCGGCGGCGGAGGGTGGGGGCGGAGGAGGAAGGGTCGTTGTCGTCTTCCCAATCGTTGTCGTCGCCGGAGGCTGTGGCTTCGTCTTGGGATGTTGTGTCGTGGGGTTGGTGGTGTGTTTCTGGGGTTGCGTCGGCTTCTTCGACTATTGGGCCATCGTCGACTTTAGGTTCTTGTTGGGATTTAGACGGTTCCGGCTGCGATTTGGGGAGTTCAGGCTGTTGTTTCGCCGCCTCCTTTTCAACAACCTCTTCCTCCTCCTCCTCCGAGGTATCATACTCAAGCTGCCCCTTCGCATGCGCAATATCATACGAAAGCCCAACCTGCAACAGCTTCTCGCGCCGATCAAGCCAATTCCCCTTCACGATATCCTCAACCTTATGCGACTTATCGTTCCGCGACGCCGCGACTTTCATGCGTATCTCGTACGTCCCCGCCTCGAGGAATAACTCCGCGCTGACTGAACGCTGGCGGTAGAACTCACCGTGCGTGCGCATCAGGTAGTCTTCCTCGCCTTTTTTGTGGACTCTGAAGGACATCAGGAATACATATTGTCCGACCAGACCGCGGAAATAGCGCTCGTCGAGTTGGGAGAGGATAATGACTGTCTGCGCCCCCTTTTCGAGCGTGACTTCAAAGCGTGTGTCGAGGTAATCCCCGGCCCAGGGAACATCGACGTTAACCCACTGCTGGGCGACGCGCCACTCATCGGCGAACAGACGCGTGCGGTAGATCTCATCGTACTTCCTCAGTAAATCCTGGTATCTGATCCAGAAAATCCCATCGTCGCCGAAGCTATGCCCCAGATCCTTTATCGACTCATGCGTCCACTCCTTCGCCCCATCCGACCACGGCCCCTTCCACTCCTTCCTCCCCCACGGATTCTTAATCAACAGCAACCTCTCATTCTTATACTGCACCGCCCTCAAAATCGAATACGCATGATTCGCCTGTATCCCATCCTTCCCCCCATCATCATCCGGATCATCCCAAACCGGACTCGCGCAGCCAAAAAGGTACTCCGTATTCACCTTCAGCAAATCCTGCCACAGCCTCTCCTTACTCAGAATATCCCTCGTGCTAATCATCACGCTAATCCCCCCCGTCAAATCTTCCATCGCCTCCCCGACATTCCCGCCATGGATAGCGCCGTAATCCCCATGCGCCTTCGCATACGCCTTCTCCAGCAGCGGCACCCACGTCTCGTCCTCGTGCGTGCTCTGCGCGAAATACAACGCCCCACTGTTCGTCTGGAACTCGCGCCTCCAGTCCTCCGCATCGTCGTCGCGCACCTTGGCTGCCTCCCAGTCTTTGCGCACGCGCTCGGCTAGGTCGTCGTAGTCGGGTTTGCGGAGGTAGAGTTTGTCGTCGATAATCACACTCTCCCACTCCCCGTCCCGGAAGACTACGAAGCCATACACGCCCACCTCCTGGTCGCGAGCAACGCACACTTTCTCTAACAGCGAGTCGGCCCCTGTGCTGTTACACAAAGCCATCAACGCAGACATGAACCAGCAATCCCCACTCCCCCCCTGCCTCACATCCTTTGCGCTCGCTCCATCAACATAAAACTGCGGATTATCAAAGATATCCCCCACCCTCTTCACCGACGGCGGCAACGGAGCCTTCCTCGTCCCCCCCTCGGGCGCATTCCCAAAAAGCAAAAGATGTCCCTTCCGCTCCCCGCCCCCGTTCTCCTCATACAGATTTAACCCGCGATTGGGGTGCACATCCTCAGCCGGCTTGCGCTCGGGCATCGAGAGGGGGTACATGCAATCCTCCTTGTCGTCGAGATCGAAGTATGGGTCCGTGTATTTGAGGTTCATGGCTTGGCATTCTCGCACGATGTGGGCGACTTTTTTTGTGCAGGCCGCGACGGCGGTGTCGTAGGAGGCGCGGACGGAGACGGAGGGGAGGGAGCTGGTGGGGGGGCGTTTGGAGATTTTGGTGGTGTAGAAGGGTTTGGGGAGGACGGCGGAGGCTGGGGGAGTGGTGTTAGCTGGGTGGGAGCGGTGGGGGGTGATGGGGATGGGGTACCTTTCACGGGGGGAGTGTTGGGAGATAGATGCTGTGACCAGAAGTCATTGATGAGATTCTGCGACGTCCATGGTGGCGGCATGATTGCTCTTGTCCTCGTCTTCTCGCAGCCTTGTTCGTGAAGCCGCGATCCGTAAAACAGCACACCCTCAGCTCCTTGTATGTCAAGTAACCTTCAAGCAGTGGCGTATCAGCAGTTGTATTGCAATCCAAGCAAACAATCAGCTCAACCGACACAAAATCGCAAAACTGGCAAGAACAGTCAGTAAATATACCAACCCTCCACGCAAAAAAAGGCAACAACAACCCAGCCCACCGCCCAAGCTCCGCGCACAAACCAAGCTTTAAACACACCCAGCCATCCCTTCAGCCCCAGCCGCAAGGCTGTCATCTCAGGCCAATATCGCACCCCAACCCTAGCCCATAGCTGAACTCACCCCATTCCTAGCGCCCACCTCCCACTGGCCGCCTCATCCCCAGTGGATCCCCACCCCCCCCAGCGCCTGGAGCATGAAGGGCTGGGGCAGACGCCGCGCTGTCAGCACCACGGAGTCAAAAGCGGTTTAGGGTCCAGCGCGGGCCTGGTCCAGCCGGGCTACGGATGCCACATGGCAGGGGTCTGGGCTTGGGGGGTTACCCTTTTGTGGTGGGGATCGGCGGGCGTGGGCTAAATATATCGTGGGTGTGACGGGAGGGTGATTTTTTGGGTTTTGGGGAATGGGGAATGGGGAAAGGGTGGGGGATGGGGTTTTTGTAAGCATATTTGGGATGGAGGTGGTACAGGAGGAGAATGATGGGGGAGGGAGGTGGTGAGGTTCTGGAGTGGGTTGCGGTGCGGTGCGGTGCGTGTGAGGGACGGGGCGGAGGTAGGGGATTATTAAGGTGTGATGCTGTACTCGTGGCAGTTGAAGGTTGGAAACTTGGAAATCAAACCTAGTATTTACGCTGATAGAAACTGTTATATCGCAATGATTTTGAGTAACTGACATAGACAAGGTAGCCCTAATTGTGTCTTTTTGACTTACAGTTGCTGTGAGCACTAACCATTGTGTAGAGTTGCTGTAATTACTACCATTGCGTATGGTTCCTGTGAACACTGCCATTGCGTAGAGTTGCTATAAAGACTACCATTATGCATACTTACTGTAAACACTACCATTATGCATACTTACTGTAAGCATCGCCATCATGTAGAGTTACCGTAAAGACCACGATTGTGTAGAGTTACTCTCCAGACTTTAGACGGCACAAGTAACTCTGCACACCAACGACGATCTAAATCACTCCACTGAAAACAAATCTACCTTGGCAAGAGGGGATATATTGTCCGGATCCTAAAAGCACTAAAGCGCAACTAACTATCTGGTATCAAGCCAAGCAAAAAAACACCTTCGCGCCATCTCATGCACCCATCACCCATTCCATCTCACATCCCACATATCTCATCCTCATCCACATCATATACTTCATCCCCCACCCAATAATCTAACCCCTCATCGGCTTCCTCGCCCACCCACTCAACCCCCTCCACCCCGCACCCGCCTGCCTACCCTCCTCCACAATCTCCCCAACACCCTCCAGCAAATTCTCCTCCGCGACACCAATCTCCATCTGCAGCTTCAACATCCACTTCTCCCACGCCCACCCCCCCACAAGCCCCGTAATACTCGCCGCCGCCGCCGTGCTCCCCGTCACCATAGCCTCCAGCTCCAGCGGCCTCTCAACACCCATGCTATCCCTGCTCACCGGTCGCGCCACCGGCGTCGGCGCACCCATCGGCAGGACCATCCAAGCGCGCTTCACACCAACAAATCCCGCGCGCGACAGACGACCGAGCCATGCCTTGGTGGGCGTAGCGTCATATCCGCGGGTCTTGAGGGAGAAGCCGAACTCGACGGACTTAGCTTGACCAAGGGGGCCGGCATTCATGATATCCGAATCGAGCATGTTGAACTCGAGGTATCCGCCGGGCTTGAGGATGCGCATGCACTCCGCGAGGCAGGCGTCGTACTCGTCCTCGCCGTTCTCGGAGCACGCCTTGAGAATGTGCGCGAGGTTGCGGGCGGAGATGAGGTCGAACTGGTCGTCCTTGAAGGGGAGGCTGGTCAGCTTGTTGACTGTCACCTGGCGGTGGTTGGCTGGGCCGTGGATGTTGGAGTTGGACAGCTGGCGCGAGGTCTTGGTGGTGACAGTGTACACCTTGGTGTTGGGGTACTCGGTCGCGCAGTGCCATGCCCAGTCGCAGGTGGCTTGTCCGCCGAGATCGAGAATGCGAGCGCGGTCGCGTGGGGTTCCGTTGGCGGAAGGTCCCATGCGTGACAGGCGAGCAAGCCTCTTGGCCACGGGTGCGGCGATCAGGCGGCCTCCGTTGAGCATCTTCATTGCCGTGACGTTCCAGGTTGCAGCGCTCATCTGCTCCTTGGCCTCTCTCTCCTTATCCGCCTTAAGCTTGGCTGGGTCCTCGGGGGCGGTCTCGTCACCGCGGGCGACATTGGAGGACATACGCTTCTTGGCGCTCATTGGCACAACGCTGAGTTGGAACTTGCCGAGCAGCTGGTTGCGGTATGCCTCGGGAAAGTTCGTGCGCTGGATTTGCAGAGCCTCAAAGCGGGGTGTGCGGTGCACAAAGGTATCACGGTAACGCGACAAGGCGACAAAGGTGCGGAAAGAGCGGAAGTACGCGGACTCCAGGCGGGTGAGCTGAGGGAGGGGACGGCCGACCACGATGCTGACACCGAGGACTGACGTTGGGACTTCCGAGAAGCGGACCGTCTTCTTCTTCGATGCAGTCTCGCTGTCAGAGTCGACAGTGGCTTTGCCACCTCTTACGATCTGGGAATCGCGCCTCTGAATGGCTACCTCGTCATCACGCGCCTCAGTTGGGTTGATGAGAGCAGAAAGGTAGGAAGTTTGAGCAGTAAGCCACAGCTGGGTGCGATCAAAGTGCTCTAATGAATCCTCGTTCAGCTTGCGGACGTAGGTAACGTCGTAGTCTGAAATGATTTCCGTGGCGATGATCTCCTCGATAGGAGAGTCCAGGCCCTTGATAGTCTCTTCGGAATCAGTCTTCAGGAGGATTGGGCGAGCAGTTGGGCATCCATCAGACATGGACTCGGTCACCTCAACGATGCGCTCAATGGGCTCGGACATCCATGGTGTCTTGTAGAAGTGCTCTGCGGTCGCCGAGGACGGGGGAGCTTCGTTGTTGAGACTGGATGGCATGATGTGCCATGTGTGCCTAGAAACATTCGACAAGCTAGCGAAGAATCCTCCTGGCGAGGGAATCTCGATGGCCGTCAAGCTGTTCATTGACTGTTGCTGCTCGGGCGACAGGACAACAGAGTTATTTCTGTGGATGCTGGTGTTGATTGGTGGCGGGCTTTGCTGCATCTCCGTTGTTGGTGATCGGATTGGAAGCTCAATCACCTGCTCGGGAATGTCGTACATGTCATCCAAAGCAAAGGCTTGGAGAGTTGCCATAGCCGCAGGCTGTAGCTGAACTCCTCCCCATTGATCAACATCGCCGCTCTCCTCGTTTCCAGTGTTTGGAGTAGGAGGCGCCGACATGAGAGCCATTTGCTCGGAAGTCAAGCTTCCATCGAGAGATGGTGGGGCTGAGGATGACGGTACTGCGAGCGCGGACTGTTCTGCGAGGTACTGGAAAACAGCAGGCGACATTGGCACCTTTGGGGGTGGGGTTGGGGGAACTGGCGAGGCTAGTTTCTTGAATGCAGCCATGGCCTTCCATTGTTCATTCGATTGGGGAATGATGAGGGATGGTAGCGAGTTGCGTTGTCGGGGCGAAGCTGTCGACTTGCGAGAGCTTGTTTCCCGGACTATTGAAGAGCGAGCCTGGCGGGCCTTGTACGAGTCTTCCTCGTCGGATGAGACGTCGTACAAATCGTCGAAATCCGTGGCTTGAGTGCCAACGCTATCTCTGGTCCAAGGCCCGGACGAGGTTTGCGAATACTCGCTGTCGGCGGGGGAGGATGGCGAAGCAGGCATGAGTGGAGCGATCATGAAGTGGTTTCCTCTGGGTGTTGGGAAGTGGTCGCTCAAGGGAGAGCGCCAGTCTGACCAGCTTGGAGCTTTCGGGGACGGCGATCCACGTCGTCCGCGATCATCTTCTCTATCGTCACCTCCTCTCATTGATTCTTCATCGTCTTCCATTATAGTATTAAGTGAGCGTCGTCGCCGTGGAGCCTGCACGGGCGACGGAGCTTCGTATGTAGCAGCTGGTAAGAAATCTAGCGAAGCCATTTTGACGTAAGAGAACCTGAAAAGGCGACAACTGTATGTGTTTTGGTTTGTCTATGCAACTGATACTGAAAATTGTTGACGCGCAGCGTCGGGAATAAATATTACAAGCGATAGGATGCTTCGATCAACGAAGACTTCACACAAACAAAACAAATAAACTGACACTCAAAAAACACACCGACGAGAATGGATGAATAGATGGGTAACTTGGTAATGGGGCCAAAGGGAACGTTTATACCACCTTTGTTTCTTCGACGACTTACAGTAGCGCTGAGCGTAATTGAGCGGGGCGGTAATGCGCACATCCCGTCAGCGGTAGCGACCCGATGGAGACCATCTGCGAGACCAAAACGGCACTTGCGCCTCGATGTGTGCATGGTATGGTTGAACTGACGGCCGAGGAGTGTCGAAACGAGCAAATGAAGCCAGCGATCTGTTTGAACGGGACAAGTAGTGCGAGGTCATGCTGATCGGTGGCATCCAATGGAGACGGATGAACAGGGGGAGTTCGCAGACATGACAGGCATCAGACAGTAGGGCTAAAGTAATAATAGAATCAATAGTATGGAGAGGTGTGGAGTTTGCGCCGAAATGTGTTGAGTTGCTGCCACACCTTGGACCTCATTGGCGCTTGCGTGCATATGTTTGGACGAATCATGGGGTCCGACGGGTATGCAACCGCCCTGCGGGCGCCAAAAAATAGACCATTTGTGTGACGGACCTCTGATCGACGACTAAACGACCATGACCGACGGTTGAACCGACATTTGAGCTGGCCGTGGTTACCTGTGAGATGCGAGAGTAAGTTTCCTGTATGCACGGGAGTATGCGCGGGAGGAAGGGAGCATGCGAGATACCTGCATTGCATTGATATACACTATGAAGCATAATAAAGTGTACAGCAGTTTCTATGTCCTGAGGTGGAGAGAGTAGCATTGGTTATCAGTTTTCCAACAATAGATACAGGAAGGAAGGAGGAAGGACGGAGGAAGACAGAAGGGAGGAGGGCGTATGTACGTATATGTTCTGTATGAAGGTCAGTATGGAGATCAGTATGAAGGAAGAATGTTTGTAGTTGGAGGTTTGAGGAAGAAAGAAAGAGCGATTGTTGTTTGTCGCCAACAGATGGCTATAGATGGTACTTAGGTACATATGAAGTTTCCATACTATGGTCAGGTACCATTTCTATGCGTGGCAGGCGTGGAGTAGAAACTGACATATGTGCCTGATATATAGGGCCACAATAAATCCATACCCCACCAATTTCTCTGTCACTCCAAAAAGCTACCCCTCCAATCCCTCCAAGCGCTTTCTTGCCGCTGCGTCATCTCCACATCCAAACCTCTCTACGCGCTCACCCTCCACCACTTTTTATTTTCGCGCCGAACCACCGCGACTCTCACCACTCACCACTCACCAGTGACCCAAGCCACTGGACCATCCCAATCTCTCTTTCCCCCCCAGCCTCCGCCCACCATGTCTCCTCCCGCCATCATCGCGCCCTCCATCCTCGCCTCCGACTTCGCCGACCTGGGCGCAGAATGCTCCCGCACCATCAAACAGTACGGCGCGCAATGGCTGCACATCGACATCATGGACGGGCACTTCGTGCCCAACATCACCTTCGGCGCCCCCGTCGTCACCAAGATCCGCTCTCACGTCGACCGCCCCGCCACCGCCAATGCCACGGGCACCTTCGACTGCCACATGATGGTTGCTGAGGTGAGTTATCCGCCCCGTGCACGCTCGTGCTCATGCAGTTTAGAGGCGAGCGAGGAGTTGGGCTGGGCTGATGGGAGACGTGTAGCCCAAGAAGTGGGTCAAGGACTTTAAGAAGGCGGGGTGCGATTTGTATTGCTTCCATTATGAGGCTGCTATCGATTCAACGGCTGCCGAGTCGCCGGAGGAGACGTCGGATAAGAAGACGAACCCGAAGGAGCTTATTAGGTTTATCCATGAGCAGGATATGCAAGCTGGCATTGCGATTAAGCCGAATACCCCTGTTGATGTGTTGTGGGATATCTTGGAGAACCCAGTAGCGGAGGAGAGACCAGATGTACTATATCCCATATCCCCTCTCGTGAAGAGCATATTTACTGACAACCCCCAGATGGTCCTCGTCATGACCGTCGAGCCCGGCTTCGGCGGACAAAAGTTCATGGCCTCCGAACTCCCCAAGGTCACCGAGCTGCGCAAGAGGTACCCAGACCTGAACATCGAGGTCGACGGCGGCCTGGGGCTGGGGACTATTGACCAGGCTGCCGATGCAGGCGCGAACGTGATCGTCGCTGGCTCAGCAGTCTTCGGTGCTCAATCCCCAGGAGATGTGATTGCCAAACTGCGACAGGCTGTGGAGTCCAGGCGGAGTTAGGGGGGCGATTGACCGACTATTTACAAAACTTACATACATAGACTTCGAGTACATAGCTGTTTGATAGCTAAATAGATCCTGTCGATACCAGTCACCATCTTACCAGGTTAGTCTACGAATGAATTGCTGCTCGTATGAGTTTCTCTCTTTAGAAAGTATTATATTTCTACATATATTAATCTCCATCTCCCATTACCTTGGTCCAGCGCCCGATACCCTCTCCACACAACTACAGCTTACAAGTCGAAGAACGCGCCCAATCACATGTCTTGAGGTTATCATTCCACGACAGTCCCTGTCCGCACGCGTATTTATACGGCGTGCCAGTCTTCCCGTCGCCGTTCACAAAGCATAGATAGAAATGACTGCAGCTCTCAGGATCTGGGTATCTGCAGTCTTTCGGGCCCTTGCATTTGGTCTTGGTGATGTCTTGGGTGGGACAGGTGAAAGCGGCGCCGGTGTGGACGTCGTTGGACTCTTCTTGCTTCGTCTGCGACCCCGGCCAAATCTGTGCCATAGCCTCTTCAATCCCCTTCCCAACATCCCCAAGCGTCTTCTGCATACACGTCGACCTCGACCTATCATCACACTCCTTAATACCCTCGTTCCACTCAAAGTCCCTCGGGCAGTGCACCACAACCGGCGTGCCTGTCTTGCCCCCGGCGTCGACGTTGCACTGGATGTACTCATTGCAATAGCCGGGTCTGGCGTAGACGCAGTCCGTGTGGGCGGCACATTTAGTGCGGATGATATCTGCGGCTGGGCACTTGAAGACGAGGGGTTCTTCCTTGGCAGCACGGCGGTTTGGTGCACCGCCGTTCCTGAGGACATCTTCGAGGCCGTTTGTAACTTCACCGATGACAGTTCCTGGGCACCCTGCTCCTGTGCATGTGAGCTTATCCTTCGATTTGGCTTCAAGAGTATTCTTCTCCGTGGTCGCATTCACAGGGCACGTCGATTTCTCTGGGACATCGCACTTCTTCTCTTTATTGTTCCACTCATGGCCAGGAAGGCAGTCCTTGATGACCGGAGTGCCTGACATAAGGTTCGAGCCCGCGCTGCACTGGATGAAGGTGGTGCAACTTCCGGGGTTCGGGTACACGCAGTCCTTTGCGCCGCGACACTGGGTCAACATGATGTCCTTCATTGGGCATTGGAAGGGAGCGGGGTCGCGGGTATAAGTGCGGGCACCATCGCCTCGAGGTAAAATGCCGCCGACCTCCTTAAGAAAGCCACCAGCCATTGGGTTCACGGCACTTTTCTTCGGGCACGTCGAGTTCTCCTGGGAGTCGCATTTCTTTTCCTTGTCGTTCCACTCGAGATAACCATCAGCAGAATTAGGACATCCCTTTTGCGTCACAACGACCGTCTTCCCATCAGCTCTCCAATCGCATTGGATGTAATTCCTGCAGTTCTTAGGTTCTGGGTACATGCAGCCGTTCTGACCTTTGCATTTGCCGCTGGTAAAGTCTGCGCTGGGGCACACGAATGGTTCATCGCGGATCTTATTCTTGACAACACCATCACGTTGAGGTAAAATTTTGCTGGCCCCGTGAAGAACGCCATTAACCGCCTTGTCCACGCCAGCTGTTGCTGAGCACGTCGATTTCTCTGGGACGTCGCATTTCTTGTCATTGTTGTTCCACTCGAGATAGCCAGTGGTAGATTTAGGACATGTCATGTAAGTTCGTGTAGTCGACTGCCCGTCGGCGCTCCAATCGCAATGGAAGTACGCGCCACAGTTATCAGGATCTGGGTACGTGCAGGCGTTCTGTACTTTGCATTTGCCGCTGACGAAGTCTTCGCGCGGGCACGCGAGGCGATCCTGGGCTGCGGAAAGGTGCAAGAGGGCCGGCACGACAAGAAGGCTGAGGAAAAGCATGGTGGCGGATAGCTAGAGGGGTCGGTTTGGGTTGAAGAGCTGGATTAAGGCGAGGACCTGGGACGGGGTTGCAGCGGCCTATTTAACTCTTCTTTTCTATGTTACATTTGTGTAGGCGCCTAAGACAGTTTTAATAATTCGTTTCAACCAAGTCCAATGGTGTCTCGATAATAAGAGTTGAAAGCTAGCTATGTTAAGCTGCCTTTTCCGAAAGTGCCTGTCCGTGCAGCTCAATTAGACAGGTCTCATCGCGATTAAATGCACATCTCGCAAGATATTTTCTTCGCTCCCTTGCTAAAGCCCAATATAAGACCCCAATATAAGACCTATCAAAGTCCTAGACAAGTAAATGATCGTCAAAAACCTAGATCTCCCGTTACATCGCCGATCCGTGGAGTAATCCCGGCGAAGATGATAAGTTGTGGAACGAGCTTCTCCTGGGATACGCGTCTGGTTGGGCTGAAAGTCAGAAAGTCGCGATGAAACCTGTCTCAAGTTAATTCCTTAACATTACCTGAGAGTAAAATATTTCCTTCAAATCGCCCTCAGGTTAAACATTCGATTTATTGGAATGAACCGATTTGGGTGCTGAGAGCAGTCGCGTTTTTGACGTGGAAAGCTCCCAAAATGACCCCTTATTGGCTCCATCTTCCTGCCGCCCCCCTACAGGCCCGGGGAAACCTCGCACCGATATGTCTCAGATATGAGACTTTTACAACGCGTATATACACGTACCCATCCGGCCTAAAGCCTGGAGACGGGCTATTGCATACGTAGCTAGAAATTGATATTTTCCCATTCCCAAGTAACTTGCTTTCTGAAGGCCATAATATGTAACAACATATTTGACAATATGCGTGTCAAAACTTCTCATGATACCAATCCCGTCGTGGAAATCAAATACTCCGGATCAAAACACGGTTACATAGGCAGTGGTGCATCGGGGATCGTCAACCGCGCTCCAAATGGCGATGTAATTAAATCACCCTGGCCTGGTTCTCGTAATGCTGAAGCGCGTCGAGACATCACGACTGAGAGTCTCATTTACGAAAGACTAGGCCAGCATCCTCGCCTTATTCAAACACTCGGGTTTGATCCAGAGAGTTGTGTCTTGACTATGGAATACATGCCAAACGGGACACTGAAAGACTTTCTTGCAGCGAATAACGAAGCTATTTCTACAGCACAACGACTTCGGTGGGCCAGAGATGCGGCTGAGGGACTTCAAGTGGTACACGATGCAAAAATCGTTCACTGCGATGTAGAGCCCAAGAATTTCTTGTTAGACGAGGATCTGGCTCTTAAAATTTCGGACTTCAGTGGCTCGTCTCTCGAAGGATCACGGGCATCAGCATGTGCTGGTAGAAGGTATTCTCGTCCGGGGTTTGATTTTCACCGCCAACAGACCGTGTCTGATGACTTGTTTGGCCTCGGCTCTACTATCTACTTCATTATAACTGGCCAGATCCCTTTCGAGGAACTGCCGAGTGATGAGGTTGAAAAGAGCTACAAGGACCAAATATATCCTGACGTGTCTGGAATAAATTGTGGAAGCATTATCAGGCAGTGTTGGGATTCTGAAATTACGTCTGCCCAAGAGGTGTATGATTATTTCCGAGATATGGAATATAAGGAATAATTCCTCATAAAAATTTATTTGAACTTTTTTAATCGCTATTCAATTATGGCGGGTCAGACCATATGATATATCAACCCATTATAAGCAATGACTGCTGGCTAAACGCTACTAATCGCCACCTTCGTGATGTATATGCCTAGTCCTTCTGACTACAGAATCTTCCTCCTCCAACTCGTCATCGTCGCCGGCTGCCGTCGGTAACCTCACCGCCCGATCCAACGCAACCGGCAACCCCCTATGCCTGCCCCGGAGCATAACCGCACATAATATCAGCTTCGAGCATGTGTGAAGGCCGCCACTGAAAGAATACGACTTGTTCGGCAAACCCGGTGAGATCCCCACGCATCCATAAGCCGACACAACCTCAAACATGATGTTGAAGACTGAGTATGTCACTGGATCCTTCTCAAAATTCGCTACTTCGATACACGAGATCAGCCAAATAGCGACTACGAGCCACCAGAGGTCGTGGGCGAGCTGGCCACGGATCTGCTGTCGCATGAAGTCGTGTGCGTTGTATGCACCACTCGGGAAAGGGGATGTAATGGCTTTTGACAGTGCCCGTCGCAGCTGGGAGGCTGGTGTCCGGATCCATGGACCTCCTGGAGAATATGGCTCATCGTGGGCGTAGATTCCGAGTGAGCGTTCTTCATACACGTTGGAATGCCGCATGGTGATCACGACCGGGTATGCGGAGATGTACATCATGATCACGTACAGAACTTGTAGTCCGATGCGGAGGTTCGCGATCGACGTTACGTAGAATCCACCAGAGCGGACAGCAAGGGCTTGGAAAAGGCCGTCTAGGACGCGGAAGCGTTCTGGGATCGTCGAAGTGAGGCTGTTTCCGATGTTGAGGAGCTCGAACGCTGCCCAATCGATCCCATTCAGGACGATTAACATTAATAATAGCCACCAGGTCTGAGAGCTGGGGAATAGATTCGTGTAAACACGGCGTGGGTAGGTAAGGATAAAGCGCAGAGTCGTCTTGTAGTCTGCGTATTGATCTTCAGAGGGGTAGATTCTTGTGAGTAGTTTGAGCATGCTCCATAGGATGAGGCGGAGGAAGAGTGGGTATCTGTAATTTATTAGTTGGAGCAAAAGATAAGTCGTGGGGAGAAATACGCTGTGTTGCCAGCTAAAATCAGCAAGCCCATCGTTGTAAGCATATATATTGAAGTTTGGAACGGGATCTGTGTTTGATTAGCGGGATGTACTTGAGTGAAAGACTGCATCATACCATGTTTTCGTCCAGCAAAGACATCCCCGAATTATTAAACGCAGAAGCCCCGTTAAAAACACCCAGCCACCTATCAAATTAGCTCTATTTTCAACCAGAAAGGTAACTCAACTCACCATGGATTAATGCCATTCTCCCTCGCTACGCTCGCTTTATTGTGAGCAACATACGCCGCCAAACCAAGGCAGCCTAGTAGCTGCCATAGCACGAAATATATCGGCACAATCCATGCTAATAGCTGAATAGCACGATACTCAACGCCACCAAGGTGATCCCTCTCGGCCCTTGAGAGACCGAAGAACTGCCCGTTACGGCCAGTGGTGTGCTTGGTGAGATATCCTGGGAACCAGCTGTCCGGTGGCTCCTCTTCCTTCTCCTTCTCCTCCTCCATTTCCTTTCCTTGACGGCCTCTAGTGCCCGTAAAAGGTCCTCCAAATGACGCGGAACTCGGACGGGCTCCAGGCCCCACAGAAGATACCACCCGGCGGCCCTCTCTCGTTGAAGATGAATCATGCGGCATAAATGAAATGTGATCCCCGCTCATTTGCATCGCTTCTCTATGCCCGTCCTCGTCTGCGGCACTCTCTGACGTCACTACGATACCTGGAGTCCCCGCATGGGGTCTATTCAGCCGCATTTCCATTGGATCAGAGATTGACTTTCCTGCTGTAGCGTTTTGTGAGCTTGAGTCTGCCCATGACTTCGGCAGGTCATCATCGACTGCCTCCTCTGGTCCTCGTCTGCTCCTTAACCGTCGCAGGATAGGACCATTCCTCATTGCCGATATTGAGAAGCTCCTCCTATGACCCCTTCTTCGCTCCTTCTGCAGCTTAACCACGTGCTTAAAGCGACTCTCAAAGGCACGCTTGCGCACCAACACCGTCCCGATGCTCACGAAGATGCTTCCACCGATGAGAATCAATAGGAAGAGCATGGTCTGCTGAAAGCTCGTCACAGTGCTTAGGTTCACAGTGTTGAGGCCGGCTTCCGTCATTGCAGAGACGACGAGGAAGAGAGAGTCCGTATATGAAATGCTCTGGGCGGGGTTTGAGGCGCCCCAAAAGATGAGAGAGCATACCAAGCAGGTGACGATAAAGTATGCATAGTGGACGGTAATAAAATTCAATGGAGGCAAATGGGATTGACTTCTCCTCGTTCTCTCATTTTCCTGCACGTTTTCTTGATGGCCGCGAGAACGCGATCTAACAGAATCCGACATGGTGATGCTGACCGGAGCGAGTCGGGATGTTGACCGCTACATTGACGTTCTGTGATTTTTCTTCGCAAGCGCGGCTAGGCGCCAAGTATATTCTCGCCCGACCTTATTTGATCATGCAGTACGATCCCTGGCAGTATAATGATAATAAGCGGGAAGATTTGTGGTTTTGAAGTGGCAAGTCCATTATTTTAGATGACTGTGGGCGCGCTAGCAATACAAAAGTCTATTTTTTAACGTTTTCCTAACCTCGCGTATCTATGGTGGCGGGTCGTTCCTGCCCCCTGAACACTCAATACCCACTACCTAATTCTAGCCGGCCGAGCTTAAACTCCAGTGGAGAACTCCATACAACGACTAAAACCCTTGGTCCCTCCATATACGCCTTTTAAAGACGTAGGGGGTAGTTTACTATTCTACTTCGTTACTCGGCAAGTTCCAGCGTCGGGTTTACCGAAAAATCTATTATCATTGGGCTGATAGGTATGTTAGTATGCTAAAGGCAAGTAATACGCTCTATTACACCAGACACAAAAGAACTTACAATGCAAGTATATGCTTCACAGCAAGGATGGTAGTTATCGCAGTCGAATAGGTAACCTTCACATCGTTTTTCAAGCTTTATGATAGGGTTTGCTACTCCGAGTGTAGCCAGGAAGGCCAAAAGAACAATTGAGAGTTTCATGTTCGTGAATTGGGAGACGATGGGAATATGTAGGACTAGAGGTGCTTTTTGAATGTTAGGAATGAGAAGGGCCAGTGGGCTTTTATGGCACTATATATAAGACGTTTGCTAGCGTAGTACTGTTATGATTTACATTCACCTTACCCAAGCTTCAACTCAGTTACTCAAAGTAGAGTCCAAGCATGCAAGTAATATTGAAACATTGTTTTATTTCGGCGCCTAAATCGTCCTCTCGAGTAGCACAGCGAGCGTTGCTCTACAACTGTTGCACCTTCCTTGTTCCCTATAATATGCCTATGACAAATCCGACAGCAGCTGCCCCAATAACTCCATATACCTTACCACTCCCCACGTTATCCGTTGCGCCGCCGGTGAAAACTGGCGAGTTGACGCGCGTGTTTGTCCCAATAGTCCCAATAGCAATGGCTGTTTGGTTTCCCTGAAATCTCGTAGATTCTGTCGTTATAACAATAGCGGGCTCAGTCGCCACTGCTTCGCTAGTAAATGTCGAGCCTTCAGGAATGAAGGTGGTAAGACTAGGCTGCTTTGTGTTATTAGGTGATACAAAGTAAGGAGAGGTTGAAAAGGGAGATTCACCTGAGCGGCTGTTTCCACACCTATGGGCATTGTGTTGCCGTGGGCCTCGACGATGATCCTGGTAAAGGTACTTGCTAAACCAACAATGTGTCCCATCGGTGCTGTTTGGACGACGGTGAGCATGGGGTGCTCCACCACCACGGAGTGCTCTGGCATCATCGGGGCTGCTGTCTCGATGAGGGTGGGCATGGGGTGCTCTACCATAGCGGAATGCTCTGGCATCACCGGAGCTACTGTTTCGACAGTAGCCATGGGGTGCTCTACCATCACAGTGTGTTCTGGCATCACCGGAGCTACCGTTTCGACGGTGGCCATGGGGTGCTCCACCATCACAGTGTGCTCTGGCATCACCGGAGCTACTGTTTCGATAGTAGCCATGGGGTGCTCTACCACCACAGAGTGCTCTGGCATCACCGGAGCTGCTGTTTCGACAGTGGTCATGGAGTGCTCTACCACCACAGAGTGCTCTGGCATCACCGGAGGTGCTGTTTCGACAGTGGCCATGGAGTGCTCTACCACTACAGAGTGCTCTGGTATCACCGTTTCGACGGTGGCCATGGGGTGCTCTACCACCACGGAGTTCTCTGGCATCATTGGGGCTGCAGTCTCGTGTGTTACGGCCATTTGTGTCGAAGCAGCCTCGTGGACGGTTTTCATTCCGGACGTGGTGATGGCATTGTACCCTTGTCCAGAAGTCATGGAACCTTTCTCTAATCCGCTTATGCCGAAATCTTCAGATGAGACCGAGTGGCTCGTGGAATCGATGATGATGATGGTAAACGATTTATGCGATTTGATGGAACGGCTTGGGCGCCAGTTATATGACCCAGAGTTTGCCACAGATACTAAATCACAGTTAGGAGCTGCACTCAAAATAGAATGTGAGATTTACATACTTGCGATTACACTGATTGATTGAGAAATATCCGTTGCGCCACCGGGGCATAGATGAAGGCTCACAAGCCCGGATAGGCCCGCTGTGTCCCATTCAACAGCATTGTTCTGTTCGGCTGCGCATCCTCTGTTCTTCGATGGCCTATGAATTGATGCTGAAATGGTGGATGCCAAGGTGAAAACGGCCAGAACGCATCTTGAAAGTTTGAAATGCATTTTGGATTTTTAGCTCAAATAATAAAATAAAATAAGGTATGAATGTTTTGGAATGACTGTGGCGGCCGACGCTACAAACGACAGATTAAATGATAATGGTTAGAAAGGAATGGACGTCGTGTCTGGCCAGCAGAATGAGGAATTTACCAAAGCAGGTAGGGAAAAAAAAGCAGCGGTGAAGTATGAAAAATAGGTTGTAGAGCTGAAGTATATACGATTGGGTTCCAAGACGGAGCGGGATCTATGAAACCGAAAACGTGAGACAGGTGAGAGCACACAGTCCTCATAATTACCTTTGACACCTGTCTGCCAAGCCTACTATGATCGACCAAGTACAGGTATCCGGGACACGCAGATGTTCGGACGATGAATAGAAGTCGAAGTAATCGAGCGAGTGCAGATGGTGTACCGCAGCTCGTCTCTTTTACGCGCTTTATGTTGTTTTTGAGGTCGAATATTCATGTCTCCAAGACTCATCCTCCCACAACTGCTATAGCTGTGTTTACGGCTTACCGACATTTGCAAGCAAATAGTATAATTGGTCATACTTACTCCCTTCAATATTTCTACCACACTCATGTGGCTGAGCAGTGTCAGGATGAGGTTCTGACTGCCTCTTTCAACGCTAATAGGCCATAATAGAGTTGGCATTGACGTTTCATGACAGAATGTTCGAGGCCAGGAACGGGGTCGCCAAGCATGAACATCAGTGTTTCGCCTGGACAGCACCTTAATTTCGAAGACTGACAAGTCCATATTGATTTTTTATGCTCTTCAGCGTCCCCAGAGTTCCAAAACGCGATACTAGGGCCGATAGAGAGTGTGGTGAAACCCGCAACGTCTCGAGGATTGCCAAGCCAGCGAGGAAGCTTCGGTAGATCTCTGAATAGGATCATTATCTTATTTAGTTGATTTATTATCAACAAACCATGTCCTGTAGAGTTAATAGAGAAAATTGTGGCAATCAATGGTAACTGACATTGAAACCTACTCTTGTCATCTTGGGGGTTCATTTATAGCTGCACCTTACCTAAATAGTATTAGCGTAAATCAAATCACCTGACTCAATACAGGCAACTTCGGTGAGATATCTACAACACCAGTATCGACCTTGTCGCCATTTCTCCATTTCTCCCTTGAGCTCCATCAGTTGCTATCATGCCGAGTATTAGGTGTAGTTATCATGGCCAACCGTCGTCTTGAAATCCTCGTTCATACGACGGCGCCAAGTCTTGGGCAAGAGGATTCGCTCTATCGGTCATTGGCGGCAGCGTACCTCGATTTCGAACCGCAGGGACGGATCGATTTACATGAGGAAGATGATATATCGAGTGGGAATGATGAGTCAGGTGGAGATGAGAGTCCTGAGCGCCAGCTTCGTGCTGATATACGCAACTCTCAATCCAACGAGGACCAAAGTCACATGTTCTCGAATGGCTTAGACTCCTGCCTGCCAGCGTCTCAGCTTTCGTCTGCCCCGAGAAGGGAATACCTCACACGCTCAAAGATAACTACCGCCCCTTCTTCCGCTATACAGTTTTTGGATATTTCCTTCACGAGTGTTGATGGCATGAACTCTCCACGGTTTCGCGCACGTGACCTTAACAGATCCAGGGACGCTGGCCAAAAGGGGTTTGAAAAAGGGATGCAACGGGAACAACAAACATCAAGGTCCATAATAGGTTCACTAGCTGAACAGGTCGGTCCGCGTCGTGAAACTGGTGGCACTTCAACGAGCCAGTTGGAATCTTCCCCTTCCATACCAACCTGCTCAACCCCTTCAGTCATTCGAGACACGTTCTTGTCTCAATTTGAAAGCCCACGTTACTCTTCGCCATCTCCTGTACGAGTGCCTTTATCTCCACCACCAGATGAGGCGCTTGGTTCTGAAATAGGAAATGGGGGAAGGCAGTCTGGCCGAACATTGCGAAGCAGAGCACATATATCGGAAGAACACCCAAAAGAGACAACTTCCCCACTAAGTCCTGCGCCTACACGGAGTGAAGAGGCGCCTTCAACTACGCTTACATCTAAGTTACGCCCAGAAGAATATTCTTCACCATCATTGCCTCGGCCATTGTCACTCGGCCAATACGACCTACAAGTCCGCAGAACTCCGCCACCGGATAGCCCCCACCGTAGCCCCAAGAAGCGAAGCCTTGCCTCAGTGCCTTTACCCACCACGGCACGCAAATCTACTCGTCTACTCATCGACCTTACTCACGTCTCTGACACTCCTCCCGTCCCCTTTGATCAGGGCAGTCGGCAGGCCAACCCAGCCCTCCCTCCTTCAGAAAAGCCAGTGCGTGCTCCAAGTTCCTCCATACCGTCGCAGAGACCATCGCGCAAGCGCCATGCATCCCGCATACCAGGCACGTCTGCAATTTACCCCTTGCCCGCCACTGGCTCGGAGGAGGTCAGCACGACGTTCCTAACGGTGCCACTTGCGAACCTTGCAGCAGAGATTGGGTATGCGCGTTTTCGCCCTGCATCACAGAGTCGGGAGATACGGAAACATGAAAGGGGATATTGGGGCATCGATGTATATGATAGCGAAGTAGGTTGGGACGATCGAGCAAGAGAGAAAACGTGGGAGTTTCTCCGTGAGTATATTGGTCGAGGGAAGGCGGGGTGGGGAGTCTGGTGCGTCAGGGATCGCGAGCACGTTGGTGAAGGAGGCGAGGACGGAGGACGTAAGACGGGATTGGAAGGAGAGCAATGGCGAATCTATTGCTGGGGCGAAATTCTTTCGGAAGTATACCTACTTCTTTATTTGGCAAGTTCGAGGAGAATCCGTAGTGCCGGGGCGTGCTGGTTTGATGGCGGCGGGGAGTGTGTTGTGACGATGCCAAGTGATATCAAACCGGGGCAGGAAGGGGGGACAAAGTGATTTTCAGAGATTCCCTGCCGCGTTGGAGATTATCAACTTGGAACAAATCGCATTGGATATGCCAAGATTGGATAGGACAATGAAATGATAAATATTCTCTAAAATAAGTCGGAAGCGTGTGATTTTCCCACAGCCTTCTTATGTAGGTAACCTGGGCCTTCAAGCCTAAGCACTTATACCGTACCCTTGGTCACTGTATGCTTAGATATATTACATAGATATCATTGGCTTATTTGTGGAGCCTAATAGGTTTGGGGGCTATTCATGTTTGCTAGCCTTGTCCGCCTTACTTCTATGCTTTGTTTGCTTTTCCCGTTTGCTAGAGCTGACAGCTACAACCACTGCTGGGGAACTTCGCATTCAATAAACACTTCAAAGTCAACCATTTATCTTCAGGATATCACAGCATCAAAATGGTAACTCCGGACTTTCTCTGCGCAAACTGGAGTGCGAACAGCACTGGCACTGCCACTGACTGCAAGGAAGTCGGCAGATACAGCTGCAAGAGCTGTCTACTCGTCGTGGTATGTGACGCATGCGCTAGCCTTTCTCTTGAATATATGAACTAAACTCCATTTTTCAGTACTGCGGCTCGAATTGTCAAAAGTCCCACTGGTCCACCCACAAAACAGATTGCAAGTCTTTTCTAGGCAAAGAAAAATGGACTCCCGACTGGGTTCTGGAGAACCGAAAACCAGCTTTCATCGGTGCCGGAGGACCACTGGGGGTACAGTTTGGAGGGGAAAAATACCTCTGGGGCAACATTCCTGCTTTTGATGTTCTCCAACTCGGATCAAACGAAGGGAATGATTATGGAGAGCAATTAAGCTTCTTGTTTGCAGGTGTGTATTTGTTCACTTTCCCATTTGGAACCTAAACTGACGAATCTTGTCATGCTATAGCTTCTGGCGACTTTCGAAATATTGTCAAGACTATCGCACTGCTCCCAAAAAGCTATAGCCAGCCTGTCGATATCACAATGAACGACCTCGATCTTGATATCGTAGCACGAAACGTTATTATGCTTCTTATTGCCCTCACAGTCGACAATATTGACGAGGCCGCCGACTGCATAATCCACATCTGGTACTCAGCTCTCATTCGCAAGTCTGATCTTAACGTCCTCCAACAGCGGATTCGTCCTCTTATAAAAGACGTTTGCGAAAAGATAAAGAGCAAACTACCGAGTGCTATTTTAGCAAAGACATGGACATTCGGACAGCGCTCGATGAGACTCGTGCTACAAAAGTCGTCGTGGGATAACCTATTGTTCTACATAAACATCCCGGAAGGCCTAACGGCAGAACGGGCGAACCAAATCCGCACAGCCGTTACCCTTCCTGAGTCTAGGAAGGACTACCGTGATCGACATTTGCTTCTTCAGTCTCGTTTTCATCGGATAGCAAAGAATCGGTACTGGACAGACGGACTCCTGCTACCGTTTGGGTCTCCACGCATTGAATTCAAAGAACCAAACCCGTGAGCAACTTACCACCTAACGTGTATATATATTATAGATCTAATATATTATAGGACCTTCTTCCAGACTGCCGATACGTGGCCGATACGTGACAATGCTGATCCTCTCAACGGATGGTCACTAAAGGACGTCGAAGATAACTCTAGTGGGGCTGCGAGTAATGATATTTACGGCAAGCTCTTCTACTACCTTCGCACAGAACTTCGGGCTTTTGTTCTTCGTCTCTCAGACTTGCAAGTATCCTTTCGGCTTTTTCAGTTGAATGCTTCAGATCTTCCCAACCATCTTGAAAGCAGTTCTTTCAGTCGTATAGAGGTAAGGGTGTATTGAATGGTCTACTTCATCTACTGACATTGCATAGGTTGCTAATATTTCGGATCGCGGATACCTTGGAATACACAGAACAGTTTTCTCCATGATGCCTTTGCTTCAGGGGCCTCTCGTTAATCCGCATGCAACCCTCATTACTCTATTCATGAACGCCGTTGATGAGAGCATGACAAACAAAGACCAAATGGCCTTAATAACTAAGCATAGCCCGGAGGCAAAACGCCTCCTCAGATACCTCCCACCTATTGACATGGGAATGTTGATGAACCCTGGTAGTCCAGATATTATTAAGTATTTGTGCGCTCAGGATATTGTCGCGACCTACGACCACATTTTCAATCGGTAAGCATAAGAGACAAAATTGGCTCCTCCCTCTACAGTCATGTAAACTGATATTAACGATTCTATAAGGTACGAAAATGACATGAAGTTTTCTGAGACAGCGCAGTATATTGGGGCAGCAGTACAAGAAAAGCACGCTGTCGTCGAGAAGTGGCCATTTAAGTTGAAACTCCGGGCTGGTCAGCCCGGAGCCCAAGAGGAGTTTGACCGGTTGCTACGTGGAGGGGTGTCAGGAAAGGAACGATATGTGGAGTGGAAGAGAATCTCCATGGGCGGAGACAAAACTGAAGACCAGAAACTTGGTTAGCAAGTCAGGTTCATGGCCATGATACGCATTGTTCCTATGTGGTCTGAAAGTGCCAGTTGTCGGATTTGGGAGCCAAGTTTATTTTTGCCTAGTTTGACGGTTATGAGAGCATGATCTAGGGGTTTGGTGCAATTAATGTGATTCTGATATCTAATCTCACATGGAATACAAAGCATTGGGTATACCAAGTTTTGATAGGGCAACGAAAGTGAAGCAGATACTTCAGAAATACTCCAAAATGGGCTGCTGCAGGCGTGCGATTCCTTCTAAGCTAAGTTAGGCAACCTGGCCTTTAAAACCTGTGCCATGCTCTTGGTTCCTATAAGCTTAAATAACGTGCATGGCCTTGAATAATTCCCAGAAACCTGAGGTATGCTTAATGCATTTGCTGGAAGGCAGCAACCATGGCAGTGCTGGAGCAGGGGGTGGACAACAATCGCCGCAGATCCAATTTATTAGGTAACGGACGAGGTTTGGTATACAAAATATACTCGAAATCATGCCCAAGGTAAGTATACATGGAGATATTCGATGCTTGGGAATGTGAGAACAACGACTCCTTCTCTCTACAATAATGTGCCATGTCGTTAGATCCAAACACGTGATTGACCTCGTGTTGTACTAGAGTAACTGTATGTTACTGAATCTAGAAAGCCTGTGCTTTTGACGGGTGCCACTAAGTTTGTTGAGGAAGGTGGCATCCAGAAAATTCGCAATAGTGTCTAAAAAGACACCATTGAGTTCCTACTAGACTCTTGGTATAATCCACGTGATTATTCGTGGACATACATAAGCTGAAGTATCCCACCCCTCATGCAAGATTTACAACGTGAAGTAATCAGCGCCAGCCAAGAATTGCGAAACCTTCTTGGTTGACTACTCGGAGAGGATGGTGCTCCCAGCGTCTTTAACGAGCCGAGCTCGACATCCTCCCCTCGCCATGTCCCCAGCCGGTATTATAAATCCTACCTAACCACTTCCCCAGCAGCCATCTGGATGATATTGTGGCAATTCCACAGACATGATAATCAATCTACCTGAAGGTCGTAGATGCGACGCTGACACGGGAATACTCTGGCAATGTGTAATTTCTAGGGCTTGGCGGGGGAGGAATTTTACCCCGGATTACGGCCCCAAGGCTGATTTATGACGTGCTAGAGAGTGAGAAGATGGAGGTTATTGCGCCTGGTTCGCCGATCCTCGGACGCCTCTGTTTGAAAATAGCCTATACGAGTGGATAACCAGGGAGCCACAAGACAGGAGGCAAGGAGTGCTGGGCACGCTGGCACGACGCAAGGGCTTCGCGTGGGCTCTGGGAAGCCCGCATTGTTGTCCGAGAGCACCACCTGGGTGCGTCATCCCGGCTCCGAATAGGCTGTATTATTCCATTTCAAAAAAGGAACTCCAGAATCCAGCTATTTGATAGGAGATGTTTGGGCACAGTCATCGCTGAACTGTAGTACAGAGGGCTGAAAGAGGGGAAGAACGGACGTGCTGAGTGAGGTTGGAGCGAATTCGTGTCGCCAGGATGCATAGCGCCACAGTCAATTGGTATATGAAGTTGGAGTGAGGTGATCTGCAGTGTCAGGGAGGATGACACTTGGCGCAGGGGACGAATACGAGGATGATATTATCGAGAAAGATCTGAGAGGGAATATATAAGACGGTTGTATTGACCACAAAATCTGGTTGCTTCGTCAGACTACAAGCTCCATCTCCTCCAAAAATAACTAACTCCTCAGACCTCAAACAAACAAACAAGCAATATGAAGGCCTCCTCTGTCGGAGCTGTGCTCCTGGGCTTGATGTAAGTCAGCTTACCTCCCCCAAGGCCACCTCCAAGACATACCTCAGCAGATTTAAATATTAATTTTTTTACTAATCTCACCAGCGCCCCATCCTTTGCCGCACCAGCCGTTATCAACGCCCGCGCCGCCCCTTTCAACATCATCGTAACCGACCCAAACGTCCAAACCCTCCGCCCCGTCTTTCTCCTCTGCAACGGCGCCACAACTTCCGATGACTTCATCAAAGCGACCTACGCTCTCTCCAGTGACGGAACCTTGACATGCACGCAGCCCATCAACGCCGGCCCTGGGGTGCCTCCCCCAGTGGGATTTGCTGACGAGCTCGGCGGGCGTCTCGCCGCCTACTACGGCACCGGTGGCATCACCACGGCTTTCAGCGTCGGCAAGGATAACCAGCTCTCATTTAAGAACGAGAAGATTGGGGCGGCTAAGTGGATTGCGAGGCCCAGTGGCGTGGATGGAACTGTGTTTGGGTACTTTGGAGGACCAACCACTCAAGACTATGTTGTCGTTACCTTGGCTGCGTCGTTCATTGCATCGACTGAGTAAATGGAAAGGGGGCTGGGTAGTGATCAACCTTAGGTAGTGAGAAACACGCTTCTGTCCAAACCACGAAAGTTGCCATGCCATATTCTCCTCTATACTTTCCCCTACGTACATTTCACACTTTTCTATAATCCAAACCGATCTCCTATCAAACCAAACTCCCACATGGCCCCACCCGCTGTCAGCACTCTATAACTTTATCCCGCATTTCCCCCCACCAGCCTGTCCTCGCCCGGTTCCTCAACGCATCCCCCAATTAACTGTCGTATTTTTATATTCCCCGCGTTCACCCTTATTCCTTGACGCCACGCCGGAAAAAGTCGACGCGAGATCTCGGAAATTCTCCAGTACCGACCCATGGAGCGATCCCATGCCGGACGGGTAAATGACCCCGACCTGGGTAGTGGTGCTGTAGTGGGGCGGCCCGGGCAAATCTGCCGGTGTATATCCTGGATTCACTTTTAATTACCCATGGTTCTAGACGGATTTTGTTCCCGAGTCGACGTAGCTTGGGTATTTTGTTTGGGATAATACCAGTTTCCCTTAATAAGAAACCCTGGGCGCGCACGCCATACTTGCAGTAAATCTAAGCACAACGCTGCAATAGAAGCAAGTGAAAATAGTGGCGTCGACGAGGGCATGTGGATTTTACTACAGACCAATGGTAACTGCCACAGCTACACCATTTTCGCACCTGTCACTGCTGCACTTCTCTACCTCGAAGACTCTTTCTGGTTCTTCATTACATCAAATCGGCTCCTCTCCAAGTCCGTCTCGCCTTCCCTATTTTCTATCCACCCATACATAACCTAGCCCAAAATAATCCGATATTATACGAGTAAGAATCACAGAGTTCCTCCGATATTTTCTAAGAAAACTAAACCAAAGAGGCTTACTCACGCCTGCCAAAGTCCCTGCGCAACTGAGAATTAATACCACTTTCGAAGCATAAGCTCTCTAACCAGATTGTTATATCTCGGCTTCTATTTTACATCTACCATAATGATATTACATACCATAGTCAACCGTAACTCCCGCAACACACCCTCGCCCCTTTCTAACCCTGTCTATTTCGATTTTTCTGGCCACACCGTGCGCTTCCTCGCACGAACGTAAAAGTTCAACGGACGAATCAGCTGGAACTCCGGATCATACTCGATCGTCTCCGCCGACGCACGCGAGAACTCATATCGATACAACAGTTCCGGTAGCAGGACCTTAACCTCCTGCAGCGCAAAGTTGAAACCAATGCATCCACGGGGCCCAGTCGCGAACGGGAGATACGCGCACCGATGCCTGTCCTTCGACTTCTCCGGCTCCCACCGCGATGTGTCGAAGCGCAGCGGGCTGTCCCAGAAATCGGGGTTGGTCTGGATTGCGTAGAGCGCGGGGATGAGGATCTTGTCGGCTGGGAGGCGGTAGCCGCCAGGGACGATAACTTCTTGTTTTGTGGTCCGGCCGGGTTGGTAGGAGGGGTTGTGGATTCGTTGCGTCTCTTTGACGAATTTGTCGAGGTAGGCGAGGGATTGGATGAGCTCCGTGTCCCAGTTGGTCTCACTGTTGACGTCGTTATCAACAAGTTCTTGGAGGAGACGGTCCTGTTCGCCGGGGTATGTGACCATTGAGTATATCAGCCAGGATAGCAGCGACGAGGTAGTCGTGAATCCAGCCCCAGTGACGACGACGAGGTTCGAAAAGGCAAGCTGCTCGGGAAGTTTGGCGCCAGTCTCGTCGACAGCTCGAGCGAGATAGTCGGCTGCGCAGCTTGCCTGGAGAGCAGCGTCGTGGAGTGGAAGGTCCGGGGCTCCCTCATCTCGAAGGGCATTCATAGCCTTGTGGATGATACCATACATTTCCTGTTGTCCGCTCTTGAGGCGCGCTGGGTCTCCAAAGGGGAGTTTCCCGTACCAAGCACCGCGGGAGGCGACCTTCTTGTTGAGAGCCAGGATTTCTGCGATGAGTTTCACGGCCCTGTGTAGCGGGGCGTCGCGGCTCTCAAAGTGGCCAAAGTCCAGACCGAGACTGAACTTTCCCACCGTTTGAGAGCCTAGTTTTAGCATGTATTGGTAGACGTTCCAGGACTCGTCCGCCTCATCGGCAGCATCGAATACCTTGAAGGATTCCCGGACGCATTGCTGCATCAATGGCGTATAGTGCCGGACGGCCTTTGGACTCAGACATGGAGGCACAAATTTATGGCTCAATCGGAAATTTTCAGTCTCTGTGTCGCCTAGGAAGAGCGCGGAGTTATCCTTCAATGGAAACAGCGGGTGATCAGAGTTGATGCCCTTGGTGAAATATTGAGATTCGCTGAAAGCATAGCCCGCCACAGCTGGGTCATTGGTCAGGTAGTTGACCTTTCCATTGTTGACCGTCTTGATGACGGAACCGTATTTGCGAAATAGGCGCTCGTGGTTTCCGAGATGGTCGGGGTAGATCTCGTAGAAGTTGCCGACGATGGGCAGTGGAGGCGGCCCATCTGGCTCGCGAATTGGCATCCCATCTACGCTGATGCCGATAGAGGAGTTGGCCTCCTCCACCTCGGCCACGGTCTCGATAGCTTGGTCTGCTGATTGGAATGAAATTCCTGCATATATCTCGTCAGCTATTATTCTCTAACGCGAAGGTGTCGACGGCAAGTATATATTAGTGTATAGGGTTTCTTACCTGATGGTTGGATGATGTGAAACTCATCGCCCAGCACCTCTTGCAAGGATTTTAGGGTTTGGTTGCTGTCGACCTCAATAGAGCGGGCAGTGCTTGGATCATCGCCCACTAGGTAGAACTGCTTCGTAACAGTCGACATCTTGGATTTAGTATTTGTAAAAGACACTGACGACAATGTTAAAAATTAAGCAGGACAGTTTAAATAGACAACCCGGCATGGGGCCTCGTTTAAATATGTGTGTTGACTAGAAAAATCTTGCACGCTTGTAACAAATCAAAAATCCAGACATAGAAATGTTATAACTTATATATGCATTTCTTCGTTGTGACGATGTGGCGGCGTATACGTATTTTCATAATTGTTATGCCGTCTAAGCCGTCTCTCGGGAGGAAGCGGCGCTGGACAGTGGACCACAATAATGGCTCAGGAACACCCAACAATTCTCGGTGAAAGAAAACCAGGGACAGACGGGGCCATATTACAACAGGTCTCCACCTTTAATGACCGAGGTGCGTGGAAGATATCAGGAGGCTCCGTTTTATTTTCCTGGGTTCAATTATAGCTATTCACGATTTATTCGAAGTAAATGATGTCTCCCCAACGTGAAATGGGTAGCATCTCCGGCGCACCTACTCGAGGAGTTAGGAAAAGATTTTGCCACGTCCTAAATAAATACCGCATACCAATGCCACATTTTTTTCTCTTAAAAGACTTACGCATTTTCAGACCTAGAATATATACCACTTCACCTCCACTCCCTTCCGTTCCTCCCACCCCATTCACCTCTCAAACGCCTATGAAAATGTCTAAGACCTTTTCTTTAGAAGACGTTGCCGAACATAATTCAGGTAACAGCCTGTGGATTGTCGTTCATAACAAGGGTAAGTTAATGACTGTTGTGTTCGCTCCTCATGCTGACTTATTGGGAATTTAGTTTACGATATATCCAACTACCTCGAGGAGCATCCAGGTGGCGGCGAAGTCTTGAAGGAATGTGCAGGTACAGATGCGACTGTCGCCTTCGAAGATGTCGGCCATTCTGACGGAGCTGAGGCTCTGTTGGAGGATATGCTTATCGGCGAGCTTGCAGACGAGGTATGTATATAGGCATATTTGTTGACAGAGAGCGAGGCTAATAAATCTATTCGCAGCACCGACAAGATGAAGTCAAGATTTATCGACCGACATATGAGAAGATTGCCGCCCCTCCAATTCTTCGCACACAATCTCCCATCTGGAGCATCGCAAGCTGGGTAGCCGGAGCTGCATTTATAGGAGCTGCTGGTTCTGGTGTTTATTTCCTCGGCATCTCATCCGTTCGAGACGCACCTGCGATAAAAGCCCAGTTGAAGAGCTTATTGAACGGTGGCTACAAACAACACTCAATGGGCCAGTTCTGGCTTGGATACCTCAGCGCTGGCGCAACGTTCTCTACTGCAGCGTATATTGCAGGCGGTAAATTTCTCAAGCTCCTCGACGTCTCGCGTGGCATCGGAAAGACCCCTTCACGCATTCATCAGACCTCACGGGTAATCGTGAAGAAGCAAATCGTGGCATTACCTCGACTACCGGTCCTAGACCCCAAGAAGTACCGCAAGCTGCCACTCGCACTGAAGGAGAAGCTGTCAGCGAACACGTATCGCTTTGTTTTCAGCCTTCCCAGCGCCGACGCCGTGCTCGGGCTCCCTACCGGCCAGCACGTTGCCATTCAGGCTGTGGTTGATGGAAAGACCATCTCCCGGTCATACACTCCCATCTCCAATGACAAGGATCCCGGAGGGCTCGAGTTGGTCATCAAAGTCTACCCCAATGGCCTCCTAACAAACCATATGGCCGGCCTCAAGGTCGGCGAGACGCTGGAATTCCGTGGCCCCAAAGGCGCAATGACTTACAAGAACGGCCTGTGCAAACACATCGGTATGATCGCAGGAGGCACGGGAATCACCCCGATGTACCAGCTGATCCGCGCTATCTGCGAAGATGATGCGGATACCACGACCGTCAGCCTGTTATACGCCAACAACAGCGAGGAGGATATCCTTCTACGCCCACAGCTTAATAGCTGGGCGGCGAAGTACCCTCACAAGTTCAAGGTCTGGTATGTCGTCGGCACTGCACCGGAGGGATGGAAATATGGCACGGGCTTCGTTACGAAGGAGGTAATCGCCGAGAGGCTACCTACGCCGTCGGTGGACTCGAAGATCATGCTTTGTGGTCCGCCGGGGATGATCAATGCGATGAAGACTAACTTGGATGCTTTGGGCTTTACAAAGCCTAGCGCTATTGCGAAGGCGACGGATCAGATTTTTCTTTTTTAATTTTGTGCGGACTGTTAGGCGTTGTATTGTAGATATTCTAAGTAGTTGTACCAATCAATGTATGTAAATTCTCATATTTATCTCAATATTTTGTTTTTAACTATAATGTTTCAGTGCTTTACCAAATAAAACCTATTGTAAATAGTAATATAATCGTGATGCAATAAACATAAATTACCAGACTGTAGATAAAGTGCAGTAAAAAAACAATAGAGGCACTATCATTAATACTCTGTAAATAAGCCAAATAACACCACAAAATCGCCGTTTGGTAGAAATCCCAACCTTCAAAATTCTCTCATCTCGACAACGAGCGCGGGGGCCAGCGTCTTCATGGAGATCTTGTAGTCTAACGTGGGTCCCACACAAACCCTCACTAACCCCCAAAAGGCGAAGCGCCACCCTAGCCCTCGGCGTCATGGTGGGGCAAAAAACCACTACCGGACTCCGGCACTCACATACCGCCTCTTGGCAGAAAATCTTAAAATCAGAAAGCCCAGCTTGACTGATAAGAGCTAAAGAAAACCGCTCTAAGCCTCCCCGACGTGCGGGATTCTCGTCATGTCATTTGCTCGGAACGCGGGTGCTTCCGCCGAAGAATGTTTCTAGCTCGTCTGAAGCTATGTCCTCAACAATTGTTCTAGGGCGAGATCCACTGGGGGGGTTCGGGATGCGGCCTGCCGACTGTGCCGCTTGGGAATAAGGAGGCGAGGGGATTCTTGCTTATAGGAGAGGTGCCCCCGATGGCTTTCTTCGCGTTATCACTCTGAAGCTGTGCTGGAAATCTCGGCATGCTCGGTGGCGGTCATGATCAGCTAATTAGTAGGGGTTTATATATATAGCCCCTATGAACCTGCTCTCTAAGGTTTGAATTAAATCCTACATTAATCTACTATTTCTCCTATCACTCGGGTTCATAATAATTCTGGTTTACTCATATCTTACTTCTATCTTTCACCACCCCTCTCTTAACCTCAATTCCTCCCCCAACCACTCGAAACATGGCCTCATGGACTCCCCCAGCCACGGCCGGCCGCCCCATCGCCATCCTAGGCGCAGGCGTCCTCGGCCGCCGAATGGCCCTCATGTTCACAGCTGGCGGCCACGATGTTCACATCCGCGACCCCTCCTCCGACCAACTCTCCGCGGCCCTAACCTACATCACCGAGACCATCCCCTCCATCGCCCAACCCGGCGTCACCCCCGGCACCGCGCACGCCTTCTCCTCCCTCTCCGAAGCTGTCAAAGACGCCTGGCTAGTAATCGAAGCCATCCCCGAGGTTCTCTCTCTCAAAATCAGCACTTTCGCCGAGCTGGCCGCGCTGGCCCCACGGGACTGCATTCTCGCCACCAACTCGTCGTCTTATAAGTCTAGCGCTATGCTCGATGAGGTCCCCGAAGCGGACAAGCCACGCGTGTTGAACATGCATTTCTTCATGCCCCCCGCCAAACGCGTCGTGGAACTCATGACCAGCGGCGTCACCCACGCCTCCATCTTCCCATTCCTCTATGGGGAGCTGACGAGGGTCAAAATGAGTCCTGTGGTCGTCAAACGCGAATCAACCGGGTTCTTGTTCAACAGAATCTGGGCAGCTATCAAACGCGAGTGCCTCACTGTTATAGCTGAGGGTGTTGGGAGCCCAGAGGACATCGACGGGGTGTGGACGCAGATGTTCGGTAGCGCCGAGGGGCCGTGCAAACTAATGGATCAAGTCGGTCTGGACACCGTGGCGCATATCGAGGAACATTATATCGAGGAGCGGGGCTTTGATCGCAGCGCTCGCGACTTCGTGGTGCGCGAGTACGTCGAGAAGGGGAAGCTGGGCAAGAAATCCGCGGCGGGGGGGCTGTACCCCCCTCAGGCAGAAGAGGAAAAGGGGCGGGGACTGTATATCCTCGATCTCGGCCTCACCAACCTCTCCGCCCCCATGTCATCCGGGCGCGTCCTCGTCGGCTCCATCGACGGCAAGACTCCCCTGACAACCATCGCCTCAGGGGAGTCACTACCAGACGGTATCGCAACCCTAGGAAACCGCATCTACTGGACCTCCATGGGGCCTCCCTCTACCAACACCGGTTCGATCCGCTCTTCCCTCCCCGACGGTACGGGTGTTACGACGATCCTGGCGCCGGGGGAGGTACATACACCGAAACAAATCACAGCGGATCGCACAAACGGATACCTCTACGTCTCCGATCGCGAAGGCATGCGCGTACTCCGTTTCCGCCCCGATGGCACCGATCTCACCACCTTGGTGCAGACTGGGGATTTCAACAACCCCACCCACAAATCCGATCAGACGAGGTGGTGTGTGGGTATCGCTGTGGACCCTGTTCATCGGATGGTTTACTGGTCTCAGAAGGGACCTAGCAAGGGGGCCCAAGGCCGGATCATGCGCGCTTCCCTTGACATCCCTAGGGGCGAAACAGCAGAGACTCGGACGGATATCGAGGTCCTCTTCTCTGGACTCCCCGAGCCAACAGATCTCGAAATAGACACCACCTCACAAACCCTCTACTGGTGCGACCGCGGCGAGTTACCCCTAGGTAACACCGTTAACTGCGCCAGCGTGACGCGCAACGCTGTGTCAGGGGAGGGAAAATCGGAGCTAGAGCGGAAACTGGGGTATAAAATCCTCCTCGCAGGACTGCATGAGGCGATTGGGTTACAGGTTGATGTCGCGAATGGGTTCATCTACGCGTCGGATTTAGGGGGAGGGGTGTATAGGTTTAACATCGACGGGTCTGGAAAACAAAGGATATACGAGGGGGAGTGCGCGTTTGCTGGTATAGCTCTGGCATAGTGTTAGCATAGTATAGTCTAGTCTTACAGGAGGCAAATAAAATATCGTAACGTGATTGTGACGCCGGAGAATATATTGATATACCTATATGGAATTGAACAGCTATACCATAAAGACCTAGGATGAATCACTCATAGAGCGTCTAAGCATACAGAAAGGGTATGGACCTCATTGTGTTTCTTCAAGGCGGGCGACGACGTTTAAGTTGATTGTAAGGCGAGACTGTTCTACCAGGGTGCTATCGTATCGAAGTCCAGCTTTGTCTTTGATACAGTCCTAATATGCATTGTACAGTATTCTGTTTATATCGTACAGCTAAATCTGGATACGAAGGATCCTGGAAATAACTTTCAGGGCTACGCCGTAAACTTGGCGTCTACCTAGATGGCGTCGTCAACGACATGCATACCGCCGCACCAGGAACTCTCGCTGTTCCTACGCTTGACAAGGAGTATACGAAGGCTGGGGCCCTAACTTCGTACAGAGAAGTGTTGGTAGGATTCGCCAAGTAATCGATAACTTTGCTAGCTGCAGCCCTATTAGCCACATCATGATAATTGTTGTTGGAAGCAATCCCGGGTAAAGGAAAGGTTCACTTGGCGCAAGCCATTAACACAACACGAAGATTCTATATAGACCCGATCTCTCTCTACCTCTCCACGATCCTCCCATCTCCAGCACACAGCCCAAGAACCAGAAAGGTCGCCCCCACTAAACTCCTCATCATGGTAGCACCAATACCATTCGCCCAGGCTGCCCTGGTGGTCCTGCTCGCCTGTGTGCAGCCTAGCGCGGCGGAGGTAACATCCGTCATGCCGATGTTTATCCTCGACTCCACGCCGGTCAGCCTCGACGCAGCCATCATTTCCGTGAGTCCAGTGCCGACCTGGACATACCAAAGCATCGTGACCTACTCCGTCGACTGCCCTCAGTCCGCCTCACCCGACAACGACGCCTGCCGCGCGCTGTCCATCTACCCAGCCGAGGTATGGCACACGCAGGGCTCCATGTGGGGAGGGACGACAACCGCACGCGCGGACGACAGCACCACGACTTGGACTTGTAACCTCGGGAGTGGGGTCTCGATGAAGACTAAGACAATTGGACCATCCTGCGTCAAGAGCATCAACGCTGCGGGGGGGACGACGAGAGTCGAGACAACGTGGCTTGACTCATGCTATATCTCAGCGCACAGCGTGCCTATGCTGGTAACCGCAGGCGTTGAGAGGCTGCCCGCCGAGTACTACGTGACGTACGCGGTGTCGGAGTGGCAGTCGATTACTAGCTCTCTATTGTCATCTATGGGGTGTCCGGTGAGCTCGACGACGGCGATGACTACTACTGCTTCGACGGCTGCGAGTAATGGTGGAGCTAGTGAGACCGGAGGCACAATACCAACAACTGGGGCTACTGCGACCCAGGATCAGGTTTCGGATACGGTGGCGGGAACTGCTGGTCCTAGCCCGACGGCCACAGGCGAATCATCGGGTACCTTTAGGGAGATGTCATTGCTGATAGCAGTTGGGGCTGTTGCAATATGCTTAATTATTTAATAGTTTAATAGTTTAATAGTTTAATAGTTTAATAGTTTAATAGTTTAATAGTTTAATAGTTTAATAGTTTAATAGTTTAATAGTTTAATAGTTTAATAGTTTAATAGTTTAATAGTTTAATAGTTTAATAGTTTAATAGTTTAATAATGGAGAGACTAGCTTAGAACAGCATTAAAAAATGCCCCGTTCTTGCCACCAGAGCGATCACCGGTTCCAGCTACCCCTACCCAGTGTGCAGCGAATCGTGACTCGGCATGATTCGCCCCGAATCAGACTCGAATCATGATCTGATTCGGGCTATTTCTTAATGATTCGAATCATGATTCGGCCAGTATTTGAATGATTCGAATACTTGCCAAGACATATAATATGTCCAAGCGTCTAGCTGTGAAGGCTTGTCGCCGTCCTCAATATATAGCTTTTTAGATTAAC